TGCGAGTACTGTGATATGTGCGGTCGAGAGCTACACAGCGCAACAACACTAATCATGGCTACGAAAAGCGGGGATATAGATGCATGTAGTCCTGGCCGTTTGTGGGCGTGACGCCTTGCTGCGGTTCGGCATTGGAGCGGATGAATGCCAACTCTGATGACGCAATCTTCGAAAAGCGCGCTATCACGTGTTGGGCCATTCAGCCTCGTCAATCTTACGCGCCCGCTTCTTTACCTTACGAACCTCACCAGAATCAGTGCTTGTATTACACAGTCGTCAACACTGGACTACACGTAGCTGATGCCACGATTTGAGATGAATGCGCGCCCCACATGTCCATTGCTGCTCCTATGCGTCGTGCGCCACCACTTCAGCACAGGTCGCTTGGTCGTGATGCTTCGGATTTGTACAACCCCACATCAACATGATCCTGTAAACTAAACGTGCTCAATGAATTCAACAGTCATCTCACCAAAGCCAGATACAACGAATACCTGCAGATTGGTTTACTTGAGTGCAACTCAGAAGCAATAAGCTTCGCCGTACAGGCCGGCGTGCTCTTTGAGACTGGTACCCGAGCGCCATGAAGGTTACTACCATATAAAACCGGTAGCCTATCGTTCTTACCCAGGTCGGTATCACTTGTGCGCCTTGTGGAAAGTGTACCACAGGTGTCAGTATGATTGGGGGTATCAGCAGTCTACCGGTACTCAGGGTTGTGATCATTCTCAAAGAAGCTTCATACAGAACTCCGTAGAAGGACGAGATATGCTGGTCTTGGAGGCGTCCAGTACTACACGTCGTGGCTACCCTCTATATCACACCTTTGCCCCTACCACATCCAGGAAGACACGATTGACAAGTGCCTACTGTCTTTTCACATCTGGTTCGCATCTCTGAACAACACTATCAATGCCAACATCAACATTAGTATTAACACCAGGATCACAATCTATCATTACGAGAACTACTTGTCATGGAGATGTCCATGGTTACCGCTGTAAGTGGGCGTACTCTCCGCACCCGTCTCCAAGGAATCTATCCCACGGACAGTCAAGATCAGACAACAACATCACCTGCGCCCAATCCGCATGAGGACGAGTACCCGGTACGAACACCATATACCAACTCTTCGTATTCTCGGGCTGAAGAGCCGGAGCCTGTTACCTTCCCAACCAACGGAGTTCAATACATGAATCAAGCGTCAGGGTCAAGACCAGAGAAAACAGCTTCTTCACATACAGAGCCCCAGCCCTGGCATCTAGCACCATCTAGAATACGCTTTTGTAGTCCTTCATCTTCGGATAGTGAGATCGCTGCGACACCGCTGAACCTTGATGGAGCGCCAGATCTAGCATCCCAATCAGAAGCACCAAACCCACCATGGGGAAATTGTCCTTTCCCGCACGTACAAACCAAGGAATATATTCAGAATCCAGCACCGGTAGCTGTACCTGCTCCGATGCCGATGCCTGTTCCAAAAGCCAAGTCAAGTCATCGGCCGCTTTGGGCAGTTTCCAGTTGTTGCTCAGCACGCCGAACCCATTCACCTCCAGCGACGACCCATAGCGAAGATGATCGAATTTCTATCAAGACAGAGAGGGACTCTAGTTTCGATGAACCGCATGACCATCATAACACTACGGGTACTTGCTGCTCGGAGTTGCATCACTCAAGTGTGGACTCCTCGCTGAAGAATCCAGGGGATACCACGATTTCTGGCAAATATGATGACCCTGAGCTCGGTCCTCCGAACTTCGAGCGTGTCATTCTCCGAATCGATGGTCTCAAGTGTGGATGTTGTGAGTCGGGTCTTTCACGAATCGTTGAACGCGTTCCGAACACCAAGAACTTTCAGCTAAACACTGTACTTGCTCGAGTTGAGTTAGAGCTAGATACCAATCGCATCTCGGTTGGCAAAGTTATCAAGATGCTAGAAACCAGGACCGGATACAGATTCGAGGAGCAGGTGGTATCCGACGGTCAAGTCTTGGAGGTCATCGTCATCGACCCTAGGCGCATGCAGCACGCCGGTCGGCCAGATGGTGTCATACGCCTCGAAGTTCCTGAACGAGCGCCGTGGCGTCCTTTCGCTGTGCTAAGTGGGCGCACCAGCACAGCTCTGAAGGAAACGGCCACGGACGACGCCGATGGAGATTGCGGAATTTCAAAGATCCGTGTACCACCGACCAAGATATACTACGATGCAGCCATAATAGGGGCCCGAGATGTTCTCAGGCACTATCGTCAATTTGACCCAGATCTGCGCCTGGCGCCCATTGCTGCAGACCCAGGGCTTGATTTAGGAGCAAAGCAGACCATAAGAGCCCTGAAATGGTTTTTGCTGTCACTCATCTTCACGACCCCCGTCCTCGTATTCGCCTGGGCACCTGTTGGGAAACGCTCTAGAGGTCCTGCCAACTCAATCTATCTCCCCGGTTTACACACCTCCCTAGCACTCGCCACTGTAGTGCAGATCATCGCCTTGAAAGAGTTTTTCCCAGGCGCAATGCGGTCACTTTACCATTCTCGCGTCTTCGAGATGGACTTCCTGATCGCATTCAGTACAACAATGGCCTACAGCTTTAGCGTCGCTTCTTACATCTTCCAAGTCAGAGGCAAGCCACTAGAGACGGGGTCATTCTTCGAGACGTCTACTCTCCTAGTAACACTGATCTTGCTAGGTCGTGTTAGTAGTGTATCGCCTACATGTGAGGCAAAAACTGACAACTGCCTTTAGGTCATCAATGAGTTCGCCCGTTTCCGCGCCGCAAAGTCGGTATCATTCCGATCTCTCCAGGTTGACGAGGTGAGTCCAGGCTGCTCGAAACATATGTGGGACAGACGCTGATTTTCTGTCTTCACCTCTGTAGGTCACACTTATTGCCCATCCGGAGGAATCCAACTCTTGGTCCACCGCCCCGACAACCAAGATTGACAGTCGGCTACTCCAATACGGTGATTTCTTCACGATACCGCCTCATACCAGGGTAGCCACGGATGGTGTTGTTGTGTACGGAGGCTCCAATGTCGACGAGTCCATGATAACTGGCGAATTCAAACCCAATGCGAAAGGTCTAGACTCCGAAGTCTTTGCCGGCACCAACAACGGGGATAGGTTCCTGGTGGCGAGGCTGACAAAGCTCCCTCATGAGAACTCTGTGCAGCGAATCGCAGCTTTGGTGGAAGACGCAGAATTGACAAAGCCGAGAGCACAAGCACTTGCAGACCGGGTCGCTGGTTGGTTTGTGCCTGTAATGGCCTCGATTGGGCTCACAGTCTTTCTCATCTGGCTCTTCGTCGACAAGTACCACAACAAGAAGGGTTGGCGGAGTGCGGTACTGTCAGCAATTACCTACGCTATCGCTACGTTGATCGTGTCATGTCCTTGCGCTATCGGGCTCGCTGTGCCTATGGTTGTACTCATCGCGAGCGGAGTAGCGGCACGATATGGTATCATCTTCAGAGACCCACAGAAGCTCGAGATCGCGCGCAATGTTACGGATGTCGTCTTTGATAAAACCGGAACTATAACTATCGGAACGCTCAAGGTCGTCAACGTTCCTAGGTACCGTCACACAGATCATGCTCATACAAAAGGCCTGCTGATGGGCCTCTTGAAGGACATCAAGCACCCTGTGTCTATTGGGATCTCGAGCTGGCTAGCGCAAGATAGGGTTGTCCACAAAGACTTCCAACCTCTGGAGGTCACAAACATCATCAGTGTTCCCGGTCAAGGAGTCCAAGGCACATGCGCGAAGACAGGAGTTGAGATCCGGGCCGGGAACGCCGAGTGGCTGGGTATCAACGTGATGGGACCAGAGACCAATACGATGTGCTACTACACGTATGACGGAGATCTTCGCGCCAGCTTTGAACTGATGGACCATCCTCGCCCTGGAGCGGAAATGGTGATTCAAAAACTGCTAGCCAGAGAGATCAAAGTGCACATGCTGAGTGGCGACACTGCCGGCGCCGTTACTAGCATCGCCAACAGACTCTACATTCCTGAGGGAAACACCAAGGCATCCTGCAAGCCGGAAGGCAAGATGAGCTACGTACGCGACCTTCAAACACCCGGCAAGTTCGTCATGTTCGTGGGTGACGGTACGAATGACTCTGTGGCGCTCAAGCAGGCGCATGTCGGCGTTCATCTCAACCAAGGCTCAGACATCGCGAAGAGCGCGGCTGATGTAGTCCTTATGACCACGCGCCTCCACGATATTCTGATCCTACTCGACATTTCCTTTGCTGCATACCGACGTATACTTGTGAACTTCAGCTGGTCGGCCTTGTACAATATAATCGCCATCCTCCTTGCAGCCGGCGCGCTCGTCAAGGTAGGTGACCAAATCAGGATCAAACCGCAGTGGGCTGGGCTGGGTGAGCTCGTCAGCGTCTTGCCCGTTGTCTTGGTTGCATTCCAGATGCGATGGCGGGACTATGGCCAGAATTACAGGATGATCGAGGCGGAGTATCAGAAGGTCGAGGCGCCAAAACGAGAGCGTCGTATACGCACGCGTGGTAGCTCTTCGGCTGATGGCACTGGATGCTGTGAGATCCCAACGACGAGGTTGGCGCAGGTTGATGCTTTTACGAGGAGGAATGACAGGAGTAGGCTTCGAAAGTTTCTTCTGGGAAGTGCGTCATGAGGCTGTTTTCTTAACGTATTCGTGTTTTGCTTTTTGCGGCATTATGAGCATAGCGTAGAATGGATTGGCACCAAATCTTTCTCCACAAAGCGTATTTTTGATGAGCTGTGGTTCTCACAATTAGAACCCAACCTAAAGGCAGACCTTGCTACTAACTCTATTAGTTGCAACCTGTACAACTATGTATCTGAGAAACGAATCCGTAAAAACAGGTAAAATTAGATTATACGAGCTTCTTCCCAATCTCACGTCTTCTCCCAACGCTTCTTTTCCCGCACCACTTTTGAGACGCTCGTTCTCCCTTCGTAGTCAGTTCTGCCGTTGCAACAGGTCGTTTGTTACGTTCGCTCAATGGAGGTGAATCTTAACGACATGGTCTTCCCAATTTGGTGGAACGCCTTCTCCATCCATCAAGCCATGCACATATGTATCTCCAACGAGTGTGTAGTGGCCTTGGGACGCATTCAGAACCGGCCGCAGGCAGAGTGGTACGTTCGATCCCAGCAATATAGCGATCGAGTCATCAGGAAGCATTTCCGGCGGCCCTAGCCCCATGCGGCCGTCCTCTGTGATGAAGAATCTTCGATAAGCGCTATTCATATCACAAGATCGGAGAAAGCCACGGATACGACCATCGTCGCTCTCATACTGCGTATTCCTGATCTCTTTGTTCTCCGCTCGAGCTTTAAGCCAGCTCCAAAACGCTCTACTGAGACAAGTCACATCTATGTCTCCGAGCCTCTTGAAGATGTTTCCTGAGTGCTGAGGCCGATGCCAAATATCCCTTGTAAAAGATGACCACATCCAACAATCCTGAGCCATTGTTCTCAAGAACCACTCTTCTTGTGTTTGTCTCCGTGAATGGGGAAGGTGTATTTCCTCTCCAAGCCCAACCATACGATAACATATCTTGACATGCTCGACATAGGCCTTCGGACTAGTATCAGGACTGGAAAGAATCGGACTGACTTGGGAAATTCTAAGCTTTGGTTCAAAGCCGTCAACCATGAGAATATCGTCTCGCCTTTCGACGTTGACCCCGCAGCGACCGTCTGCGGAGAACAGTAAGGAGCAACCGTCTCTAACTCTTGCAGCCTGAGTGTGATCCGGGGTCCTTACGCTTCTCTCAGTAACCCAGGAGGGTACTCCTGGTATTCCGGATATGGTGGTGCCCATCAGAAATCCCAATGAGCCGCCAGTCTCAATGTCATGGAGGATTGCTTGCATGAATACTTCTTTCGGCGACATGTTGTAGTCAGGGGCTATGGGAGATGCGCCTCGCCAATCATCTACTAGCCCGAGTATCCCAAAGACCTTGTCCCGAATATCCACCGCATCGCGCAGATGTGTTTGACGCATGATCTGACGCAAGCTCAATTTCCGGCCTCGATTTTTCATCTCCTTCATCATTCCTGCACCGCTGTGCATATTGGATAACAACTGATCTATGATCTCGACGTCACTGTATGGTAGCGATGACTTCAGCTCCTCACAGCAGTGTTTGTCATGACGATCTGACAGTTCAACTGCATCTGTAACTACCTTCCACGGGACAGTGATGTTGCAGTAAACCACAGTGGCCTCACGAGCAAGAACTGTCTCTTGAACGACCCAGATCCTTGTCCACCAAGGGTTAGAGAGTAACGTGTTCCCAGCTCGAATAACCGCCGGCCATTTGTGCTTGGGAATCAATTTGCGCTCTTTCACGTCAAAGAACGGCACTTCGGATAGATGTATATCCATAGCACGGGCCCCCAGATAGACGAAGAGTCCGAGTGCGTCTTCTGTCTCTTCATCTGGCTGGTGTTCTAGGTCATCTTTCTCGAAGTAAGATTCTAAAACTTTCATGTCTGTGCCATCTTTGAACCAGTGGATGATATCTGGTCGTGCTACAGGAGCTTGCGATTCACGTCCGTAACCCAGCCAGATGAAGACTTCCTGGGCAGAGGTATATATCTCGCCCATGAGTTGAACCTGTTCAGATCGCTCATTTACATCCGACTGGTTGATGCACGCTGCATCAGCGTAGATCATCAAAGTTTCATCTGTCTTTCGTAGTCGTTGAAGCCCGTTGCATAAGTTTCGTGTAACGGGCAGCGGTTTGCCATCAATAGTGATCGGCAATGTAATATTTGGATCACCCCAGACATATGAGATGGCATAAAACTTTGGGTTGTCGTTGAGTGAGACTGTTTCCAGATGGCATTTGACGTCGTCGTTCCAGGCACCTGGGTGGACATGGAGTATGCGTATCTCTTTCCGGGTGGCGTCGAGTGGGGAATACATATTCCGTGCAGCGCTTCACAGTAGTTCGCGAGAGCGTGCATGAGGTGAATGTCGCTGGGCTGGTAGGCTGATGAATGCATTTCAGCTGGCAAGGTTGGCTGCAGGTTGCACGTGATTAAAGCGAACCAATCGCGCGGAATACCTACTGGGGCTGTGCTGGATATCAGCCGAACAGAACGCGCACATTTATCAATTCAGTGTAGCAGAACAAAGGTGTATATTCCGTAGCCGTCATAAACGTCATCGTTATATAGCCGTACGGCCAAAACCATCATGTGATCTTCTTCATACATCTTTGGTCTTGCTCAATCATCATTCAAACAGCTGGCTACCATAAAGGAAAAGGTCATCATCATAATATATGAGAGCAATTTCGTAGAGGAGAACAAAGTGCCAACCCAGGATCAAGGACAAGTGTTGCCGATCCGAAAAGCAATAAGAGGAATAGGTTTTCGCTAAAACGCTTCAATGCCGTCGCTATGCAGCCCCGCCGGGTAAGAAGAGGAAGAGGGAAACGAAAGGAGCCGGGTATGGTGGTCGTTACATATCCCAGACTGTTCGATAACGAGATGGAAAGCAGGTAGCCGGTCCCAAAAGAGATATAACGTCATGGGTCGTCGGCCAGGCCGTAAAGGGTTCGTGAAGGATGCAAGTTCGTAGGAATCGTGGTATCGCTGAGCTTGGGCTCTTCAAATCTTTTGGTTCGATGCGCTCGTCGTTATGTTTTGGTGTCGTTGTTGCTTGGTACCGGTTTTTATACCGTGGAAAGTGTAGTCTATCAATATGTTCTTACACTCTATATCCCGCCTCTTGAAGACAACCCGAGCATCTCTCGTAAGCACGGACATAACCACGGCCGCAATAGCATGCCGAGGTTCCCGAAGGGGCCACAGAGGCTTTGCTGGGTCGTCGGCCTCCTGCCGCAGCCGCCTGTGCGGCATCGAGGCCGCAATCAGAGTTCCTTGGGCTGGTGTTGCCACTGGTGGTACTGGAGCTGTCGTAATCGTTGGATGAGGAAGTGTTCCGTCGGCCTGCTCCTATCGGTGTTGGCAGTCCCTGGGCACCCTGACCGGGCCGTTGTCCTGGGTACATTCCATCGTTGACCGAAAAGTTGCGGCAGATCATGTAGGCTCGAGTGGCGGCGGCGTTCTTGGCTAGCTCTTCGCTCTCGTACTCCACGTCAGTCGAATACTCTCGGTTGTTCACTCTGACGGTTGAACCATAACCATAGCGTGTTCGGTAGGTTTGGAAAAGTGGGTCGGGCCAGTGGCGCCTTTGGCATAAGCCTATACCCGAGAGTCAGCAACCAGTTCGCTCGTCAGTCTGCTACCATGCAGCAATTTCGTGGATGACATGTTTTCCGGGTCCCTATCGTGTGGGTCTTCTACACTAGACAGGGCTGCAACCCATGCGTCTTACGCCAGCGGGTAGCTAGACAAGATCCTCATATGACTTGATTGATATCCGACTATATGGTACCATGTGTCTAAAAAGAAAAAGTTTTCTGTTACTAACCTGTCAGGTACATAACGTAGAACATGTTGATGTGTTCGGATGTGATTATTGACGTGTAATTGAGCGATTGGAACGACTGACGGCGCTTCGAGGGTGAGCTGTCAGTCTGAAAGCAGGACTACTGCTGCGGAGTATATCTGAATTGGCAAGCGTTCGTTGGTGGCGACGATAGTAGGCCGAGAGAGGTGTTCGTGGCAGTGGTTGTACGACAGTTGTTACTTTTAGGGTGTGGTTGACAGTTGCCAATAAAGGATTGACAGCTGTACAAAAGAGATAGAAAGCGTTGATGTATGAACAGCAAGGAAGAGGGAGCGGCTTGCAGTCAGTCGGACGGGGATGGGGGGAGCATATGTGCCTACTGTGGGATCCAGCAATATATTGCAGCAGGCGAGTGTAGCATGTATCCAAGCGCGTCTCGCCCGCCAGTAAAAACCGAGGGGCAATTGGGCTTGTGGAAATGAATAATCTGCGGGTCTTGTTGCGGCTCTGAATGAGGGAGACCCATAGTATGTGCTGGCGGGCAAGTAGCCAACGGTAGAGGTTCCAGAATTTTAGCTAGCAAGAGACTCAAACCTCAAAAGGTACAGTCTGACCGGTTCGCTCTTGCCACCGTGCTGCGCGCAGTAGCGCTGTAAAAAACGGCTGGCGATCGGAGACAATTGCTGTAACCCGTTTCCTCAAGGCTGGACATGTCTCGATCGGCATTGTGCATGTTTAGACGCCTAAGAGGGACGCATCAACAACGAGGTGGCCAGCATGCGTCCTAACAGCGCTCTTTGCTCGTATCTCCCGGATGTAATGGGCCCACTAATGCAATATGCAAATGAGGGGAGAACGCAAGTACGTCAGACTCTGCACCCTTTGTCAAGTGTACCGATACCATGAAATCTTGGCGACAGAATGCGTGATACCCGCGGATGATTTTGAGGGGCAGGGTCTGAAAGGGATCAGAGACCAGGCCAAACATGCAGCATAAAAATGGGACTGCTAATCGACTAGGGTACCAACCGCCAGAGTCGCGACTGGAGGGGGGTTGGACACGATTGTGTGACTGCAAGACGATGCAAAGCATAGTGGCTCGAAGCGAGCATGCGTCACAACAGGCATAGCATGGAGCTATCCGGCAGCCCCAGGGGCGAACGCAAGATGGTGATTGATGCGTTCGAGGGTTCGAGGAGATACCTGGGGTTGGTGTTACCAGAAAGCATCAAGCGTCACTGCCAACGCATACATGCAGAAAGCACGGTCCTCGGAATATCGCTACTTGGAGATGCGCCTGCAGCTCAAATGGGAAAGGGTCAACGGCTGTTAGCTGTAAGTTAGCTGTAAGCCGTGTGCATGCAGGCATAAATTGGCTGTTGCGGAGACTGTCTGAGCGCGTTTGCAAACGTAGTGGAGTAGAGCTGACCAGGCGATGATTGACGAGTGAAGGACTGCTGGAGGGGCCAGGCGTTCCTGCGCAAACGATCCCGGTCCATCGAGGGAGATGAAGAGTTCACAGACCTGGGAGTTCAGACCTGGGAGTTCACAGACCTGGGACCCTGGTGGTAAGGCATCAAAGGCTCCACTTGCCCAATGTCAACACGTCGAACATGGCAGGCTGCCAAGCTCAACACGAACAGGTCTGGAGAATTTTTCGACATTGACACAAAGAGGATCATGCATCGGGCGGCTGCAGAGTGTCCTCGACAATTGACCTGCCGAAGTGGATAGCATCAGGACAAAGGTTGAGGGTGCACAGAGCAAGTCGTCGTGGAGCGGACGCAAAATTCGGATGATTCGATAGGCTGGCGCGGTTCACGACAGGCAGCGGTGCATGGCTAGGTCCCAGGTCCCAGTAACGACCGCTTCTGTCTGGCGCCGATCCAAGATGGTGGTTGATACATGGAGCGGGACGATGGCGCTTGTGAATAGCGGCAACGAAGCGCAAGGAACCGCCACTGGCATAGTAGACAAAGAATAGTGTTTGAAGTCGGGCGAGCGCGTCCACGGCCATCAGAATCTGAACGGAGATGTCGAACGAGCTTCAGAACTATGTTGCACGCGCGGGAGATCTGTGGATGACGCGAGCGCGCCAGCACGGCCACCCGCCCCAAGCTGCAAAACAGGCGGTGAAGAAGAAGCCAGCGCTGTCAACCATGCGCCCCTCTTTCTGCGCAGTAATCTTTGACACTACGCATTAGCAAGAATCGCATTTCTTCGACTTGTTCGACAGCGCGAGGGTGGCCATCTGGATTGCAGAGTCGTCGCTCCTGGAGGCGTCATGTCGTGGACACGTCGTCTTCGAATCGGCCTGATTCCATCCACGGGCTACTGAAGACCCACATGTTCGAGCCCTTTTCCAACCAAGAGCATACTCACCCTCCTGTTCAGCCTCGCGCGGTAAGACGTGGTGCTACAGCCGGGTGTGTGCAGGGTAATCTAGAGGGGCCGGTTTCGACGTCCATTACCGATGCTCGATGGGACACGACGCTCCGTCCCGAACCTCCGAATCTGTTATTGCACCTCTCAGGGTCCATTCACATTACACAAATCGAGGTGTGGTGACCAGTCTTTCACGCTCATGTGTGACGTCCAGCAGGAGATATTCACCGGCATCGGATAGCGGTCTACTCACGACGCAAGAACATGCCTAGTGACCGCTTCATCTCTGTAGTGACCGCTCGTCTCTGTAGTGGCTGCTCGTCTCTGTAGTGACCGCTCAGTCTCCCCAGCCAGTCATATTCGAACTCATAGACCATGCCGTACTTGAGGCCTGGCTGCGTAGATGCTCAGCCCACCAAGACTACTCGTCATACGCGGGGTCAACGGTCGTGCCCACACCATCTACCGAATACGGCATCTACAAAAAGCAAATGTAACTAGAGCGTACACAGAAAGTGTACTGCGACTCGATCCACCTACACTATGCAAAGTGTAGGGGAACCGACGTTGACGTTGACGTTTCAAATGGCTCTCCGCCTACTCCGGAAGTCCGACAGTGAGCGGTAATATAACATCTCGAGCAGCTTCATATATAAGATAACCACTCGTCCAATAATCTCGACCATACAAACGTCTACTGAACTTACATTCAAGCCACAAAAACAATCTATCAAAATGCCCAAGATCGTCCGCCTCACGCTCTTCAAGATCCCCGACCAAGACCTGGTCAAGGAAGCCATCCAGATGTACAACACTCTGGCCCAGGACGCGAAAAAGGTACGTCAAAGCATGACCTGACCGCCCAAGTTCTCTTTCCTGTTCCAGAACTACGTACATACCCGCTGTTAGACGGTCATGGCCAGCACATGTAGAACGTGCCACTCGTGCATAGCGCCCCTGCACGTCGGACCATCTCGTCACCTCGGAACCCCAGATTATTCTAATCGCCCTCGGGCTATTTTCTGCCTCTCGATAAGACGAGGCGGACGATGGCGTCAACCCTCTTGAGCGCGCGGAGCAATGTCCCTGGCGGGTAACCGCTGGGAATATTGCCGCGGCTAGGAGAAATGGGGTGGGGGTGACGAGGGGGCTGCAGCTGCTCGACGCGCGGAAACAACTCCGCCTCACGACGCACACATTGGACGCCTAGAATATCCCTCACCATGGAACAACGCTAGAGATATACCGACAGCATCCGCGCCGACACTCTCCCGAGGCTGTGTTGTTATCGCAAGAGAGCATGCTAACGTCATGTTTGTACAGGACGGCAAGAACTACATCCAGCTCGCCCAGGCCAACGCCACCTACGACGACCAGCGCAGCCAGGGCTACACACTACTCGCCCGTTGCATATTCGAGTCCAAGGAGGACATGGACTTTTACGACAACCAGGATGAGGCACATGCTAAGATCAAGGCGCATTTTAAGCCAAAGGTCAACTCGCCGCCGCTAGTCATCTACTCGGACATGTCGTAGAGCTGAGATTGGATATCGAGCACGTAGCAGAAGTCAATGAAAGAGTGATCATCTCAGTTTCATCAGAGTGATTCAGAGTGATGTTGCCGAAGCTTTACCAGGTGGCGCATACCCTATGCTTTCACAGCATATCACAATGACGTCCAGGAATGACGAAAGAAACTATTGCACGATGCATGCACGTTTACCGAAGATGATTGTGTTGTCTTCGTTGGAATTGCAGAGTTTGTCTACAGTGCAGTCACTGAATCCTCCTTTGTCTCCTCCAACGCCTTTTGTTTAGGATGACATATTAGTTCATGTCATCCTGAACAGCATCGCCTTTGGCATTGCAGTCTTTGAGAGAGTGGTTACTATTGAGAGCAGACGTCAGCTACGATTGAAACATCTGATGGAGCTGTTCATTGACCAAGGACAGAGCCATGTCCACAAAGCTCAGAACAATGCCTTGGTCGAAAGAACTGCACTTCTTTATCTAGGCCAAAGAAACCAGATCCCACCATTGTTTGAAATTACATTTGTATCAATCACGAACAACGCATCCCATTACAACTGTAAGTATAACCATCGACTGCCTGTCATCCAATAGCGCTTGGAATTCCATACTATATATTGTCTACTCGACGGTTCCTGGTCAAACAACCACTCCAACCAAAGCTACAACTTCAATCATGGGTGGATGCAAAACTCTTACTCCCCACATATGGGGAGAATACAGCGACTCGGAGGAGACCGTAGACACACAAGTACCAGAAGGACCAACAGAGCACACCCACGCTCCCGGAGTGATGCCAGAATGGTGGAATTCTACCTCTCCTCTATCATCCCCACCATCCTCACTCTGCTCCCCTACTCCATCCCCTCCACCCACTGCTGTTCGAACACGCGGCAGCCGATCCCGCACGCCAGCACCAACACGCAACAGCAAGCCCCGGAAGTGTTTATATGTGCCCAAGAAAAAAGACCACTTTGAACACCCCCCAGAAGACACAACGTCGTCTTTTTACTGGCCTGAGGATGCGGAAGGTGACACTGAAGCAGACATTGAAGCAGATACTGAAGACACGAAAGATGATTCAGAAGGGCTGTCATCGCCTCCGCCATCAGCGTCATCAGGATCGTCCGATAAGAATCCGGAATCACCCCCTACATCTCCCATCGTCAAAACTCCGACACCTAAGAAGGAGAAGAAGAAGAAGGGGAAGAAGGACAAGACATCGCCAGTAAAGTCCAAGCCGACACACAAAACCACGGTAGACGGCAGGATCAAGAAGAGCAAGACACCGCTAGTAAAGTGCAAGGCAACATATAAGACCCCAAGACAACTCAGGCGCGAGAAGGAGAACACTATAGAGAAAGTGCAGTGCAATGGTCGGACGAAGAAGAACGCCCAGTGCGGGCACCAGAAGACTGTGCCAAAGGGTGAGACGTGGAACTGCGGTCGCCACAAATAAGTAGTGAATCAGGTGTACGGTAACTTATTGTAGTGAATCAGGTCGTGTACGATAGCTAGTTGTAGTAAATCAGGTCGTAAGATAGCTTGTTGTAGTGAGTTAGGTCGAGGTAGCTTATTGTTTGGATCATGTCGTGTACCATAGCTTATTGTTTCAACCATCGTTCTTTGCTCATTGTTCACTCATCGTTCTTTGCTCATTGTTCAATCGTCGTTCTTTGCAGATTTCGCATTCATACTTGAAGTACAACATATGTGCTTCTTCACCTGTCTGATGTCATGCCGAAGCATCGCCTTTTCCAAATTCCCATCCATCGCTAAACCCAAGAGACCAAAGCATCCCAACCCAGCCCAGACGCTTTTCGTTCGTAAATCACCCCATGCTCAAAAGTGGAGAGACGCCCGTGGAAACACCGCAAATCTATATGCCGGTGGTATGCAGAATATACAAGAAGATACACGTTATTAAAAGGTGTAGAGGATTGCGTCGACATTGTCCGATCGGGTATCTCGCGTTTACATGATGATCGAAGGAGCTGTATATGTTAGTGAATGAAGTCAGAATGGGTAAATGGTTGCTTACTGTCAACGTTCTGCTTGATGGACTTGTGGGGCAGGACGGAACCACCGTTGACGTAGACCTCGTCGCCAATGGTAACGTCGTCGCCGAGAACTGTTATGTTCTCGAGACGCGCCCACTTGCCGACGGTGCTGTTCCAGCCAACAATAGACGACTTGACCCAGGCGTGGTCCTTGACACGGCTGTTCTTGAGCAACACACAGCGTTGCAGACGGACACCGTCGCCAATGACAACATCTGGGCCAATGGTGACATTAGGACCGATGCGGCAGTTCTTGCCAATCTTGGCCGAGGGGTCGATCAGGACGTTGCCGCCGTAGACGTATGGCTCAGAGGCTGGTGTGAGCAGCTTGGCGTTCCTGCGCGCCAGAGATGAGAGGTAGAGACAGGTGCCGGACAAGAAGTCCTTGGGCTGTCCAACGTCCATCCAGAAGCCCTCGAGATCGAACGAGTGCAGCAGGCCGTCCTTGACAATGGCAGGGAAAGTCTCCTGCTCGATCGAGGTAGGGCGGAGCTCAATGCGCTTGAGCACGCTGGTGTTCAAAATGTAGATACCGGCGTTGATGCGGTTGCCGACGAACTCGACGGGCTTCTCGACGAAACGGTCAATCTTGGAGGCGTGGCCAGGCTTGTGTACTACGACACCGTACTTGGACGGCTCCTCGACCTTTGTGACGACAATGGTTCCCTCGTCGCCGTGCTGCTTGTGGAACTCGGCGAGCTGCTTGAAGGGGTAGTCGCATGTGACATCGGCGTTGAGGACGAAGAAGGGCGAGTCGTCCTTGCCGAGGACGTTCTCAGCGAGCTTGAGGGGACCGGCGGTGCCGAGGGGCTCGGTCTCGACGGAGAATGTGATGGTGACGCCGTATTGCTTCTCGTACTGCGCAACGGGTTATTGTGTGCTCTGGATCGCAATTGAACGAGTATACTTACGGTCTTGAGCGCCTCGGCCATGATCTCCGGGCGGTAGTTGACCGCGAGGACAACATCTGTGACGCCAGCATCGGCAAGGGCCTCGATCTGGTGCTGGATCATGGGCTTGTTCGCGAACTCGACGAGCGGCTTGGGATAGGTGAGGGTCTGCGAATGGCGTCAGTTCTGCAATTGCTTTTGGCACCGCGGGGCTTCAGCGAGGGAGACATACGAGAGGCCTCAGACGGGTACCGAACCCTCCGACGAGAATGATGGCTGCATTGGCTGTTAGCGGCGTGTCTTTGGAGCGCAATTGAGTGCGTACCTTTCATGTTGGCGGTGTTGTGTGCTGTGTGTTGTGTGAGAAAGTACAAGTGAGAGTTGTGTCTCGGGAAGGTGCAAGCGAGGGAAGATTATAGGTGCAGTATAAGAAGAAGCAACACCAGCAGTAGCAGTGTGAAAGCGCAGGTCAGAGTCAAGGAGCTCGGTGGTGAGGCCAGCTGTAGGTTATATGGGTTACTTCGCGTCCACAATTAGCGGAGCTAATGCTCCCTGGCTTCTAGCTCCCTGATTTCCCCTTTCTTCACCCACCGCATGCGCAACCCCTCGGCCGCTACCCTCGTTAAACTGTCCTAACGTCCTCAGCCCTTGCAGCCACTGTGGCCAGATGCCCCGTTCCTGATCGCTCAGCCTATCCGCTTCTAATTCTAGCATCGTGTTACTGTGCATCTAGCCAGACTAGCATCGTATAACATGCACTGGCTGCAACCTCATCACGAGGTGGATTGCAAGCACCCGCCCGTTTTATTTCTGGTCACTCTGCCTCAGTTTTATCACCCTCCTCCACGTGCCTCTAGCGCCGTGAAATTAGAGGCGTCGGGCCTTCAGAATCTTTTGATCACGCCTCGGTCCCCACGGCGGTCGGAAGCTATCCGCGCCCCTGGAACCAGCGGGATGTGGCTAGCTGTGGCTGACCGCCGGCTTTCTGGGGACACGACCAAGCTTTTGACAAACGCCAATCCGCCTGTCACCGTCAATGCTGGTGCACATGATCATTGTAGATCTGTCCATATCCACGGTACTCCCATTCAGCCCCTCAAATTCACTTCACGATGTTCTTGCTGCAAGTCAGTGGCTATGCGACGCGCGTCGTATTCCCGTGGCGAGATTGACACACGATCATGCGCCCATGACGCTTACGCAGCGGCGGATACGGTAGATAAAATAGAACACTACTTCTTTCAACCACTCAACATTACTCGCAAGCTATTGCTGTGATGCGTTTCCTTGTTTGAGGGCGACATTGGCTACCAGCGGGACTCTCCTCGGCCATTACGACCATGGGCGTGGAATACCGAGTACCAGACTCTGTTCCCCCGCATCATCAGATTTCGGTTCCGAGTTGCCATCCGAAGGGGGCTTTTTTTTAATTAACATCATTAGTATACTTTGACAACATCTTCTGCTAATATCCTGTCATACAGTATCCAGCAAAAGCACCCTCAAACTCCCAAGACATTCAGTATATACAAAGAGCAATGCCTCCATAGCTCAACTCCGCTTGCGGAAGCTCATCGACCTCAGGGCGTCGCCTACGCTACTGCCCCGCTTAAACATACCCGGTCTCTTGCCTGGCCCACCTGTAGGGCTCCGGTCCTCTGGAGAAAGAGACATGTGCGAGGTTCTGTTACCCCCCGTCGGCGACGTGTGCGCCTTGGTCGGTGTCTTGACAGAAGCATCGCCAAACACATACTCCCGGGCGAAGATCCAGTTCCCGCGCTCATACCTCCACAGGTCCAGTCCCACAGCTCTCCCCTCCTGGTTGCTCTCGCTCAACTCCTGTCTGATCGTCGCAAAGGCCCCGTCAACCTTTTGCTCGTCATCGACTTTGTTCATGACCGTCCAATGAGGTCGGAAACCACCTGCGTCCTGCTCACTGAGGAAGGCGGACCACTGTGACTGCAAATCTCCATGCACGTCTTTCATCTTCTTGTACCCTTCATCCACGTTGATGCCAACGCCCTTGCGCATCCGGAACGGTTTGCCCGTTGATACGTCAAACGGCTTCATACTGGTCGCCGTCTGCGAGAGCCCCTGCTCCAGCGCATCCATATGCGAATGTGGCAACGCATGAAAGAGCGTCAAATGCGCCCCAGTGCGATTCAAGTGCTTCGGAAAATACCGATTCCGCATCTCGTCCATGGGTTTAGCCAGGGAGTCTGTAAGTTTGAGCGTAAGGACGTAGACCTGTTCATCTTGGCTCGCCGTGTTCGGCCTATGCTCCTGCCTAGGGTAGTGACCTGAAGGCCGACTTTCTTCCACAACATAGGGTTCATTGTTAGCTTGCTTTGGGCTAGTTTTTCCTTCTTTCTTGGTGCTCCAGCCGCGGACACTCGTCTTTGCGCGGATGCCGGCTCCAGGTCGTTGGGGTTTCTTGGTCTGCTCTTGCTGCTGCGTTTGCGCTGCCTCAAAGGATGCGCGTAGATCCGGGTCTGAACAGGCTCGGGCTTGGATTTGAGGCTGTCGGACCCCACCGTTGGGCGTGCTGACGGCGGCGGCGTAGGTGACTGCCATTGTGCTGAAGCGTGGCGCTGCTGCTGATGTGATACCGTGGAACGGTCCTGATGCGAGAGATTGACCGAGTTGCCTGAGGACAGTAATCCTCATTGAAAAAGAAATGTGGCTGGTGAGTACTGACTTCCATGTGCAGCCGGCCCCTTGAAGATGTTCTACGGAACTTCGGAAGATCTATACGTCACTGAACGGCCGCTAGTGATGCGCCCGCGCTATGTGGAGATGTCTGTCTGATCAAGTATCGGGTTTAGGGGTCAAGACATCCTCGTGACTTTGCGACAGATGTCATTATTGTAGGCTTCCAAATGTGTTTATCAGTGATTGTGTAGATGTGAGTTGTATGTTGAATTGAATATTCGTAGCTCGTTATCTTCCTTCGTGTTGCGATGATCCACAATTCTAGGTTCTACACAGACCAGCTGTGTGCAGTTGATATCCAATACTCCAACTCCATCTTTCGACAGTATTAAGCACCTAGATCAGTGTCTGCTGATGATGGGCCATCTTCCAGCCGCCTGTCGCGCCATCTGTAGGCCCCTCCAGCACCCACGCACTCGAACATATAGCCCTAAATGTCTCGCTGTCTCTTGACGCTTCTACGCGATAATAGATCAAGGCGCTGTCCTTGCCCAATATGACCACCTCGTCATGACTGAGTTGGTACGACTTCCAGGGCTTGAAATCGGGACCTTGCAGCATTGCATGGACTGTTGGAGAGGACACCGAAGTAAGGATGAGGTCACCCGGAAAGACCATGACTGGGTTGCTCGAGAGAAGCGGGACGAGGTCGGCGCCAGAACTACACAGAGCTGCCCAGGCTTTGTGTTCGAGCGAGCATATCGCGGCGGTCAACGAAGGGTTGATAAGCGTAGGGGTCGCCATTGTGGGCTTGGATGTCGCAATTACTCGACTCGGTTTTTATGAAGTGTTTGCAGAACTGTTACTTCCTAACTATCGTGGATATTGTGATGGTGAGTTGGCCAATATGCCGGCGCTGAGTTCAAGGCAGAGGCTTACCCCGCGACGCGATTGTGACATCACCTCTAATTGTTGACGTTTGTCTTAGCAGCTTCTTTGACACTTACCGTTGGCCTGATCGTCCCCGTACTATGCGAATTATTGCAATGCGCTCGCAGACTGTCCATGGTCGCATTGTCGCATTTCAACATTGGGTACACTCTGCAGCCAGAGCCCTTCTGATAGGGATGACTGTGTTGCCACGAAGGCTCGCATGACTGGCGCATAACGGATTGGCATCGTTGGACTTTCTCACGCGATCCAAAGCGATAGTCGCCACTGAAGACGGCTACTTGGCCGGGCGGGCTCATGCCGGTATATGCGGGGTGGTGCTGCGTGTAAGCGGGTCCGTAATCGCGACGTCGTATCGCGCATCCATGCTCTGTTGACTCTGTTGAACCATGTCGGCCTGAGCGACGCGATAAGTAGCGATGCAGCGTGTGAACTCGGATGGCGATTGTTCAAGGTTTGTCGATGACTGTCCTCGGCCGCAGAGGCGCCGTGTTGAGCACCGCAAAGGCGCAGTTGCCTTGGGTGGCGTCTACGTCACATGTCCGGCGCAAGGTGGTCCAGGCTCCAGACGATAACGGGCGGTGGGCCAGGCGGGGAACTGCGCGGTGTACTCATAGTGAATGATGGCCACGACGGTATGAGAGACACAATGGAGACACAACGAACGATTAGTCAAGTCCACCGTGAAGAGACAAGCTGAATAATAGCAAACGTCGATAGCAAAGTGAGTGACAGTTGCCTGCCGTGGCGGTGGAAGGTCCCGGAATGTTCCCGGGCGCAGGCGCTGATTGGCGCACGGGCGTTCGCCGCATCATTACTCGCCCTTTGACCCCGTCACTGCCTCAGCCTCTCCCATATAAACCAGCCTCTGCCTGCTTCTCTTCCTCCCTCCTCACACCACTTCTACACTCACCCTCTGAAACATTCAGAATACCAACAACTACCGAATACACACAGCACACCCGCAACCATGCAGATCTTCGTCAAGACCCGTACGTAGTCACCGCCACCGCCATGGCCTGCTTGCGCCTCAGCTGCTAACACCTTCACAGTCACCGGAAAGACCATTACCCTCGAGGTTGAGTCCTCCGACACTATCGACAATGTCAAGAGCAAGATCCAGGACAAGGAGGGCATTCCCCCAGACCAACAGCGCTTGATCTTCGCCGGCAAGCAGCTTGAGGATGGTCGCACCCTGTCCGACTACAACATCCAGAAGGAGTCCACACTGCACCTTGTCCTCCGCCTGCGTGGTGGTATGCAAATCTTCGTCAAGACTTGTAAGTTGCCACACCGCCGCTACGACCCAAACAGCTACTAATACTGCTTCCAGTGACCGGCAAGACCATCACTCTTGAGGTTGAGTCATCCGACACCATCGACAACGTCAAGTCAAAGATCCAAGACAAGGAGGGCATCCCTCCGGATCAGCAACGCCTTATCTTCGCCGGAAAGCAACTCGAGGACGGCCGCACCCTGTCCGACTACAACATTCAGAAGGAGTCCACACTGCACCTTGTCCTCCGCCTGCGCGGTGGTATGCAAATCTTCGTCAAGACCCTGACTGGCAAAACCATCACGCTCGAGGTGGAATCAAGCGACACTATTGACAACGTCAAGTCGAAGATTCAGGACAAGGAGGGTATCCCTCCGGACCAACAGCGTCTCATCTTCGCCGGAAAGCAGTTGGAAGACGGCCGTACTCTTTCTGACTACAACATCCAAAAGGAGTCTACACTTCACTTGGTGCTTCGTCTCCGTGGTGGTATGCAGATCTTCGTCAAGACTCTTACCGGAAAGACTATTACATTGGAAGTCGAGTCCAGCGACACGATCGACAATGTAAAGTCCAAGATCCAGGACAAGGAGGGTATTCCTCCGGACCAGCAGCGTCTCATCTTCGCTGGTAAGCAGCTGGAAGACGGCCGAACGCTCTCAGACTACAACATCCAGAAGGAGTCTACTCTCCACTTGGTGCTCCGTCTTCGTGGCGGACAATAGGTGCGCTGACGGTTATGATGGTTGAAGATAGTTCTGCACGGCGTTTACAGGATGATCTGGTCTGCGGACTGCGATCTGGTCGGTTTTGTTCATAGTTCTTAAGACGGCTACTAAAGCCTAACAATGCATTCAAGCATGCCTACGGGCTGAGAGTTCTCTCAATATCATCGTTCTCGTTGTGTCGTCGCTGTGGTGATGTTTTGTCTGGTTGCGTTGATATTAACCTTCAGCACTACAACCACGGACAGTCGAGAGCATCATCTCGGTGCTCAACACATCACCAACAACTTGATGTGTAGCAGGGGTCCGGTTATGCTGAAGCCATGACACTCGTCTACCGCGGCTCATTTCCGACAACCCCACTCCATGTGACGCCACTGCCAATATCTCCGCTAACTCCATCAAATATCTCCATAAACTATATAGGCGACAGCTGTCAATCCACAGGTAAGAATCGGTGAGACCACTTTTGGGCCCACCGATTAGCTTGACACTCCGATCTTACAAAGCCGCGCACATCCCGCGGTCTTTCTAGCAATCTCCGTCGCTTCCGCAGCTACACATATAAGAATCACATTCCGCCGTACAAACATACAACGAACTACCGTTCGACGAGCTACCAATATAAACGAAATATCCTATCACAGCGTTATCAGTTGGAACAATGGCCGACCAGAAGATGCAATACGTCAAGTACGCTCGTCCCGATTCCTGAGCTTTGATTCGTGATAGCAACGACGGTGCTGACAGAAATCAAGCTTGGGCAAGTCTGGCCTTAAGGTCTCAAAGGTCATCCTTGGTGCGATGAGTTTCGGCTCGACCGAGTGGCAGCCATGGGTCTTGAACGAGGCTGAGAGCTTGCCACTGCTCGAGCATGCATACAAGTCTGGTATCAACACATGGGATACTGTAAGCCACACGACCCCAACCATTGTATCCCACAGGTAGTGCAATTAAACGAAGAATGCAAGCTTACAACATAGAATAGGCCGACATCTACTCCCACGGCATCTCCGAGAAGATCATTGCGAAAGCACTGAAGCAATACAACATCCCACGAAACAAGGTCGTCATCCTCTCAAAATGCTACTTTGGTGTCAACGAAGAAGATCCCAGCTTAGGGATTGCAGCTGTCTCAACCAATGATGGAGATATGGTCAATCAAGTCGGTCTTAGCCGCAAACACATTTTCGACGCGGTAGAGAAGAGCGTGGAGCGACTAGGCACATACATCGATGTTCTACAGGTAAGTTGTGACGGTACGAAATATATGTGAGATATACACTGACTTCGCATCTCCCATGTAGATCCACCGACTTGACCGCGATACGCCAAGAGAGGAGATCATGAAGGCTCTGAACGATGTCATCGAGAGCGGGAAAGTCAGGTAAGCGTGCCTGCGCAAAATGCATGTGAGACGTCTACTAACTTCGATCCTCCAGGTACATTGGTGCCAGCTCCATGGCCGCTTGGGAATTCCAAACACTTCAGAACATTGCCGAGAAGAACGGCTGGCACAAGTTCATCTCCATGCAAAACTACTACAACCTGATCTACCGCGAGGAAGAGCGAGAGATGATCCCATACTGTCAAGATACTGGCGTCGGCCTCATCCCTTGGTCGCCAATCGCACGAGGCGCCCTCACAAGACCCTGGGGAGACCGATCATCCAAGCGCGCTGAGACTGACAAGTTCCTCGACATGCTTGTACACCAGCGCGAGGATGCCATTGACAAGAAGATCGTTGAGCGTGTGGAAGAAGTTGCGAAGAAGCATAATGTTAGCATGGCATGTATCGCTACTGCTTGGACCATAAAGAAGGGCGTGTGCCCTATCATCGGATTGAGCAGCAAGGAGAGAATCGACGAGACAGTGAAGAACAGTAACTTCAAGCTTAGCGACGAGGATGCAAAGTACCTTGAGGAAGTGTACGCACCCAAGTTCAGGCAGGGCTTCTAAACGGTGATAACAAGCAGTTGTACAAGATAGCCACAAAATACATGTAATGATGATCTGAAGTACTACCAGAAGGCTCGAGAGTCGTTGGGAAGCATGCGTGATGGGTGCTTCACTCTTAAGGACTGGAGATTGGTGTTATACCCTGAGCAGATTCCACAACGCACTTGACAGACTTGTCAACAATAAATCCAGATCAATCTGATCAATCAAGCAGTGAAAATTTGTATTGCAAGCCAAGCCAATCCAGCATATCGTAAGATAGTAGTCAATCAAGCTCAAAACTGCCAGATTGATTGATCAGATTGATCGGACTCAGCCCGAGCGTGAGGTTTTTGGATTTGCCGTAGGAGTGGTATCGTGATAATTTTCTGGAGTTGTAGTTATCTTTGGCCAACGACGTTGGCTGGAGACTCTATCCTCAACACCACGATACAGCTCCCCGTGCGCCTACAGCAGCTTCAGCTCAGCTCCAATCTACAAAACAAGCTTAGCAGTTGCCTAATTAGGCAATTGTAACACTATCAATCTAATCAATCAAGCCATTCATTCTAAGCGTTTTTGATCGATTGATCTCATCAATCAAGCCAAATCACTATCAAGGTCAAACCAATTCAATCAGGGGTGCTCAGATTGATTGGCTCGATTGTTGGCAAGTCTGGCACTTGAGTAACGCAATGTAATACAGTGAGAGCTTGTAGTCCTTCCTATGAAACGCAGTAGCAAATTGGATATGCTCACAACATGAATGCAATGTTTCATCCTCATATCAATGTGTCTCGTTTCAACACTTACCCACAATCAGATTGACACCTCCTAAGACTCAACTCAACAGCAACAACATTACGAAACCTCTACTCAAGACCCACCTCACCGCCTTACCAAACGCCTGTTCAACAGAAGACGCAAAAGCAACTCCGACTTTCTCAACACACCTCCATTTCCATCACAATGGGCATTACAAATCCCATACATGCATCACCTACTCGCCCTACCTCCCACACACACACACACACATGTATACGCCACTAGTTCATCCAACCTTGGAGGGCATGCATATGCCAATGGGTAGAGCCAGCCTATCTCGAGACGAGACGAAAAAGCCGTTGAGACCATGCACGTACTCGAACGACGCATGCATGCACATCTGTAACCGGTTTGGCGTTTTTTGTACAACGCATACAGGATATAATGTTGCTTTTTCCTGTTGGCCCCACAGTGGCGTCTTCACTCCGTGGGCTGCGGTCTTCTAGCTGCTTCTAGGGGAGGAGGAGGGTTTGGTAGCTGGAAATACGGGAAACTCAAGTCTCTGGTAACTGGTATGGGGCGGGTAGAAGGGTGCAGGACGGGTAATTTTACATGTACTCCAAAGAGGTAGCGAGGTGGATAGGGCGTAGTAGTGTACCGGATATCGTGCATGAAACGTTGAGATGTGGCTAAATCGGTCGTGAATGTATCGGCTACGAAGACCGAGCGATAGGAACGTACACCGTGAAAGGTGCGTTTGGGAGATCGAGATGAGTTCCCTTCCGGTGAGTATGGATCACCCACACGCCACAACATACTACCAAACCCCGCGTTAACCCTAGCCCTACACTACGACTACACCTTACTGCTATGGACATGCCATCGCAAGCATACGCCTGTCTGCGAGCTTACGACTGACCTCTGGACTGTACAACACATGCACTATCAATAACAGGCCCATCCCGTCTTCAAAGGCCTCGCCTAGGCACCTTCATGACCCGTTGACGGATCGGCTAGCTATGGGCGTGATCGTGATCGACACAAGCCGGTAGATCATGCTTCTCGCTCCAGGACCTGGTGCAAAAACAACAAACCTGTTCTGCCAGAGCTTGCGACGACGAGTTTGAGGACGCGGGTTGTATCGGACACGAGGGGCAAGAAGAGCGGTGAGGTCCGGTGCTCTTTTTTCCTTCTTGCCGGGGTTCAGCCGCAATGTCGGCCGGCAAAAACGTCTTGCATGGTAGGTGAAACACGAGTTGCTGTACTGTATATTCTGTAGATTTGATGCTGTTTTAGGGAAGTGGGGTTCGGGAGGGGTTGGCGATGCAGGCACGGAGATGAGGTTGGGTAGAGATTTTGTCGGTCTGGAGGCTGGGAGTCGAGCCGTAACTGACTCACACAGTCCAGCCTCACATCTACATCCGAGTCACGAGAATGCCAGATCATCAGTGTAGTCTGATAGCAATAATGATAATTCCCAGTTTTTATTTTGCTTCCCTAGCAAAATAGATGATAGATACATACTCTGTTTTCAGTAATAAAGAAATCCGCCTCACTCACAGTCAAGCACAAACCAAAGTTTGTGCCAGAGCTGGAGGAGTATGTTCGAAGCCTCGAGTCAAGGAAAGAAAGAAAGCCTGCTCGCTCGCTATGCCAGTAACACAATCGTCAAGAAGATGAAAAGAGGTTATTTGTTGCTCGAGAGGTTGTGACATGGATTGAACGTCAACAACACAGAGTGTTGGAGTGCGACACCATACCAGGGACCCCTCCAACAGTTCCAAAAGGAAATAAGTAAACAAAAACAATCCAGAGAACACACGGAACTCACTCCGCGGTTCTGCTCGCTCGCTCGCTCGTACTGCTTGCTCATGTAAAATCAAGTAGTCGTGATCGTTGTCGTAGATCATACGTCAGCCGTCTCGGTCAAGAAGGTCAATAAAAGTCGTATGAGTTCATTTTATAGAAGAATTGGTCCGGTGTCGCCGGGAATGAGTGTGATGTAGTTAGGAGTTATGGAAGCCGAAAGCTGTATCGTTGATCGTAGAGGGATCGCGGGAAACATGGCATCCATAGGACACCGGGGAATCGCAGGAAAATGCAGCAAGATCGTTCATCGTTTAGTTGGGGTCGTCAGCCGTTGTTGTGCAAACATCGGACACATGAGTCGTGATCGTTCTATGTATATGGGGTGTGCCGTGAAAACAAGCTGCTGGGTGGTTGTCGGGGATGAGTCGCGCGTAAAGGATAGGTCGTGAAGAGAATATGCAGCCTGATGATTAAGTAGTAGTGGCAGTGCCTTAGTTGGCCCTGATGACAAGCTTCGAGAGGAACTTGTTCGACAATGAGTCGAAGTCGGTACGGTCGAACTTGCAGTCACTTCTTGAACGGAGGTACGTTTCTAGGATTGTTGTTAGCATGTTGAGACTAAGTAGAGGCGGACTGTGCTTACCATATTTAGTGACGTGCGCGCGAACCTCGGTCATGGCATCGCAGACAGCCGGGTTCGAGTTGAGCAGGTGGTGGTGTTTCCTCGAATCCCACTCAGTGAAGGAGGGGAGCTTCTGGGAGATGGCCGAGAAGAGACCAACAATGACACCAACCGGTGTGCCCTCCATCTCGCCACAGAACTTGTTGACGGCACCGAGGTCAGGGACACGGTAGTTGCAGTCGAACTGAATCAGCTCCCAGACTGCGAGAAGGATGGCAGCGAGCATGAAGATGGTAGGCCAGTTCTTCAGCTTGTCGCCACTGTAGACCGACTGGTAGAGGGAAGACAGCTCCTCAAGGACATCCTTCTGCAGCTCACGCCACATGTCTGCAAGAGCACACTTGACCTGGAAGTTGATCATGACAGGCGCGATGGTCTTGCCAGAGAACTTGGACTGTTGGTCCTCGACCTTACCAGGCGTGTTGTCCTCGTCACCGAGACCCTCAATCATGGTAACGTGGAGAGTCAGGTTGTAGGCAAGGACGAGCTTGAGCGCCTTGCGGATGACGGGAAGCTTCTCGCGGCAGTAGAAACGGTAGGCAGTCTTCAACAACTCGGTGACGAAGTAGGTGCCCTCAAAGTACTCATCAACGAACTGCTCGAAACCACCGTCGATGTGGCGGTCAAGGTAGTCAGAGAGCATAGCGCGTGAGATGCCCTCCATACCGGCGGACAGCTTGGCGGTGTTGATCTCGAAATGGAGACCGTTGAGGGTCTCGTGCCAGTCGACACCGAAGCACTTCTCGTCACGGACGTAGACATCGCGGGCCATGATGGGAAGGTAGTGGCCATAGCCGTGGGTAACGTAGATCAGACGCTCTGATGTCGAGAAACCCTTGATGTTACCGATGGAGAAGCCAAGGCTGACGTGACGCTCGTAGTCGGCCTTCCAGTCCTTCATGAAGTACGCAATGTCCTTGATGTCAATGCGTGTGCACGGGACCTGCCAGAGACGCGCGTGGGAAGGCTGGCAACCGGCGCACGGGTCGCCCTTGTCACAAGTCTTCTTGAGGAACTTACACCTCAGGCATGCGCGAAGCTTGCGGATCTCGTGAGCCTGTTGTCGCTGGTCGGGCCTGAGAGGTCCCCGTCTCCTTCCGACGCGCTTCTCGCCAGTTGCGTCCTTCTTCGTGGTGTGAGCGGGTGTCTTCTTGACAATGGTCTTTGCAGGCTTCGATCCCGTCGCTGTTGCAGGAGACTTCCTGCGGCGAGCCGGTGGCGAGCTGACGGCGGACGAGGTTGGCGACGCCGTGTTTGACGACGATTGTTTTATGACAATTGGCTCTACTCGCGCCATGGGAGGGCTGACGGACTGTGTGGGGGAGATGTAGTTGGCGAAGTCATCGCTCATTTGGAGCCCGTGCGAGTGGTTGCAGTTTTCCGAGTGGCTGTGCGAGTGGTGCGAATGATGCGAGTGCACAAGCTCGAGATGGTTATCGGTCTCGGATTGAGGCGAGTGCATTGGGAACTGTATCTCCTCAAAACTGCTGAAGGAGTGGGCGGATCGTGGCACGTCTGATTGGTTCGAATTTGACGAGTCGGAGCCAGTGCGGATGTGGAGTGACTGGGCTGGGTTGAAAATGATGGCAGAACTATCGGAGTAGTCGTAGGAGTTGCGGTGACCGTGTCCGAGGCCAACGTCGACCCAGCCATTGTCGCTGCTGGAGAGCGAACGGATTTCCATCCAGTTCTCGCCGGGTGAGCCCGTGCCAACGCTGGCGGTGGGCGCGTTCGAGTGAGCGGTGTACTCGCCGGGCGCGTTTCCGAGATGCGTGAACTCGTGCTGGAAGTCTGCCATCTGGAAGGGTGCAGTGGTCAGTGTGGTAGGCAATCCGTCCATGCTGGCTGTAGTCATGAAGTTCATGGGTGCCATAGACATAGAGTTCATCATGTGCGAGTTAATGCCGAACTCGACAGGCGAAGTCTCCAATGGTCCTCCGTATGTGCTGTATCCTGCGCCCATTCCCATTGAGCCCTGTCCAAAGCTATCCTGTGCAAAACCATCTGTGTTGATGTTCATCCAAGTTGCGAGCATGGGGTTCATCGGTTGCATGCCCGCGGGAAAGCCGAGGCCCATGTGGAGAGGAGCAATGCTCGTGGTACTCGGGTGTGAGTTGTGCGCGGTAGACGCGGCTGCGTTGTTGAGGCGTCGCTGCTGCTGGTGCGGGTGCTGATGTTGCTGCTGCTGGTGCTGCTGGCTGCCATCGTGGTGTTGTTGTTGCTGTGTCATGGTTCCCGGCGAGATTGGCAGCGGCCACGTCTGTGAGAAGTTGTAGGTTTGTCGGTTCGGGTCGAAGGATGGGTCAAAGGCACCGTCTACACCGTAGATGGCCCCGTCGAAGTCGATGTGTTGGTTCTCCATGTTTGCACGGAGAGTGAAAATGGGTTCGAGTGTTCTCAGCCTCTTCGAGCTGATAGTAAGCGGTGAGGGTAAGCGGACGGGCGATGGGCCGACCAGAGTGTAGGCGGATGATGCCAAGACCCGTACACCGCTTTTTGTATGCAAGTCCCAGCCCCACACACCAGTGGCTCGTCTAGTCCTACACTTGGTTAGGATAGCGCCAGAAGCGCTGCAGCGGACCGCGCGATTCGCAATCGAGGTCAAAGAAAACCCTGACCAGCGTCGACCTGCGCGAGGGTTCCCAGACGGGCGCTGTCGGTGGTGTGCGGGTAGCGAGAGGGTGCTCAACTATCGTGGAGAGGCGCCTCTAGTGGGCAGATCGTTGAGCGACGAGAGAACTGAATTGTGTTCGCCCGCCGAGGCGCTCCACCTCTGTGCTGCCTCCTGGTTAGACCACTTGACCAGCGCCGCTGTTCGGTCTGGCTGTCGTCTGGCTAACCAACCCACGCAAGCTGACGCCTCACCCTGCAGCAGCCAGTGAGACGACGATGCAGGCAAGTGTGTCGCAATACCGTACTTCTCTCGGCACAGGTGTCGCCTACCGAGAGAGATGACCCCTCCTACGATAACGCCGATAAGCGTTAGACTCGGGGTCTTGTAGGATCAGGGTGTGGAGGGGAGCGTTGGGGATGCCGCAAGAAGCAAAGACAGCCTATACTCGACGCTTGAGTGCTATCTCTCCCCTCACGGCCGTGCTCGATCATCGACCTTCACCTCGAACGAGTTGTTCGACATGCAGCCAGGCGAACCGGCGTGCGCTACTGGCGCCCGTCGGTGGATCTAAGAATATAGACCGCGAGAAATGGTTGACCGTCCAGGGGTGTCGTATTTGCCTCACTGGCATGACCCGGCCTGCGACTCTATAACGGCACTTCGCCGTCGACGTCCAGACTCACCGACACGTCCGAAGACGCCTCGCAAATCGTCCTGCCGTCATCATACATTCTTGAGCCCTCGGCCATTCATTGCATGCGCGCCAGACCTGCCTCCACGCGCTGAACCCGCTCTCCGGCGGTTCCTCGCGCTGGCAAGCGTTGCCGCTACCCTGTAATGTCGAGCAGCGCCTTCTGCGTAACATCGCTTCCGATCGTGCTACTGAGCGCCCTGCCTTGCATCCAGATTCTCGTCCATGGCAGCCGTTTCAGGTATTGCCATCTGTCATGCTTCGCCTTTGAGCAGCGACAGCCTGACTGGATAGTACCCTGGTCCTTACTGGTGGGCGTATTACATTGGTGTCACTCATGCTGTGGCATGCCGAGATCCGTCTACGATACTCGTGACTATCTCTGTCGTCTGTTTCGTTTTGCCACTGTTTGAGGCATGTCGTAGTACAACAATTCTTCACGTCTTGAAGACGCTTCCAGATTCTGGTGCACACCGCATCGTGCTGTACAGTCGCATCCTATCTACGAGGGATCAGTAGCTGCGCAAGCCACCATCATCCCAAGTCATGGGGATAGATAGCGTTGTACCACCGGGCGGCGTTGCTGACGTTTTCCTTTGTCCTACATAGTGGCTAGTGTACTGTAGGCGAAAGACGGCCGCCTGTTAGGTCTAGTATGACGCGAGCAACATCTTTTTCTATTGACTGGGGTTGAGTTGTTCGTCGTGAAGAGCACGAAGAAGAAGACGAGAGGACCCGGGGGGACCCCCGCAGCGCATGTCAGATGCAAGCGGCTGATCTCTGGAGCGCTTTCCAACTTGAGAGCTGAAGAGATTGGGCAATGCATCTGGTTTACTCTGTGGGATGCATGCTCCCTCGTCACGGGGTGCCAGAGTGTAGCACTAGGAATGGCGATGGGTGTGAGACCGCGCAGGTAGCGCCATGCAGTAGAAGTAGATGGAAAGAGCCATGCAGTGGAAGCGGAGAGGATAAGGGCAATGGTCCAAGAAATTGGTGGTGAGTACGATAAGAAGTCGTAAAGTGAGACTGGGAAAGTAGCAGTGGCGACAATGTTTGGTGAGGGCAGTCGCAGTTCGCTGAATACTCTTTCCCTCCGAACGACGGTAGCCAGAATCTGGTTCACCCATCACACACCACAGTCCATCAGATATTACCAGTCCATGGTTCGCGCAACCCATTACAACGTGTCCAACCTCGTCGTGGAACGCATTGCTCGGTTATTGTTCCAGTGCAGGGAGTATCTGTTACGCAGCTACCCCACAGTCACGACATTGTGTAATGTCGCTCCGGTCAAAGAATTGGCCTGCATCAGTACAAGCAGAAGACTTTCATATCCAAGGAGGATCAAGTATTCTACGCTCCCTATCATCGCACGTGTTTCACGGTATCACCTTGGGCGTTGCCGAGCGGATGTTCTTTGAGCCACGTCCTACTTCAATCGATGCAAACCTCTGCACAAGGTCAAACAGATGAGAAGCAATGAACAGGAAATGTTCGTGAAGGTCTCACAGTGGCATAAGATAATGTATCTTCAACCATGGGATTATACTTGACTGCCACCTCCAGCGGAAGTAGCGTCGAAGGTGTTTTGACTGTGTGCATACAATGCCAGAACTCCAGCTGATTGTCCGGTAACTGCTTGCGCTCGCTGTTGCCGTTAGCTTGCTGACGTCGCAGATGCCGATGGTTGTGTATATACGATGTGGCGGCAATATAGCCACGCCTTGAACATATCGGACCCCGGACTTCAGCAATACGAAACTCTATATCTCAGGCTATTGTGAAAGCAATGGAGCTCATTCAGGGTCGTAGATCGCGGAGTACGGTAGTGACGGGAAGTTAGATCTGTGGGCCCACATCCGGCCTTCGGCTCCACGCGCATCTCCCGTAATTGTATAACGCAGACTGAGAGTGTAGCATTATATGTGAGACTCTTCGTGGGGCATGACAACACATCATCCAGCACCTGTCACTTCCATCTTGGTTGAGATAGGAAGTACGTGTCAGGTTTTGTGATTACCTAGATTTCATTCTCAACATCACTCCAATATCACACGCAAACTTCACAGCAATCCAAAAGACCTACAATATGGCACACATTGGCGCACTTCCCAAGATCCATCGTTACATCACTACTCATGACGACAAGGGCAAAGCAGTCTTCAGCGCCGCCTTCAATGAGGAAAGCAAGATGAAAGCCAACGATGACGGCATTGCGTTCGCCCTCAGCTTCACCACGAAAGGCTTCCCCGTCGATATGAACGGCGACAAGGATCTCGATGTCTACGGCAATTATCTCAAGGATGCCCCGGGCCTCGTCGTCTCCGGTGGCACAGTCCTCCGCCATGTCGATATTCCCCCAAGCACAGAATGCACGATGCACCGGACTGTGAGCTTGGACTACGGATGTGTACTCGAGGGCGAGGTCGAATGTCTGCTCGATAGCGGGGAGAAGCGGTTGATGAAGCGCGGGGACGTTTGTATTCAGCGCGGCACTATGCACCAATGGATCAACCACAGCAAGACTGACTGGACGCGCATGTTGTTCGTTTTACAGGAGTCAAGTCCCCTGAAACTTTCTGGTGAGGCGCTCGGCGAGGAGCTTGCGGGCATGGCTGGTGTGCGTTCGTCGGATTGAAAGTTGTGTGTCGGTGGATTCTGGGATGGTTCACTATCGATAGCAGAACTGCCAAGCCAGCTAGTACTCAATCTGATTACTCCCCACGTGCTCCACTCTTTCCCTTGACTGTAGCATTTGCAACAAACGCAGAGGGCAGTCCTTGAGTTCACCTATGATGGTCACGCTATACGAGCACGAGTTGTGACATCTATACTGTATCTGGCGGCTGCACCGTACTCGAACAATACTAAGCACCCTTGCAAGAAAGCCCTGGATCCATTCTCCCCGCCAGCCACTCACAGATAGATGCCCAGTCGCGTACCAACTAAGTCCAGACGCCACAACGTACATGTAAAGAAGATGGCCATGCCATTACGTCCTTCCGCTCAGGCCCCTTCTTCCCGTTTGCAGGAAATTATCCCCGGGTCAGAACGAATTGAAGAGCTTTCAGACGAAGAGCTTGGAAGCGATTACGAGGATATGGGGACTGCTACTGAGGAAGAGCAAGCAAACATCGCTTACCTAGAGAGTATCAGGGTACCGATCAAAGATTCACTCGTGACGGAAACGTCAGAGACCGATTATGAAACGGCCAAAAATATCTTACCTTATTTGGAGGGCAACCCGAACGATTTTTCATTGAATACTTTCGGCATACCAAACTTGCAACGACCAAAACACGATGACTTCTTGAGAGGACAGCTTGGTGATTATCCAGCACGCGCTGCTGGATTGGACGCTGCACGACCATGGCTCTTGTACTGGTCTTTGCAAGGCTTGACCGCGATGGGCTCTGACATAACTAGCTACGACAAAACGTAGGTCATCCAATCCAAGAATGCTCCATCTCCAAGATCTGCACGACATACGAGTTTGGTAGCACATTTTCTAACGTTGCATAGAGTACCGCATACGTTTTCTCTGGCTCAACATCCAGACGGAGGATTTGGGGGTGGCTATGGCCAGTATGCTCATCTTGCTTGCACGTATGCTGCAGTACTGTCACTCGCCACAGTCGGTGGGGCCCAGGCGTACGACACCATCAATCGCAAAGCTCTCTGGCATTTTCTGGGCAGGATGAAGCAGGCCGACGGAGGTTTTACCATGTGCCAGGGCGGCGAGGAAGACATCCGAGGCGCCTTCTGCGCCATGGTCGTGCTGTCTCTTACCAACCTCCCTCTTGAGCTCCCTCCTGATGCACCAGTACGTAAACAAGGCTTTACCAACTTCACAGACGGCCTCGGCGATTGGATTTCGAAATGCCAATCTTGGGACGGCGGTATCTCAGCGACGCCTGGTAATGAGGCCCATGGAGCCTACGCATTCTGCGGCCTGGGATGCCTTGCTGTACTCGGACCACCAAAGGAGACATTACACAAGTACCTGGACGTCAATCTTTTGATCTATTGGTTGTCAGCACGGCAATGTACACCAGAAGGTGGATACAACGGTCGCACAAACAAGCTCGTTGACGGCTGCTACTCTCAGTGGGTCGGAGGCTGTTGGTCCATTGTCGAGGCCGCAACTACTAAAGGACTCTGGAATCGGGGAGCACTTGGACGTTACATCCTAGCCGCATGTCAAGAGAAGAAGGGCGGCTTAAGGGATAAGCCTGGAAAGGGCCCTGACGCATACCACACATGTTACAATTTGGCTGGACTCAGTGCAGCACAGCACAAGTATGTCTACGACGAAAACGTAAACAAGACTTTGGGTACCGGCAACTACGGCGCGCCTTTCCACTGGAAGACAGAGGGACGTTACGATGGTGAGGATGTCGTTTGGGACGAGGCCGATGCTTTGAGAGCAGTGCATCCGGTGTTCGTCATTCCTTTTATGGCGGTGTATGAGACGCGAAAATATTTTGAAGATAAAGAGGGTTTCTGAGCATATCGATGATACTGTCGCAATTGGAACCACCGAAACAGAGTATTGTATCCATCCCTATGTATTCTATACTGCAGACTGACATCCGAAAGCTTAGTTTCGTTACAATTGTTGCCTTCTCTGTTGAATAAAACAAAAGCAGTTCTTCATAATATCATCAAACCAAAGAGAAACTCTCAAATAGAGCCACTTATTATCTAGAGCACTACGCAGTTCCCATGACATCGCCAAACGCTGTAAACCCGCCACTGTAAGCTCTAACACAAAGCAGACATGAACATGGAGTCTGCATCTAGAAACCCATATGTAGCCGACATCTACATGGTGGCCCTCAAGCCCCCTTAGTCAGACACCGAAGACTGTCTGCCTTTCTACCACCTGCCTCCTCCAAGATCTTCAGCTGTCCAGCACCAATGTCGTAGATGAGACCGTGAAGCGACAAGCCTCGCTCAGCGATAGCCCTCTTGATAGCAGGATGCTGCTTCAATACATCAATAGACTGCTGAACGTTGAGCTCTGCAACACGAGCTGACCGCGCATCGTCATTCGGCAATTCCTCTAACTCGACTTTGTTCTGACGACGGAGCCTATGTGGGTCCATGTCAGTAGCATTCAAGCATCCTGATCCTGCGAACACCTGTTCGCGCCACTACCTCCACTTCAAACCACGCTTGCAGGAGAAAGGAAGACAAACTCACTCTCGGACCGGATGTAACCATGTATTCAGCGTCGTGCCCAAATCCGCATCGCTCAACGCTGCATTTGCACCTCCGCATTTTGTATGCCCGCATACCACGACTCTATTGACTTTCAGATGTGTGACCGCATATTCGACTACACTAGCAGCATTCAGATCATCCGCATGCACCGTATTCGCGATATTGCGATGGACAAATATCTCTCCCGGCTTGCAGTGACACACAGTCGTTTCTGGGATGCGGCTATCTGCGCAGCCGATCCACAGAATCTCAGGTGCCTGGCCTTGGGCGAGGAGCGTGAAGGCGTTGGGATCGCATGCGGTAGTGCGTTTTTGGTAGGCGAGGTTGCCAGCTAGGATGTGGTCGAGGGGATCTGTGGTAAAGTGGACTGATTAGTGGTGTCATATTTGCGGATGGTGGTGTGAGATTTGCATGCTGGTAAGGCCCGTAAGGGACTGATCCTTGTGTGGAGGATCTGCGCTAGGGTGACGCGACAGAGATGGGTGCATGTATAAAGTCTGAGTTGAACCATAGAGTTTGAAAGCTCTTGATGCCTCTTTTGCACGTATCTCGGTTGCGCATGCGAAATCTGGAAGATACGGAAGTTTTTAGAGAAAAAGTACATACCGGTGTAGTCTCCCATTTTGAGTTGTGCAAGCGGTTGGCGGCTCTATACCCGGAACCTTCTATATTTAACACGAAATCTATGTCGAGCCTTCTCGATGTTTTTTTTATGGAAGATATTTATACAAAGAAGCAAGAGAAGGAATTGACTACGGGATGTGAACCAATGTTGCCTTCAATCATCGCAGACGTATGACCCCCCTTCTCCGGCTGACCCAGGTCGCACGCGAGCGTATGGTGAGCGAATGCTCTCGCGGCATGCGACACTATCTGGATACGCCCCCTCTTTCATTATCTAGCTGGCCTCTAATCGCAACTCTCACGAACGTCAGAACCATATAGAGGCGCCATATTGAGCAGGCATGGGTAAGATGCGCAAGAAGAGAGCGGTATCCGGGTACCGAACTAAACTTCCTATTCAATCTTACTCCACACAATGTCTTTCAGAACGTGTGAATTTCTCATCTACAGCGGCCAGCGGCACCTCACTTTCCTCCAAACAAACATCGTACTGATTAGGCTCCATGCATCTGCCGCCAAAACACCCAGCCCGCCGAGAAACGCCTACATGCAGTGAAGCACTATGAAGCAATTTTACGGGCTTAGTCGTGCTCAGCATCACCGTTTCCTTATTTAAACCCGATCGAAGCCGCACCTTGTCCTACCGTCAAGCTCTCAGCATGCCTTTTAGCCTTCTTGGATCCATCTGCTAGAGTCCATTTCGAATGGTTGAAAGATGTCATGCTCCTTCCCCTCGAATCTGAGGACATGATGCACAGAGGAATCAGCCGCGGCAATGTCAGCGCATACAAAAGCCCGTCACTACATCAAAGAGAGAAACTCAACATCTTCTTAGAGCAGGGTACTTCTTCCTACTACAATAAAGCGTAATAAGATTTATGTAAATATCAATTAGGAATCTAGAAGTCTACAATACTATTAGTCTTTGTAAGTTTCTTTGTTAGAAGCTATTGTAAGCTTCAAGGTAAAGCTTATTATCTCTATACATGTTCGGCTTTTCCCTTGTGTACAGTGCCGTCAGCCACGTGCTCAACGCTTGAATATTGTGAGGCTCTTATCGCAGTTGGGACATTTATCATCCACTGTTCGAGAGACCTAAGGGTCATAAGCTGCAGGTCAGGTCGAATTTCATGTCAGCTCTACTTCAAATGTGAAAATACAAGTTATCCTCCATCTAGAATATGAAATATCTCGGTCGCCTAAATGGGGCGCGAACGCCAAGTAAGTCGTGACACGAGATGACGGTACTAAGAAGGTTGAGGATGTAGACTCGTTGAAAGTAACAGGTAGTAAGCATACACAAACCCGACCCATACCTGAGTCGTGCGGTGTCATAGAACTAGTAAGATATCTAAGTGTACAGTCCCTTGCGTACACGTATAAACTCCAAACACACCCTATCGCTCGTACAGTCAAAAAGCAAGCGCTCTTTTGTAGGCTCATCAACGCCATTCTGTAAAACAATATCTTGCAAGCACATTACACCTAGCCACCACCTTCAGCGACGGCCTTAAGTAGCCCCACAATGTAATTCCTCAGAGTAAGATTATGACTGGCCGTGAAGGCAATCTGGTCTCGCAGGGGAGCGAAGATACGGGGCACCCATCCGGCGTTCTTCGCCTCTTCTTCCTCCTTCTCTTCGTTCTCTCGTCTTTGCTCCGCTGCCGCATCACTGAGACGTGGCTTCTTGGCACCAGCTGTGGCTCGTCTCGCGGCTTCGGGACTACCTTCGCTGGCACTGAACGTCCGCTTGTGAACCGGAGATGATGGAGAAGTGACATCGATGACAGAAGTCGGTGGCGGGATCTTGTTGAGTTGGCGAGCGAGGTTACGAAGGACAAGAACGGCGGACAAAGGAAGACCAGCGGCGTCGTTGGTATCATCAGTCGCAGTGTTGTAGTAGCGGAAGTTGGGTGCTGCTTGCGCTCCTGCTGCATCATCTCGACCTCCGCCGTATCTACTCGCAGAAGTGTTCGACGAACTTTGGTGTCGTCCGCCCATGCCCAAGCTGCCTAGTCCAGCAGGCTGTGCAGATTGAGGCTGGGAATTTTCATGCCGTCCTTGTGTAGATGAAGTCAAGGGCCGTGACTCCGAAGGCGTGCGGTTGTGTTTTGCATGTATGGCATGCTTGATGCTGGTATCAGGCAAATGCGTCTTGACATGTTGTCCAGCTTCGAACGCAGATTCTGTGCCGTCAGGCGAAAATCGTGTGCAGCCACCCCAGTGACAGTAGTATTTCGTCGCCGCGGTGGCAGAACCGTTCTCGATCTCCATAATGTCCTTGATGTCTAGCTTGGGCTCGAGCAACCACTGTCCGGTCTCCTGGTCGCGAGGAACTTGGAGATGGACACTGACAACGTGCTCCCACATGGAGCGAGCACCGGAAGCGAACTCGCCGCACTCGATGTTCGCAGTCGAATGTTTCGAGTCAGCATGTCCGTTGAGCAGGCTCGGCGGATGCCAGCAGCATCGCATGTACGGCCTCTTGGTGCTTGGGTCGACTGGTACGGATCGTGGCCGTATACCTCTTATGGTATACTTTGGCTGCCCACCCACGGTCAACACCTGAGCGGAAGCACCGCCAAACGTCGTTGAGACGTTGGTGATGAAGTCCTTTGCTGGCATAAGCGCTTTGAAGTTGGCTGGGTTGTTCGTCATGTGCTCCGAGAAGGCGGCGTTGTATGCTGACCACAACTGGATCTGTGTGATCTCGCCTGTTGTGTCCTCTTCGAAACACGTCTTCAGCCACTGTGAACTCCGTTCTGGCTCATCGAGAGTCACTAGATGATCTATGATAGCAGACGACAGCTTCGGCGCATTCTCTGGCGGCGCGGAGGTCTTCGCAGTCTTCGCGGTACTTCTTCGTTCCTCGTAGGCTACCGCACCGTACTGTAGTAGTCGGACTAGCTGCTTTATCACACCTTCGATGTCAACTTCGTGTACAAGCTTCTCGACGTTATCAGGGAATCCAGTGAACAGATAGAGGAAGTCCAGGCATGCTATGCGGAGGTCTTCATCTTCTACCAACAGCCAGTCGCATATCGACTTGAGAGTCTTGATTGGCACGTCCGAAAGCTTGTTGGTAGCCTCCAGGTTCATTGCTATCCGCGCAAGTGCTCTCAACGATGTGATGATGCGGCCACGGTCGTCTGAGTCGACTTGGGCCAGCAAAGAGCGGTAGAGCGGGCTTTGCGAGTCCAATATCCAATACTTGGTCAGCTGCTCGGCGATCTCCAGGGCGTAGTGTTGCAGCTCCACAATAGTAGAGTGGTGTGGTAGATTGAGTGCGATGGTAATCATGTCTTGGATGGTTGGCACAGAGGCAGCGAAAATGGCATTCTCCTTCAGCATCACCATGTTCCTGATAATCAGCGCAGCCTCGTTGATCATGTTGAGGGCCTTTGCGGACTGCTCCGGCAGGAGGTTATCTTGCATATCGAGCATGCGGAGAGACTTGATGCGCTGTAGCAGGTCGCGGGTACCAGAAAGTCCGTTCAGTGTCTGCGGCTGATTGAATTCCTCCTCGACATAGGATATGTCCCAGTTCACGTCATAGAACAATGCGGAAACATCGATGACCTTGGCAATAAGCGCCTCTGCGAGCCCTGGGAACTGATCGAAGCGGTACTTGTCCCCCCGCTCGTGCGAGATCTTGACCAGATGGTGTAGCGCGTATGCCTCCTCCTCCGGCTCCTTGGAACGCAGCGCATTCAGGGCACGAATGTAGATGCTGGGTCCCGGGAAACCGGTACCAGGCAGCATCATGCCCTTGAGCGGCACTGGCCTGTTCTTCTTGTTGAGGATGTACTTCTTGCGCGACTGTATGTACGTATCGAGGGAGTTTGACGGGGTAACGACGGGCTTCATGGTGGCTGGTACGGCGGTTCGCGGCTCGTAGTTCGCGATCGTCATGGCTGCTCCACTCGTGCCATAGCCATTTGCTTGCGACGAGGTCAGATGGCCTGTCGACTGGCGCGTCTGTCGCGTTGAAGACTCGGGCTGGAAGAGTACGCGCTGCGGCGGTGCATGGCGGAGGGACCTTGTTGACCGACCAACGCTACCAGGGTCATCCACATCCATCTTGTCGTCTTTTGGTGTCTTTTCGACGTCGTCTTCGTCTTCCGAGTCTTCGTCTCCTCTTAATCGCTCTGCCTCTCGGCTGCTGGGTGGGAAGAAGTTGTCGACGGTTCGGTTTAGGAGGTCTCCGCCCTTGGCAGATACGTTCTCGAGGATCTCGGGCGGCGGCGGTTCGCGCTTGTGGACAGTAGATATCTCGTAGGCGCTAAAGCAAGCATTAGCAGGTGTGAGGCGCAACGGGTTCTTTCACCATTCACATACGCAAGGTTCTTGTAGTAGGCTGTCTTCACCAAAAAGGCCTGGGTTGTGATGCTGGGGCTCTTGGGAAGGAACTCGGTCGCGATTTTGCGCCACGCAAGCTTGTTGTTTTTGGTATCTGAAACCCTATCGTAGCCTCCCTCCTCATTGACGCGTTTGTAGAGCCGCAAAAGGTCGATGTGTCGGCTCCCGACCTTGGGTTCACGGTCCAGAACAGTGCTACACGTCGGGTCAATATGCGCTCATTGCGGTGCCACAAGCAAGAAAACCCACCCGCGCTTTTCGTGGTATTCGGCCAAAGTGTTTAGGAAGTCTTCATATTCTTGGGTGCGCTCGACGGATGATTCCTCCGGTCTGTTTGGGGCCATGTTGCGGCTGTCGCATTCACTCGGGGCTACTCGGAAACGGATCGCGACGCATGCGTGATTTCAGCTGTGTGCCTGGCACAATGGTGGATTTGCTTGTGAATGCGCGGCGCGCGTCGGTCGCGATGATGGATGGGCGAACACCAGAACTCCAGAATGCACCAAGTCCCTCGCGTTGACCCGCACGGGCCACATCATGTGACTGGCCTGGCCGGTTGCAACTTCCCCAGGTCTCATCCCACCGTCTCTCACATTCCTCCAGCATTACGCGAGTGTCTTCGACACGACACAGCTCGTCCACTGTTAGATGGAGCTGATTGATCTCGACTAACAAATAACCAGCACTAACCACGATGCTCTCACTTCCGCTCGCGACCCTGTCAACGGCCCGGGACACCGACGCCAGTGAGCAACAGTTCATCTGGCAAAAAGAGACGAGGGATCTCACTCTCATTATCGACAGCTACGGTTCACGCGATGGCTTCCAGCTTATGAAAGTGGTTCAAGGCTCACAGATTCGGGTACGGTGCATGCACAACTGATGCTTCACCGACTCGAGCTGATAAACTGCTGCAAATAACGTGCTGGCTAACCGATCTTTCACAGCAAACTATCGAGATTGAGAGACTGATCAACGAGGGAAACGATATGACTCGTCTGTATCAAGAACGCGGGGTGCAGATACAGACCGACCAGCTCCCCATTACTGCCATTGTACGCTCCCCTCTGCTGGCCATACGATGGCAGCTGGCCAACAACAAGCTCCGGCGTGTCCAAATGAGGTTTAAGTCAGACAAGGACTTCGACACTGTATCTAACTACCTCCTTCAAATCGGCCTGCACATGAGTGGAACGAAAGGAGCTCTGTCCAAGCCGAAGCTAACAGCTCCCTTACCATCGCCAGCACAAGCATCACCCTCCAGATCGAGTCCGAAAGCTATTGCGTCTCCTGAGGAGCCTTCTAACAGATCTCCCGCAGGCAGACTATCGTGTCCTCCATCGCGGCTAGCAGAAATCTCAAGTGGTCCCTATACTAGCCACAGTGCCTCCGCCAATACAAGTTCGCAGCTACAAGGAGGGACATGCCCTCGTCCAGCATCTGCCACTCCAGCCTACGCTAAGGAAGACTTAGACATGTCGGCCTCCTTATCAGGCCCCCTTGCTCCTCCTGTATTGTTCGCCCGGCCTACCTCAGCTACCTCAGATATATTAGGGCGTTCGCATCTTGATATCTCGCCTCCGTCAGATCAGCACATGTCCGCCGTCGAAGGGACCCCTCATTTGTCTACTGAGCGACCAGATACTGCTATGCTCTTCAGCCGCCCTGGCAGCGCCAATCGCCCTGATAGTGCCAACCGTCCCGGCACTGCTAATCGTCCCGATAGCGCTGAGACACCACCGCCTAGACGTGAGCTCCCGTTTCCCCGTCTGTCGTCACCTCGCTCCTCGGGCAGTGACAGTGTGCGACCATCCACTGGTACGATGGGACCACCTCCTCTACCGTCTCGCGCAGCCAGTGGCCGACCCAGTTCTAGCCGAAGCGCAATGAGCAAGGAGATTGAACTTCCCCCCTTACCTCAGCCAACTGTTGTCAGCAAGACCGTACATGGAGACAAAGCAATGCAGCGGCCTCCTCGTACACCAAACCAAGATCACTTTAGTCCTCTGCGCGCGAAGACGTCACCGCACGAAGGTGTCGAGAATCGGTCGCCTTTGACCTTGTCTCCCATGTCATCTCCGCTGTCATTCAAAAAGTTGAGCCCGACTGCTTTACCAACCCCGCTCGGTACACTCAGCAATGCTGCTCAGAATACTCACAATACTGTATTTCAGAGCGCTCCGATTACACCACCTACATCTGTCACTGGCCATCGTAGTGGAACAAACGAGACCGATGGTCTGGCAGCGTATGCAACGCAGTCTGACGAGGAACGCAGAGCATTGCTCAATGAGTTCGTCTTCCGCCACCTAGAGAGCGACGACTTCCTTACTCTCGTTCAAGACATGGAGACAGCATGGGCCAGGGTCGCAATGGGTATGTAATGAAAGGTCTTTTGACCGGCCGGGCATCTGCAATGGAGTACGTGTAGGGACAGCCTCGCTGAAGCTTCGGCAGAAGACATGAGGCGGACTGAAAAGATTTTCAAGTACACTAATCTAGCAGAATGAACACTTCCGAAGTTCTATAGTACCGAGAACACAAATTGACCAATAACATCCTTGTTATGGTGAGATGGCCGAGTTGGTTATGGCGCCAGGTTAAGGTTACCTTAACACATATTCCTGGTCACGAAAGTGGCGCGAGTTCGAGTCTCGCTCTCATCAGCATTCGTCTGCCTTCAGTCAGATACCCCAGGTTTTTTTTGCGCCAAGCAAAGAGTATAACGCTGAAATTTAAGGTCCTTGTTTTTAGAGTTAGTGTTAATTCTGCGTGTATACGTTCATATTATACTTCTTCTATAATTACAGCCCTTCTAAACTTGTTGTCTTCTACTATCGTGCTGACTTTATAATCGTGAGATCATGTCAAGGTGACGTTCAGCTACAAGCGTTATAACTCTAGAAGCATAAGGCTTAGCAGAGGAAAGTACTTTTCTCCTCTCGCTGCAATCGAAATCTATGCCCTACCCTTTCCCTTCCCTTCATATGTAGGGACAGGGGACGAGAAACCACCGAATTCGCTGGGCTCCTCCTCATCATCAGGACTTCCGCCGACAGCACCCTCCACCACATCACTGAAGCCTTCAAAGTCAGTCGCCTCAGACTCGTGGCCCTCGTTCCCACTCTCGTCCTCAAAGTCTTCCCAGAGCTGCTCTGGGTGAATTTCCCTTGAAAGGACAGTTAGTGAAGCGTTGCAGAAAAGGGATTTCGAAGGCTTACTTCAGGTGCTTGATGAAGCCTTTCACACCCTTATTCGGGGTCTGACACACGGGGCATATGACATGAGATGTATGGTCCAAACCATCCTGCTCCAGCGCGCGCCTGATTTGTTTCTCCCGGGTGTGCAAGCCGCCTCGCATGTGCGTTTTCAGTCGGTAAAGGTTGAACTTACGATCTTTGGCAGCCTTATCCATGGTGGGATCAATTTGGCAGCGAGGACAATTCAGGTTGGCCTGCGGCACCACAGAATCGCGCTAGATCTAGTCAGCATATGCGTAGAGTTTGTGAGTGTGAATGAGAGCTACTAACAAGATTATACCATTTCATGAGAAACTCGTGCCTGGCGTCCAGAGTCTGCGCTGAAGTCTCGCCACTGCCGAGCTGTATCTCGACTACGTCTTTGAGACTATACACTTCTGATCAGTATGGAAAGTTCTTTTTGTTCACAGAGGATAGATAACTTACCCAGCCCAGCATTCTGGCTCTTCTCGAGAATGCATGTTCTGCTGCTCCATGAAACCCGGATCAAGTCCTTCTGTTTCCTCCTCATCGGGCACAGCTTCGACAATGCTTTGTATGGCGAGTACGGCTGTCTCTGAAGCTTCAAGACCGGTGACGTCTAACTCACTGGCGTTGCGCGGCTGGTAACCAGTGCCATCACGTGAACTGAGGATGGCTTTACGAGATTGCTTTTGGCTCTCGGACAGAACAGCGCTGTGCTTTGAACGTAGCTCTTCCATCATCTCCTTGCGGATTGTCAGACGCAAAGCTCTGTAAAGTGCTTTCCTTGCCTTAAGCTGATCGTCAATCCTCTGAGTGAACTCCGTAAGGTGGTAAGTAGTTGCCAGAGCTTTGTACTTGGCGCCATCGTTGCCTAGGAACCCAAGAGGTATCTTCTCCATTTCCGGTATCTCGCCGTTGACTTGCATTTCCTCAAGTTTTTTGCCAACTTCCGTGTACAAGTCCTTTAGTTCCTGCTCCTTTGCAATGTACTCATCGTGGTTGTGCAGTCTATCTCTTACTTGTTCATTGAGAACTTGTCCGAGTGATGCATCGTCGTAGTTATCTGTTTGCTGGTAGCGTGCGAGATTGGCTTGAGAAAAATATTTGCGTATCTCCTCGCGACTCATGGTCTCATCCCCACCTTGCCGGAAATGCTGCATGTCAAGATCGCCGAAGCCCACATTATCGTAGAAGAATAGACTGTTCGCATTTGCCACATGAAACGCCAAGTCTTTTGCTTTCTCGGTGCCGTGTTCTCGACGAGTTTCAACGATCGCTGTACGTCGAAGAGAATAATAGGTGTTTCGTTCGAGGAGGCCGACGCCGGTGCAAAGTTGCTGGAGTTTGGGGTTCAGGGCGCTCGATAGCATTTCCTTATCTGGATGCAAATTACCGGCCTGATCTGCTTGCACAAAGACCTGTCCCATGTTATTAACGGGCCACTGGGAAAGGGGTTTTGGTTGTCGCTCACAGCCTGTTGGTTGATATCATCATGCTTCTTCAAAAAAACATCCGATGGCTTGCGGGTAAGAATTTCCTATTGAACGAATAGTCAGTTTATGCTCTGCGTATCTCGTTTACAGACAGGACGCACCTCCAAGGTTTGGACGAACAGGCCACGCTGGCAGGCGATGCCGAGCAGTATGAGTGCAAGGTCAAACTCGAGGCGTTCGTTGGTCGATGGCAGGAAGCTGTTGTCAGGAACCAGATTAGCAAATGTGCATCGTGAGTTGCTCTGCGTATGATAATACTGACATAAATGTTCGTTTCGCATCGCTGGTCATCGCATGATCCTTGTGTGGGTTCCGATACCCTTTGTGATATCGAAATGTGATGCGCACGGCAATGCCCACTTTCATGTTGACAAACTCAACATCTGACCACCGAAGTGTCGCGCTCAACTTGCAGAACCGGCCGGAAACTCCTTTCGAGATTGTTAGTGCCCACTACTAGACTTTTGAGATGGCAAAGCATACCTAGAGGCTCTCCCTTTGCGTAACCTTGGCCGACAGTGAAAGAGGCAGGCCTCACGGCGGTCAGCCACACGAGTAGCAACGCAGCCCAGTGTTGCTTGAGATTGTCCAGTCCGTAACGCTGGTTACAAATGTAGTCGAAGATGAGGACGAGCTCGCAGTCGCTCAAGTTGTTCTTCTTCCATGAGCGAGTGCTCAAGGACTCTTGGACAGAAAGCTGGTGTATGTGCCGCGCCACTTCGGTGTGCCACTTTTGCCAAAGGAGGTGGAAATTTTCAACAAGTACTGCGGCCCACCAGTAAATGCTGTGTTTGTATCCTGGAGAAAGTGTGTCAGCATCAAGACAAAGGCCTTTAAATCTCAAGATGTGTACTCACCCCACAACGTAGAAGCCTTTATATTCTCCTCAAATCTGCCTTGAGTAATGTTGGTCACCCCCTCCAGAAACTGCTTCGTGCGAGCAGTGAACATCTGAGAGTTCCAGATCTGTTCGACATCGGTCTCGCCATAACATGACTTGACGAAAGCTTCGAAGTACGCCCTGACCTGCTCTCTTCTCTTTCCTACAGAAGGCAATCAGCGAAAGTACTTTCTTGGAGCGGAGCAACGACAGCGTATGGCGCTGTAATACGATATATCCCTCAGGATATACAAGAAGAACGTGAGGCACTTACTGGTTTTGGGGGCGGAGCCGTCAAAGTATTTCGAGTCTTCTGCGTTCTTGCGAATCGCCGCCATCTTCTTTTCGTTTGCGGCCAGCGCGGCGAAGCCGAGATGAACTCGGTCCGACACCTTCTTCGCTGGTGGAGGCTGCGCCATAATTGATCGTGTAGTATCAGGTGAGATTTTGTCGGTCGTGGTAGGTGTAACAAGCAAAGAGCAGCGGAGAAGATGGTCAGAGGTGAGAGACGCAGCGGACCCATTTTTTCTGCCTACGCCAACAAGAAGATGCAAACGCCCGATAAATCCGAATATGTGCTTCTCACGAGGATGTATGCGTGACGTATGACTGCGCCCGAGTATTACCGTTCTAATTAATTGCATCCTACGTGCAGTGCGACATCACTGTTGGTGACCTATGCATCACCACCATATTTGACGTGAATCATCACCCACTACTACTCTCCGTCCCCGAGAAGCAGCACTGGCAGTTGCAAGAGGTAATAGAGAAACAACTTCTCTCACCTGGGGCACGCCCTCCGCCACTGCGCCAGACCAGAATTGCAAATCCCAAATTCGCACCCACAGCTTCTAACAACATTTTGAGCACTCTTTGGGTCGCTGCTCTTTGATCTCGCGTCAATTCAAAGCACAAGGTAGATATCTCGCAGTGCTCTCCATGTATGACAGCGCCAATTCATGAAAAGGGCTTTCCAACATGGCAACGCATGTTGAAGACGAGGCGGACCGCCCTGAGGCGCTTTCAACGCAAAACACTGATATACCCACTGGTACCACAGACCAGGAGTCGCCACCGTCTACACAAGCGTCATTCACGCCAGTCAGAAAGACCACAAATCGTCGCAGAGTTAGCAGAGAAGCGCCACTGAAGGCGGGCAAAGCGAACGATGCCACATCTTTCATCAACAAGGATAACCCAGAGGCAACCATTGCAGCGTACTGCGGCTGCGATGATGTGGGAATTTTTCGTCGATTCTACACAAGTGCCCTGGTTCTACCGTACTATGTCAAGAGCCTTAAGTACCGCGGCTACGGGCGCCGGACAGTGCTGTCGCTACTGGGGGACCTTCCGTACGATCAATACTGGGCGTCAGATGAGGACCCGGAAGAGGTATATCCCCTCACAGATACAGAGAAGCGCGGCTCAAACTTCAACTATGGCATGGGCTTGATTCTATGGCAAATGCTCCGCGGGATCAGGAAAGGCCTTTCTCCCAGCTCCCCAAAGCTCGACGAGGGGGATTTCACCCGTCAGACAGGGCGCTTATTACCACAAGCGTCGCCGCTGAACCCAGAGGAGACACCATCATTCGGTCCATTCGCTGGCGAATGTGAAGTAGAGGCATTGAACAGATGCCTTTGCTTGCTGCAGCATGTTAAGTACACGACAAGCAAGTCACAGTGGGAGAAGCGATTCTTCAGTGCGACACGATGGGACGCTTCGAAACGAATTTTGGGTGACTACGCGCCTGATTGGATGCGTACCATCGATTCGGTTGATGCGCTTGAAGCGCCAGACGAGTTTATGGGGTCGTCCGTGGTTGAAGAGACAAAAATTGTGACTGTTTTCTGGAAACAAGCCTCCAAGCACAAGAGAAACGCAGCTTACGTGGAAAAGCTCAGGGAAGAAGACATCCTATTGGAAGTGCCAAAGTCGGCGGAGATCACATTTACGGCTTCGATGCTAGGCCCTGAGGTCCGCGACCGAATTCGCGAGGCCTTCAAGTTACACCAGTACGAGGGTCAGCTTGAACAACTTACCCTGATGATGGGCAACGAAGGGATGCCCGCCCTTAATGCTGATTGGGAGACTGTCTTCAAAACCCTACAGCAGCACGCAGATGCTACGTTCTCATGCCTGCTTCGAGAGCGAGACGATGGGGAGAGCCCATGGGAGTATGGTGGGCCACCTGCCACTTTACGCGACTTCCTAGAGGTCAAGCAAGACGATGTCGCCCCAAAGCAACCGCAATCATCTGAGCAGACCGAGCGAGTGCAGCGCCAAATCTTTCAGCTGACGGTCCCGAAGCTAGAAAGTACTTTTGAGCCACTCAAATTGTTTGGCAACGACAAGGAAAGACTGAAAAAGGCCTATGGGGGGTTCGACGTGAGCCTTATAGAAGATCGGCAGAACTGGCAACTGAAGTTTTTGCCCCGACTGTGTGGTACTGAACAAGTGCGTTACGTTGAGGACGACATGTTGAAATCGTTCCGAAAATACAGCGAGAGCCGCCAAATGGCGCTCAAGGCCGCCCATATGGACGGCGTGATGCAGGCTGTAGACCTGGAGCAGGCCGAAGACGATATTGGAGATGCAGAAAAAGAGCTTTTCGAGGCCGGACGCAAGCGCTACTACGCATATCAGACGGCCATCGGAGGAGTGGCATCAAGCGCAGGACCTCCGATCAAGACATCAGCGTGCGCACTACGGATGGAACTGGTTAAAGGAAGCACTGAAGAGCAGTACACATACACTCAGTATTCCAAAGAACAAGTGGATCGACACCCGAAACCATATCAAGTGAATGGAGCGGCATGGGGCATGTCGACACTGTTTGGCGAAATTCCTTTCAACGATGAGGTGTCGCCTCAAGTCCGATCTGCCGCTAGGAAGCTGGGACGCTTGCCAGTCCCAGGACTGCTGTATCTCGATCAAACTGGGATAGGAAAGTCGGTACAATCATTGCAAGTTGCACTCGGTCTCGGAAGGCCTTTCGCAAGAACCACCGCCAGTGGCAAATTCACATACAAGCCTATGAAACTTCTTGTCCCACAGAACCTTATAAGACAGTGGGCCCGCGAGATCTTGTTCTACTGGAAAGTGTTCACGCTCATTATTTCATACGACGACGGAGGAATGGAGCCATACCTTGCTGAACATGTCGTATCTTCAACGGCGGTTCGATCTTGGCCGAACAAGAAACTGTGGCCAAAGAAATACCAATACATGTTTGATAAACATGATCCTCGAAACGCCAGAACAATCGTGCTGACCACACCGGAGACCAATGTAGAGCGTTCACTGGTAAAGGAAGAGATCATACACCCAGCCAAGTCTTTTGACCCGCCCAAATTCGATAAAGGCGGCAAGGAGATTTTCGAAAGGGACGAGAGAATAGAGTTCAGATACCACTCCCGATTCGCTGGTGTCTACGCCGCGGTCTTCATTGACGAGTCGACCAAAGTGAAAACCCCGGGCAGCAAGCGACACATGGCCGTTAAGTTACTCAAGGCTCGGCGCTGGATTTTTATGACTGCAACGGCCATGGTCAATCAAGGGACGGTAAGTGGCGCAGAAACCTCTTTCTAGAAATGCGCAGGCTGACCTTAACAGTGTATCTTGGGCCCATTGGACATTATTTGGCAAACAATCCAGGACATTCTTGCAAAGGAGAGCAAGGAAGTGCGCGCATGGTTTGACAAGCATGTCGGCAGTTTATCTGTGTACACCGAGGCAGCCACGCTGGAGAAAGATGACATTCGTCGACTAGCACTGTTGAACCCTTACTCAGCGAAAATTCTACTTCAGTCTGAAAACCGGCCGATGATTGCAAAGTACTATCCTCAAATTGAGGAGCTTTGTGTTCTTCGGCGCACGACCGCATCTCGGATACCCAGGGACGAAGCTGGAAAGGACTTTTACAACCTCAGGGACCTCATCAAGCCGCATCATATGTTAACGAGACAAGTCAAGCGCAATGCAGGCGAGGAGGCTGAGTTTCAATGGCTGCATCGAGATGCCGCACAGTAAGCTATTTTGGTTTCCAGCGGAGCTCGTTGCTAATTCAGTTACAGGCGGTTCCTTGAAGCGAAGTCGAGCCCTGAAAAGGCAAAGTCTGAAGCAGCGTCAAGTCTTGCCGACGAGAAAGTAGTTTACGGCACGGCTGAGATGAGGGAGCTCATCATAATTACAGGATCTACGCAAGCTGCGAAATTCAACTTGATATGCTCTGAGCTTGAGTCAGACACGCTAGTGAACAGCCTCGATGAGCATCGTTTACATGGGTGGAACGCCTTCAATGTGGTCAAGTTCATGTGCCGTGCCATGAAAACGACACCTCCTAAGGTAAGCTGCTGAAGAAGCGATTAACGCGAATCATTGTTAACCTGGTTCACAGACGGCTTACGGTTATGCTGAATTCATGATGCAAGGATCTCCTATGCTCCGCGGACTTGTGCACGAAGTCCTTAAGCACGTCAAAGAAAAGCGTCCAGGCAAGATTCTGATTACTGAGGATATCCCACTTCTGGCATGGTGGTGGGAAATGACATTGAACCTCCTTGGCTTTAAGACGGTCACTTTTCACAGTGCCTTGACAGCCTCCGAACGTGACAAGACTATCCAGAGGTTCAATGACCCCAAGGATGATCTCCAAGCTATGGTTCTCCCTTACGATGTAGGTGCGCTCGGTTTAAACTGCCAGGGGGATTGCTCCAAGGTTATTGTGATGTCCTGCGCAAAGAACCATGGCACTGAGACGCAAGCTGTGTTCCGGCCTGTGAGAGTAAGTCGCTACGAAAAGTGCTTTTTCCCATTGAGCTCTACTGACTGTATCTAGGTGAACTCACCTCGCGAGGTAGAGATCATCAAAATGTTTGTGAAAGATTCAATCTGCGGGTATCGCGAGAGCAAGAAGAGTGACAAGTACGTTGTTGAGCTGGCGACGAGGGCACAAGACCCTGAGATCCGAGCTCTCGCGGTGGAAATGCTCAATGAGTACCACAAAGAGGTTCAATCGGCCCAAAAGGACCCCGAGAACGCAGAGTTGATGGGCTTGTTGGGCAAGGAACGTGATGCAAGCCTCAAACGACGGCGTGAGATACAGGAGGAGGCGCGAGCAGCAAACACGACGGTTCCAGAGAGCACGCAAGCACACATCGATCTAAGCAACATTGTGGGATCGAAGCGAGAGAGAAAACGTCCCGAGCGCTTCGGGGATGTTAAATGGTCTGATAGCGGCAAGCGTCTTGGCACCGTGTCCGAAACAGAACGACGAGCTGCCGAAGGATTGTTTGAGGACGAGGACGAGGAAGATGGAAAGAGCTTTCCAGAGACCCACAAGTATGATCCGTGGAAAGAGGTTAACTGGGACACTGATGACGACGACGTCTCTGACTACGAAGGCACCGATGTCAACGATTCAGATATCGAGGAAGAGATCAGGGAACGGCCGTTGACTGACAAGCAGCAAGCCAAGACTGAGGCCAAGGCCGCCAGAATGTCGAAGCCAAAGGTGGATGAAGCAGCACGTCAGCTGGCGATCAAGCTGCTCGACGACTTCAACCGCGTCTACACAGATGACGATCTTGACGAGGACGTGCACCTGACCAGAGCTTTGCGATTGATTCATGCAAAGAAAGTGGGCCTTGCATTTGACGACGTACCTAGTGTGCATATTATGGTACGTGCCCAAAAAGTCCTTTTTGGAAAACTCGCATGCTAACAATACCAGTACACGAGATTCTCTGGCGACATGCTAGAGGCTATCAAGAAGAAGTCCAAGTTGGAGAACAAGTCCAAGCCTCTACTAAAACATATCTTGAGTGGAGGACGCGCACAAGATTTCGTTGCGCCCAAAAGCAACAAGAGGCAATCAGGTGGAGCAGAGTCATCTACTAAGCGGGCCAAGGCAAGGAATCCGTCTGGGAGCGCAGGGTCATCTGGAGCGGCGGGATCGTCTGGGGCGGCGGGATCGCCTGGGAAGTCTGGGAAGCAGAAAGGAAAGGCTCGTGCATCGTGACGCGTCAAAATGGTACGGCAACGGCTAGGTATTTTGCTGATACCCAAGACGGTACCGGTTGAGAAGTCACTGGGAAACAATTCTGAGTATAGATCTGGTCACCTACGGAATCAGACATTAATAGATGACATGGAATTCTCAACTCACGATAAGTACTTGGTCGAATCACAAACACACACACTATGCCCAGTAGGCACTTGCCATTTGTACTCTTGATGGACGCACAATCGCCTCATGCCACCTTGCCACTACTCATACAGAAAGCTCTTTTTGCTGACGGGCCGCGGAGCTACAGTCGCATGTCGGCGTCCTCGTCTTGGTCCTCGTCGTCCATCTGAAGCGCAAGTTGCTTGACCTTTGAAGTACGTTTGCGGGCGCGCTTCCTGTCCTGCTTCTGATAGTCCCTGTAAGTATCACTGTCCTCCTCTTCATCATCCTCAGCGGTGGTTGGGGCGGGACCATCGACATCAACACCATCATCTACAATGTAGTTGGCCCTGGTACTCGCCCTGCGGGGCCGCTTTGTGCCACGAGATATGACCACCTCTTGCTCCTCTTCCTCGCGAGCATCTTCATCTGTGTCCTCGGCCTCCATGTCGTCGTCCTCAAGCAGGTCTGCTCCCGCTCCCGCCGCACGGCCTGATTTGCGCCCGCTTCTGCCGCTCACAGCAGACACAGCCTTGCGCCCACCCCTACCCCTTGTAGCAGACGAGCCTCTGCGCCCACGCTTGACTGGCGACATGCTCCTGCTGGTGGCGACACTGGGGGTTGCCGTAACCTCCGACTGGCTGCGACTGCGCCTTGCCTCCCCGAAACGACTTTCCAGGAAGACTGCCTGGATGATGGCTGCGGATCGGGCAAGTTCAACCGGGAAAGCGTCGTCATTCTGCATTTCCTTGATGGCATTGAGCTTGTCTTGCTCATCGACCTCACCCTCCAATAGGTCATGCTCTGTCAAGTATTCAGTGACGTAGTTGCGAATCGCTTTCTTCTCCACCGTAGAGTATGTAGAAGGCCAAAGTTGGTCGGCTAGGGCGCGATGAGGGAGAGTTGTAGACCAACGAACCAAGCGGTGCTGGATCGCATTGTTGACGACATCCAACTCTTGCAAAAGCGCTTTCCTGTGTTCTTCGGCTTCATGCAACTGCTCCTCACGCTCATTGTCGTCCATGTCTCGCTGCTGAGACTCAGCCAGTGCAGTGGCTCGAGACGCATGGAGCGCCATCTCCATCTGAGCATCGTACTCGGTATCGTAGGCTGGAGGAGAAGGACTGTTGTTGGTCTTGATGCTGATGTCCCAAGCGGCGAAGAACTGGGCAAGCTCGACTGGTGCCTCAATGCGGGGAAGAGTCTGCTTGACGTAACTCCTCAGTGCAGACTCATTCTCGCCTGCCTCGCTCGTCAAGCGTACGTGCTTCATCTCCCTCAAGAGGACGTCGACGAAACGTTGGATAGGCAGCAGAGTGTCCGACAAGTCCTTTCCGCGTGGTTTGGTCCGAAAATTCTCACCTGGTGTGTAGCGCAACTTCTCAACGCATGCGAGGGTGACGGCAGAGACATGCAACTTGGTTGGGGCGATAAGGCGCGACAGCATGGGGACGGTTGCGACCTTGTTGGAGGGATCCAGGAGCGTCTCGATCACTGCCGCATGTGTTTCGTCTGCTGTAGAAAGTACTTCCATGGCCTCCTCATCTTCTGGAGCTTCTGCGCTGGCCGTAGATGGACCCGCGCCTGTGGAGGGACCTGCCGAAGATGCTGAAGCCGTCGGACCAGCTTGGGCGTCGTACCATGCGCGATATCTCGCCAGTAGATCCGGCTTATTACCTCCGACCTTGAGTTTGTGCGAAGCTTCCAGACGTTAGCAAAGTGATGTTTTGCTGATTGATGGAGTACTCACAAAGTTCAGCCTTCATTGCGTCCTTGTTGAGTTTGCCAAAGGCATTGGGATGAAGAGGTCTCGTCGCCATCGTTCCAGAAGCCAAAACTACTTTCTCTAGGGTTGGCCGTGATTGCACAAGTTGGTCGTTGCAGCTTTGGTGTTGTGGCAGACGATGGGCGCACCACTGTTTGTGTGGGCGAAAAGTGGGGCTATATCGGCATGTGACGCTCCAGACAGCCATTGATCCTTCCTTCCCACGCGACACCAAGTGCAATCAGATTGAATTGACTTGTACAAGTCTTCCGAATTCTTTCCAATCTGATATTTGCTCACATTCATTCCACTGCTCTTGTCGTTGTCCGTTTGCACTCTGGTTTTGTGCCATGGCATCCACCAGAATGTTTCTTTGGCCGCGCTGCCATGCCTCAAGACGCCCGCCACGAATGGATAGTTTCAACACTTGCACCTCTGATTCCAGGTTTCCCCCGGCGCCCAGACAAGGAGAAAGCTCTTATTTGTCCCCCAATCCATCCCCGATGTTCGTCCTTTCTGGCCACATTGTGGAATCGCGCATTGTGACAACGGGTTTGGCAGCGTCCTGGTGGGAATCCTGTCAGAGTGTACTGCCAAGTTGTATCCAGTAACGGAAGTACTTGACATTCGATTGCGTGTCCGGCGACGTGGTGTCTGAAGATGGCGTTGGTGATGTAAATTCCAGGAATCAGGTCTGCGCATCCTCGTCGGACATTTACCTACATGTTCGTGCCATGGCTTGCTACCTCTTATATACATGTACAATGTTGCAGTAATGGATGGGCGGAATGCAACGTATGGAAGAAATGGTGGTTGTGTCTTGCCGGATGTTTGATGAAGTGTGGTGGTCAACCCGTTCAAGCTTTCCCTCTTTTGGCATGACCTCGGCATGACGCCGGTAAGCATGTTTTGGCTGGGGTGGTTGACGTGCGATTTGTTTGTATCGTGAGCATGTATACTACAAAATGCGATATCACGTACTGACGACAACGCTTGTAGTTGATTAATGATGGGGAAGTTGGTCATGATGGTTCATGATCCCGCTGTTGTATGTGTATGTGTATATGTGTACATACAAAGGTTGCAATTTCACGTATTCTTTTTATTCTCCAAGGGGGAGGCCCCCTTGAACCCCCATCGCCTGCGGCAGGCGCTGTTGTTGTCTTGCAGACAGCCTACCAGAGGCACGCGGAGAAGGTGTGGTGTTGATATCGGTGATGGGCACTAGCGTCGCGCGGGGTCCCAGAAAGTCCTTTTGTGAGGGTTTTGGTGTGGTATCATGTGTATTGCTATCTATGCTAGATGCTAAGGTACATGAGATGACTGGAGCGCGCCCCTTGTAGGCTTAGTCTGCCAAGGCTAGTCATGTGATACCTTTCCTGCCTGGCTACCAACACCACGTATTCTTCTTTTCCTCCAAGGGGAAGACCCCCTTGACCCCCCCTATCTTCTGCAGCAGGCCTGTTAGGACAATTCCGGCAATTCGTTTTGACAAAGTCCCTAGCGGGACTTTGTCAAAACGAATTGTACAGTGGCGTGGGTTCGAGTCCCACTCTCATCAGCATTCGTCTGGCTTCAGTCAGATATCCCAGGTTCTTTTTTTTTTCTCGCAAAGAAACGATTCTGATGCCGAGATTTGTGCCATAGACCACAATCGGAACTTAGCATCGACTGGTGGGGGCTCATTCGATGACTAAGATGCAAAGGGCAGTGTAAAAGCGATATAAACTTTTGGCACTTGTTGCCTGAATATTTTTTGATAGGCTACAAATAGGGCGTTGAGTTACACTCAATCAATCATAGTACCGAGAAGGATGAACGAGCAGCATCGTGGCTCTGCTACTTCAACTTCAGTGCCTACTTCCCTGTTCACCAACAACATAACCCTTTGCAATCCCACTTCTACCCTCTTCCATCTTAGCCGCCCTCGCACCACCAGTACCGTTTTCTCCATCTTCGGTGTCTCGGTAGTCGGTGCCCAGACCCTGCCACGTCCTGTTTGAGCGCAGGTACTCTGCACCAGGTGAAGCCACACCTCCCACTGCCGCAATATCACCATTAGCCCGTTTGGTCAATGCCGAACTAGACGACGCCGCATTACTATTGACAGCCTTCGGAGTGGCGGTCGAGCGCATGGGTCTCGCATGAGACACATAACGACCAGTTCTGAGATCAAACTCAGGAGGCGCAGACTCCTCTTCGGAATCGTAATCTCCATTCGCATCTGCATCTTCTTCCTGCCCGTGCCCAACACCCATTCCTTCTACGTCACCATCTGCCTTCTTCCCCTCATCCTTGACCTCTTCATCAAGCACCTTTTGGAAATCTCCCTCCCAAGCCCCCGTCCACACTCTCTCTTCGTCACCTTGCAACGCCACCTTGAGTTCCCACGGCGTTATCATGGGCCGCCAGAACTCTCTGCTCTCAATCAAACTACTCTCCCAGCAGCCGATTACGACCCAACCGCCCACTTCACTGAAGTTGGCTACCTTGGCCGCATTGACTTTACCTACGACGAAGGTGTAGTGTTTCTTGCCCGCTGCAGTGATTTGCCGTTGCACGTGCGAGAGGATGTGCATGTAGTTCTTTACGGAGAGGGTATTTATCAGGATACCGAAGATGGGAGTGGTGGAGAGAGAAGTGAGGAGGGCGTAGCGGCGACGGAGAGCCATTGCGGTGTTTGTGAGCGAGGCGGTCGGTGCCACGGAAGAGGTGCTTTCGGTGGGATAGATGTGTATCGAGGCGACGCGCGAGGAGAGGGTAAGGAGGAGGGAGGTTGGTGGGTCGGAGATGTGAAATAGCGCATAGTCGCGGAGGGCCTCGTCTGTTTCTGAAGTTCCGGGTGGTGTTGTTCGGTTTGGGAGCGGCGAGGAAGGGTTATGGACAATTTCAGTAGCGTGCAGATTCGTATAGCCGTCGTCGCATAAGCGTTTGTAGAGGGTGGGGACGTGGTGTGAGTACGGTATGTCGGCCATGAGTATGATCTTTGCCTCCTTATCCGGGTATGTCTCTTTGAACGTCGCAACTACTGGATCGAGATCCAGCGGTCGTTCCGTAAACACGTATACGACTGGTAGCCTTGAAGGAGGCGATAGGCACGAGCGGCCATAGTGTACCACAACGTCCGCATCAACGTGCTCTGCAGCAACCTCGTCGACACAGCACGCACCGTACGACGTGTCGCCGAGTATGAACAGACTTTCCTGGCTACTCTCTTCCTCAGATATCGAAGTCTTGCCCATGTCTGTGCTGAGATCTTCTGCTACAGTCGCACCATTCACTGGTCCATTTGTTCCTTGCTTTCCATTCTGCACCTTCCTTTCCTTGCTCAAACCCCGACTTAGCTGATCATAGACTCTCGGCGCATCTGTGAGCATGTGATCAGGGAACTGCAGTGCGATCCTCTTCCATCGTCCCTCCCGTATCTCCCTGACCGTCCGCTCGATCTCGTACGTGAGCGTGATCTGCTCATCCGAAAGTCTGGGGAGACTGGACGTGTCTACTGCGGGTGTGGGGTCTTCGAAGATGTGCGTATCGGGCGTAGAGAGTACGGGCGCGGTCTCAAGAGAAGGGACAGCCATTGTGTATGTTGATCGTTTGTGGGCTGGTTGCGTGCATGAAGCGTGGCGGGGTCGTCACTTTTTTTGACGGCGGGGCACACGCCTCGGTCGTGCAGGGTCCAGGGACAGGGAACTAGAGAGCCGCAATGCATGGTATGCTAACGCAACACATCTGATAGGCGAGGAGCAGTCGAGTGATCATCGTACGTGTAATGATTTGATTACTATATACAAACGAGAGGTGGTATCATTTTGTACCCGCGCCGAATCCAATCCCTATGTCAAGAAAAAAAAAACTAGAATATAAATTACATCATCAGGAATCCCGACACTGCTGCTACCATCGCAAGGCCGAGTACGTTGGGTACGAACTTTCCGACACCGCTGTCCTTGTCGGTAGCGGCAAGCTGACTAAGGATCATTGAAGGGGTGTAGTTCTGCGCCTTGTCAACGGTGGTACCGTTCCAGCAGTAATCAGTGAAGCACTGCTGGCACACTTGTGGGATAGCCTCGCCGTTACGCTCCAAACTCCTAGAGAGAATAGCGCATCCGACGCAAGTAGGCCAGTTCGAAGCACCCTCACGCGTCGAGTTGCCCTGGGTGATGACATCATAACCGTTCTCGATCATGCCGTTGCGCTCGTCGATGGTGTAGTCGAGCTTGCCGAAAGTCGACTGGTTGGACCAGAAGACATAAGGAGCGTTGGGAAGGTAGACAACCAGAGGAGGAATGTTGTCACCAGTGGTAACGTTGCTGCTGTTGCAACCAAAGAATGCTGGGCGGCTGTTCATGCCCAGAGCAACAAATGTATCCTGACCAGGGATGTAGGGGAACGACGTCCTGTTCATGAGGGTTCCGCTTGCACGCTCATATGTTGCTACCAGAGAAGTGCCGTTGGGCCAGTTTTGCGATGGGTCGTCCGCGTCGACAGTGTCAGCAGAAGAGTCAACGGCAAAGATGACGTCGACCTGGCGGATCGGCTGAATGACCGGGTTGAAGGGGATGTTCTGACCATCCTCGCCACCGTCAACGAGAGTCAGACGCTCCCTATCAGCACTGGGGTTCGTCTCGTTGTGGTAGTGGTAGAAAGGGTTGGGTGAATAGTCGGCGATATCGTCACCATCCTTGCCGATATCCTGGAGGATGTTTGAAACAAAATTCAAAAGAATCTCGGGAATGTTCTGGAAGGAGTTCAGTTGAAGGAAAATCTGGTTGAACAAGGAACTGCTAGTTCCCATAACAAAGCCTAGGTTGTCAAATCCAGCAACGCAGCCCTGGTCTTGGGCAAGCGAACCCTCGCTGAAGTTGGAACCAATGTACTTCAGTGGAGCAAAGCCGTAGGTGGTGGGGTCAAAGGAACCCATTTCGAAAGGGTTGAACTCGAAGTTGGTAGCATTCAGGGAGACAATCAGGTCTCCAGGCGAACGCTCGTCCGCCACAAGAATAGGCATTGGTGCATTTCCGGTTGAGAAGTCTTGGTCGTCCGCAATGGAAGAAAAGGTGTAGGCTGGGGCTCCGTCACTAGCGTTGATGAGCTGGAAAGAGAGACCGCGACCGTAAACATCCGTGATCGACGTGTTGAAGTCACCGGCAGTTGAGTCCGCCTTGGCCCTAGTCGTGCTGACCAGGTTCTCAAAGTACTGTGCAGTCGAAAGTAGTTGAATTCCTTCCGTAGGGGGGCCTTTGAAAAGCGAGTTCTGGAATTGCCAAATCGACGAATCCTCGCCTTTATTGATAATGGACTCAACTGAGGTGAAGTTGTTGGCGTAGATGCTGCCGAGCATCCAGCCTCCACCGGATAGCGCCGAAACATAGGTGGCTGCCTGCAATATTCCTCCCAAATGTCCCGAACCTGTCGAGTTGTTTGTCCGGCTATCAAACGCTGCCAGAGCACCTGCACCGTTCAACAGGGCTCGATATCCTCCACCAGAGAACGAGATCGCAATGTTCGGTAAGGCGGTGGTGTTGTCCTGGTGGTTGCTGATATACTGTCCAACGTCGAAGCCCTCAATGTTGACCCGTTCCAGAAACTCGCGCATAGGCTGCACTGTGTTTGGCCTTCTCTTTTGGAGCCAGTCGGTCTCTCGCTGTGAAAGCTTGTCGGCGGATCGAATACTTGGGCGCGTAGACGGGCAATCGACTTTGGCTGGCGCATAGCCATCAGGTGCCTGAGGCGAGGCACGCTTCCATGTGTCTAGCGCATCGGGCGGGACGACTCTGGCTTCTCGAGGCACAAGTGCGGATGCTGTCATGGGTCAGATTTGTCCCTGCAGGAACCCGAGGCGCATCACTCACAGCTCGCTAAGCTAGTCAATGCCGAAGCAGACAGAACAAACGTATACTTCATCCTAACGAATGGATGCAAGGAAAGAAAATGTAAGAGGGCTGGAAAGGCGCGAAATGAATCGCCAACAAATGCGGAAACATGGCGATGTTAAATGATGGGATCAATGCTGACGGGAGGCTGCGGAATGACCCACAGGCGGCTATGCTTCGCACCAAACGCCCGGAAGAGCTAGGAGGATCTGACCTCATAGGCGTACCACTAGGCGTGCCACTTGTCGTGGCTGAAGGCCCTGACGATCCAAACTTTATTTTTAGTCCTGCCTTTTATATCGACGTTTTGGCCTGTCTGTCTTACAATGCGGTGTCGTGTGCTCGCGTGAGCCACATTGTCTTGAGCCACCAGCGACCATTCACAATGCTTATTCGTCTGTAGCACATGTCACACCGTCTTTATGCTTAGTTCTCATCTCAGCGCTCAGGGCACCATTGTGGCGCGTCATCTCCTGTGAGTGGTTGGAGCTCATTTCAAAATAATACGGCTTCGGCACTCGGCAACATGCCGTAACGGGAACGAAAACGAAAACGAGGGGTATACGAAAAAGAACCTTGATACGGACCCTGTCGTTCTGGCATTAAGTGTGTTACTTTCTTCATGTTTGAGATCTGGAAACCATGTTTGGCGCAAAGCAACCCTATCGTTGCCTTGTTGTTATGCGTTCGAAAATGTCGTCATCGTCGCTCTGGCATCGATCGCACGTATCGCTGTGCAAAGCGCGTCGCGTCGTCGTTGTTAGGCAGCCCACCAGGGTTCGATATGATTGATCGGGACGTGAGACGTTACCCTTAGGCCCTTCATTTCTTCAACAAAGCGTGTACGCCAGGCGCAGGTAGCCTCGCAAGTAGTTCTGTTCCGAGCTTCCGAACTCCGCCATGACGATCAGCGGGAGACACATAACGTTGCGGCGGTGCGCGCTACTCGACAGAATATGATAGCGTATTGTGCTAGCCGGATGGATGTATGGAGATAGCTGCGTTGACGTGGCCTGCAGTGTGTTGACAGAGCGTAACCATATACGAAGTACGAGAGTACTTTTTCGGCAATCGTGGTCCGCGGCTTCCTTCCGGATCGCCTCTACAGCAATTTCATCCTACGATGTTGAGTGCATTATTTCCGCCTTGCAAGTCCGTTCCTCGTCCGACTATCCGCGCACTATATTACTTAGTTCAATCGCCATCGTTTATCCCACAGCCCCCATGAGCTGGTAACGGGTGGCTAAAGATCCGCTGCCGGACACCAACTTAAACTTATTCGGTCAAGGCCAGTGTGAAATGGATCTTGATTCGTGCGTACTTACATACCTAACTGAGGACCAAGAAGGATACGATTTCACAGCCAGAATCATACAACTTCTAGACTGCGTCATCGCATGTTTGTCTCTGTAATCTCTAATTCTTCACCCTGCGACCATCCGTCTCATTATGTCATATGCAATAGCGCTCTTGAAGTTTCATATATGGTGGCTTTCAGTAGCTTTCATTGCTAGATTCCGATCTCAGCAGCTGCAGGGACAGTGCATGCCGTCAAGATGCCTTGGTCAATCTCTAGAGAAGGTGACTTTATCCCATTGCATCCATGTCTCACGATATCTACTGGCGGTTATCGCTATTGTAAGGTTTGGTCGATTAAATCCTGTCATAGACCCATTTTATGCTCTCTTCGTTCCATTTATCTCACAGTTCTGTAGTATTCTCGCTGATGTGCACGGTCATCTCGCGCCTATCCTGTAGGTTCCGCTCGGTGTTGGAAAAGTATCTCTTTCTGCACCTTTTCGGAACTCGGCCTTCAAGCAGCTCAAACATTCCTCTCTATATCTGAGTACAATCGTTATGTTTTGGGAAGTTCAGGTGAGAGCGCTCGTCCACTGAAAGTTATAATACCAGCGCATCGTCTATGCCTGTCCTCCAGATCTCTTGTTCTTGCCTAGAGAAAGCTTTGACAGCTTGTGTCGGAGACTCTTCCAGCCTCCCTTTCCTTCATCTCCGTCTTTATCGTCCTTCTTCTTAGGTTCCTTCACGACTGGCATAGCAGCCTTGGGGACGTAGACAAACTCAATCGCGACCGTGAACTTGTAAGAGCTGTTTAGAATATCGAGAGCTTTTCCTTCGAGCCAGCAGGTTCTCCACAGGTTGCACTGGAAGCCGCTAATGTCTCGCTGCTGCTGTCCGAACTCTTTACTGTGTAGTAGGTCGGGCCAGGCCTGCAAAGGTAAAGAAACCAAGTCAGTATATGTCTCAATTGTATTTCGTATAGCCACAACTTACTTCGCTCTCACTCCCGACAGTCTCACGAAGACGCGCCCACGCATCGTTTGGAGTCCAGAAACTACCCTTGGATGACCCGCTTGTCCTCAGACTCTCCACTCTTGACGAGAAAGCGGCGCCTTCTCGCTCAGGAACCATCGCCCAGGTCAAAGACTGCGGTGCCGGGGTGGTGGCGTCGAACCCGAACAGTGCTACACCTCTAAACGGTCGTCCTTGAGAGGTCCAAGCCTTGTTCATGAGGTTTATGTTGTCGCGGCTTGGGATGTTCTGGTAAATTGTTCCTTGGAACGCGGCCCAGAGGAAGGCGCGGAGCGGACTGAAGGCGGTATAGGCTACTCCAACACCGGGAGGATTCATTTGACATCCATTACTCGCAGAATGCAGGTTGAGAGCCGAGTTATCCCAACTGTCTGGCCATTGTTGGGCCCCTTCTTTGAAATGTGCGGTGGTACCGTGGAACACGTTGGGCCCGCCAGACTCGTCAGGTTTGGCATTTTTTGCCAGGCCAAAGATTTCTTCCAACTTCCTCAAAGTTGCGTTGTAACGGGGATCAACGACAGTTTCGTTATTCCTCCAAGCCGACAATATACTAGCTCCCCTCAAAGTTACCTGAGTAACTTTCGGTTTCTGTGTGTGCTCATCCGCGCCATCGAAGCCGGGGATGGGTTGAGCGTGCGTGGGAGGAGGGGTTAAGCGTGCAGTCGAGTGTCCAGTGGATGCATACGTTGTCGATGAGGTTATGGAGGTCGGTGGTTGTGTGTGCGTGGATGTGATGACCGTCTCGACAAAGTGAAGGAGCCACTGACCAAAAGTAACCTCACTGAGATGAGCTTCGGCCAAATCGCTCTCACAGATGTAGTTGAAGTAAGCGATGTTATCCGCAATCTGTTCCTTTGCGGTGCGACTGAGGATCGGCTCCATGACAGACAAAAGGTGCTGTACAGAGGTTGGTGAGGTGAGGTCAAGGTTGGTCTTCGATAGCCTCTGTGCGCATTCTTTGACCACCCAGTAGAAGCTTCGCTCTTCTCTGTATACCTTCATTGAAAGAATGCTCTTGGTGAGCGGCGGAGAGAACAGGCTGTTGAGTAGTTCCAGCTCAGGCATTTGCCAGTTCAGCCGGTGCGCCATGGTCCCGTTGGTGCTATAAGCTCAGATTAGCACGTGCTGTTTCGCAATAAACTCTAAACTTACTTCGTGTCTCTCGTGGGGTAAAGAGATGCGAAGGTGTGAGGTGGTAAAGAGAAGGTCCTCTGTGGTAGTAAAGGTCTTTGTAGTTACAATAGCGCAGGTGAAGGCACGGACTGTGGGCGCGAACGGGCGGTAATTCGGTAGCGATGAGTGAACATCGGATCGGGTGCAAAAGTAGTATGGGGTGATTACGAGTTCGACTGAAGGCGGTGCAGCAATGGCCTGTACAAGAGGTGCGTGACTGCTGAGAAGGCGGTCTAGCGTATCCAGCTTGTTGAGAGGGCTTGAGAGTGTCTGTACCTAGCCATAAGGCACTGGACTCATTGTTTTATCATATCGAACACACGAAGCATTACCAAGATGGGTTTATGTATTCGAGCTAACTACTCATTCCAAACTCGTTTACACAACTCAGATACCACCCTTTAAGTAGTAGTCTAGAGGGTATCCTAGCCAGTCACATTGCTCCACATCTTGGAAGCCGGCACTCTTACTAGGCCAGTCCAATAATCTGATCTCGTCACCTGTCTTTCTTGTTGCATCTACCTGTCCCCACTGTCCGTACTTCTTCACACCCTCGATCACCTTGTCGTATCCTCTTACGTCGAGGTACTTGAGACTAGGGTTCGGATCGCCGCCCCTGATGAAAGCAGCGAAGTAGCTGGTGACGAGCTGAGCACTCCACAGATCCTCTGGGTCGCGAATACGGTTCAAAGTGCCAAACAGCCAAGGCATATCTGCACCATGGAAACGGAAGTAAGGGTTCTTGGGATCATCGTTGGCAGGCCCACCTAGGTTGTTGGGATCGTAGCCATCGATGGAGCGTTGGAACTGATAGTAGTATGCTTTCTGGAAGGCATGCGATTGCACTCCAGAATAAACGGTGGATTGATCGACGCAACGGAATGTCTTGTCTGTGGCAACCCGCTGAGAGACGTTGAATGAGTCGAGTGTCAGATTGCCGGTGTTGGTCAAGGGGAAAAGACCCGACTGGATGATACGCTCTGCCCATGTGCTGTTGATACCAAGCGCTTCTTGTAATCCTTGAGAGTGGTTTGAGATGGGGCTCTTGGGGTATGTGGAGAAGGAAGCACCGTCGTTGACGATGATACCAAAAATGACAGGGATATGCGCAGTACTGGCGTTACGGGTGGAGAGGATGAGATTGGGCGTGTTTACGTAGGTACCGTCTTGGACAACATAACGAGCAACAGTGTTGAAGCCAACTAGCTGTGCAGCGGGAACTTTATCGAGACAAGCAATCTGAGCTGACACATCAGTGCCATTGCAGCCGGCAGCAGCGAATATCTGAGGTCCGGCGACAGTGTAGCTCTGATTGATCGTGTAGTAGGTCGAGTATGTTGTTCCATAGTCGCCGTCCAAACCAAGAGTCACACCTCCTCCAAGATTAGACATGGCAATTGCGCCTTGGTATTTTCCAATAGCTTCGGGAGATCCCAATAGTGTGCGGACTGAGCCAGCTCCAGCAGACTCTCCAGCAATAGTAATCTTCTTTGGGTCACCACCAAAGGCAGCAATGTTTGCGATGGTCCAGTCCAGTGCTGTGATCTGGTCAGCAATTCCAAAGTTGCCCTTGATATCCGTTCCAGGAATGGCCAGGAAGCCAAGCGTTGAAAGACGGTAGTTGATGTTGACAACGACGAGGTCTTCCTTGCTTGCAAGGTTTCCACCATCAGAGAGTGCGTCGGCACCGCTTCCTCCAGTAAAGCCGCCACCATGGATCCAGAATAAGACGGGCCGGAGTTGCTTTTTCGATCCTGCCTTGGGGATGTATGGTGTTTGGATGTTCAGGAAAAGACAGTCCTCGCTTCCACCACCACCTTGAGCACATTGCGAGCCGTACTTGGTAGCCTGTATCGTCTGTCCCTTTTTGGAGTAAAGCGACGAGTATTGGAAACGTGTAGGTGTATCGGCATACGGGATGCCAAGGAACCTGAAGGACTTCTGGTTGCGATAGCCGACAAAAGTATTTCCACCAGACGCTACCGAGACAGTGCTGCCAGTGACAGGCCCAGCACTCGACGACCCATTGTTTGCCGATTGAGTGCACAAGACTGGCAATTGCTTGTGAGATGCTGAAGAGGACGAGTAGCTCACTCGGTTGCCAACTGATACCACACCACTATCGATGTAGTACCCTTGCTCGGCATCCGTGTATTTGGCATAATCTTGGTAGGAAAGAGCGTCGTTGAAGTCTGCCTGGTACTTCTGAAGCGTAGCCTTGGAGATAAGTTTCTCATTGAGAGTGGCGCAAGCTGCAGCTGCGTTGGCTTGAGCGACTGGGTCGAGGATAATGGCACCGATGTGGTTCTTGTCGTCCGACCCGTTCAGGTTGTTCTGGTATATGAGTGTCAAAGACGACTTCGCATTTGACACACTGGCGGCTGGTGTTGAATCCGATACTGGTGATGCCTGTGAAACAGCAACCATGCCAGCCGCCGCAGCAGCAGCAACAAATGTGGTAAAGACCGTCATCCTGAATGTCCAGCTTGGTGGAGGGATCTGGTCGACAGCTGATGAAGGATCATCGTTCTTTTCCATCTTCTTATACTGCGCCGGTAACCCGGATGGCGTCGTTCTTGCAGATGAACAACCGTAACGCTAGCCACAAGCGGTTATTCTCCACATGAGGCTATTGGAAATAAGCATTTGAGAGCGGGCTATCCCCCGGAAAACGATGGGTAGATCGATGGCTAGGCAGGGGCGCTGGCAGAATGCTGGTGCAGTGCAGTACGGCAGTGGTTCTATATCCACAAAAGAATGCTAAAACTCACGGTACCTGCAGCAAAGGCCTGTTTACAACACATGCGTCCTGTGTGCACTCTTTGACAAGTCCTTGATACCTCAGTCGACGCTGCTCCCTGTAGTCGATGAATAGTTTGCACTGCAATTCTACCATATCTAGAAGCGCGGCATCAAAACAGTGGTTTTGGCATTGCCATCCGAGGTCGACTCCGATGTAATTTAGCCGTTTAGCCACCATGCGCAGTAGCCCGCGGTCCTCGTGGCGATGGCATCATGGATACTAGATGGTGCAGGGGTCAATGTGGAGATTGTTTACATCCGTTCGCGGAGTGTGGCTTGAAATGAGGAGCGGAGAAGTGGAAGCTGGAAACTTGATGGGACCCCGGAGTTGAAGACGTGCAAACCAGTGCTAACCCAGTTGGGCATCGTCTGCAGATTCCCCTCACGAACCTGGCATCGTTGATCCTTTAGATGTTACCATCAACTCCATATTTACTCAAGACAATGGAGATTACACCTGTAAGATGCTCGCATTTACATATGTTCCTATTCAATAATCCTTCCAAGGTCACAAATGCCTGGTATCGCAGAAACAGTGCTCCCAATGGACACTACAGGCATGGCGTCATTCAATTGGAGGATTAATGTGATGCTCTTCATCTTGGCAAGTACAATACTGTCTTGAGCACAGTACCAACTACGACAGACCATATTGTCGCCTTGATGAGTAGAAGAGACTTTGGATAGACGCCGAAAAGTCAGGACTTGGTAGCAACCCTTTCTGGCTAATAAGTCAGTTGTTAGCGCATCCTCGCACGATGCACCGAATCGTAGTATCATACAAGGACAAGCATTGAGGTGGGTCGTGATAGGTAAGATAGATTGGCAGGCGTCATTGCGCAGCATATGCATGTCAGGGCCCCAAGGAGGCATATAGGAACCTCGTGTTCTACCACGTCTCCCTCTAGATCTCTCTATCGACTCAACTTTTGTCGTCGCTACAAGATGCAGCTTAAGCTCTTACTCCTCACGCCATTCGTTGCGACTGCGTTGTGCGCAAATACAGCACCACCCAGCATCTGGAATTATACGTATCCATGGCCAGTACACTACTTTGGATTCACATCGCAACGCGCGAACTTTTCAATGGCATACATGGACGTCCCTTCTCAAAATACCACATACGCCTCGAATAAGACCATTGTGCTTCTACACGGCAAGAACTTTTGTGGCGCAACGTGGGAGGATACTGCCCATCGCCTTTCGACACAAGGATATCGTGTCATCATCCCAGATCAAATCGGATTTTGCAAGTCATCGAAGCCGTCTGCCTACCAGTTCTCGCTGCAGCAATTGGCGCGCAATACACATCTGCTACTGCAGAGTCTAGACATAGAATCAACACATGTACTGGGTCACTCTATGGGCGGTATGCTAGCCACTCGATTTGCCCTGATGTATCCGGAGCAGACCTCACATCTTGTTCTCACGAACCCAATTGGACTGGAAGACTGGAAGGCTCTTGGAGTACCTTGGCGCAACCTCGATGCCTTGTACAAAGACGAGCTTGCCACGAACTACACGTCCATCCGCAAATACCAGCAAGCTACCTACTACGTCAACACCTGGAAGCCGGAGTATGACGTCTGGGTCAATATGCTAGTCTCGCTCTACCAAACGTCACCTGAAAACATTGATTTCGCATGGAACATGGCGCAGACGACTGACATGGTTTTGACTCAACCGATCGCCTACGAATTCGAGTTGGTGCAGCCCAAAACCCTCCTCCTGATCGGAACCAAGGACACAACAGCCATAGGAAAAGCTTGGAGCCCAGCGGATGTGCAGGCTAAGCTGGGGAAATACGACGTGCTGGGCAAAGAGACGGCGGCGAGGATTCCAGACGCGACATTGATTGAATTTGACGACTTGGGCCATAGTCCGCAAGTGCAGGATAGTGAAAGATACCATGCCGCGCTATTGGGGTGGTTAAACGGCTCTAATTAGGCTTGATCAGGCGCCTCTGTATGTTGATTGCAGGTGAACAGAGAATCGACTGTTAAGACAAATAATGGCTCACTTCCCGCGCAGGTGGGTAGATCCACGAAATGTATACATTACTGGAGCTTTCAGGTCTTACTAGAGAGGATGAATAGCAAGATCTGGCCCATCGCTGCTGCTATGAGTCGTTCCTTGAACATTGTATTAATCGCACTATTCGCAGTTCCCCACCATATTGTGTGTATAAGGAACTAATCCTTCCTATCAACGACAATGCTCCTCTTGTAGATCTTGTTTCCACGATCCATATAGTCAAATATGAAAGGACTCCAGATCACAGTTCTCACATTTCCCACGAGCCTCCGAGCTAAAGCTTCCACCTGGTCGAACCTGGCCGTATCGACAACCGGTTCGTCACCATCACAGTCCGTGGAAATGGAGATGATAACCTTTCGAAACCTGCCGCTCCACTTTCCAGTATCCCAACATGTGGCGATCCAAGCGTCAAAGTCTTTTTTCCAATCTTTCAAATATGCATATTCCCTACTCGAGCATTCCAATTCCAATCTCAAGTCCAAACTCTTGAGATCCAGGCAATGGATGAATCTTATAAAGACTATCTTTGGCCAAAAACTATAGGGTTTCTCCGCGTGAATAGTGGCGTTACGAATCACGTCGTCATTGAAGACGAAGGGAGACTGACAGTTGAAATCCGTCAGGAGAGGAAAGACGCCGGTTGGGTATCGGCCAATTTGACTAAAATCGACGGAAGCGAAGGTCCGCATGGTGCCAAAATACGAGAGCGCTTCCGAACAGATTTGCTTATTAGTCAGAAGCCAAAGTGGAAGGCCTCTGGTATAAGCCGGTAGGGTGTTCGGGTAGTGGATGGCGATATCTTCGACAGGACCACCGTTCTTGGACTTTCGACCTTTGGGCCATGCCTCTAGAGTTAAACCAGGAGGTGTAAATATGATGACCTCTGAGCCGAATGCGTAGTCGTAGATGTGGTCGCGAAATTCCCTTGGCAGGAGAAGGAAGGGGAATGTCCGAGTCGGCTCACAGGCCTGCGCATCATGGGCTGTTTGCCGGGCTTTTCTGGAAGTCCTTGAGGCTTTCTTCCTCATGTACCTGTAGGTAGGTAGGAATACCTTCATGGGCGGTAGTCGGAAGCAAAACCTCATCTTGGCAAGGGTCTGGATTGAATGTAGGACGAAACAAAGGATTTGAAGGATAGGTATAGAGAATCAGTCAAATTTAGCAAAAGTTTTGCAGTAGAGTTCTCCAAGACGTGAGTGCCAACGGGCGGCGGGGTAGAACTCACCTTCACTTTGGCAGGGATATCGGAAGCCTCCACCATACGTAGGTTAAGTCCGCGAGTATGAAGTCAGTGACGTACGTTATTTCGCAAGAAAAGAAAAACAGAAGAGTGAACGACCGACAAGCAAAAAAAGGTTATGTGGTTCAAAAAGAAGACTGCGACTCAATTCGAACTCAAAGCAAAAATAGATTGCCTTTATCGACCCGATACGATACGTGACTGGATCACACCCTGCACGACAGGGTAGACATGCACGAAGACGTACGCTACCGGACCTTCCAGTTCTCTATATGAAATAGCACCAAATTAATAGATATATGTACTCAACTATGATGTCTTTGGTTTAGAGAGGTGAGAGCGTTTGAGTTTGTGACTACGCGATTAGGGACATGCAAACGATGCCCGCATGACCACCATTGTTGGATCGGTAGATGTAAGAGGAGAAGTGAATTAGTGACGCGTATTGAGATGCAAACTGAGCAACACTTTATCTTGCGTTGTGTTTATGCTCGAACATCATGCAGTGTAGGAAGTCCTTTGTTAAGTATTAAATTGTCATTATGCAATCAGCTATATAGTCAGAATTCAAGTGTACCTAGATAGCCTTCTCAGAAGTATTAAGTAGCTGCCGACATATCATAGTAGACCCGGAAGGTATCTAACGATTTAGCATGTATCACTCTAACCCCCCTAATACCACTGAGATCCTCCAGGCTCCATCGCCGACTCACTCCACGTAATCAGAATCATCCTTGTCGTCATCGCCGTCCATGTGATTATCCGGCAACAAGGTCTTCTCGAGGCGTCCTGCGAGCATTCCTATAGCCTTGCCCTTACCAGGATAAGCCGCCTCAGCAGCGTCTTCGCCCATGTAATCGGCATCATTGTTGTAGCGCACGGTCGCCGCCTCACCCTTTTTGCCTGCCTTGTACGATTTGCTGCGATCGAAGCGCTTGCTGATGGCCTTGTTGTCCTTGGCGGTTTCCCAAGTAGAACCGATCGCGCCGGCGGCCTTGTAAAGGTTTTGGATAGTGTCCAGCACATCCTGTACCTGGATATGTTTGGGCTCGGATGGTCCGCCAGATTCGATGCGGGATTTAGTGGCGGCGAGGAGGAAACCTTCACCCAAGTAGTGCTGACCGGGTAAGGCCTTGCTGAGAATGACAATCATGGTCAGACACCTCAAATCGTTGGTGAGGTCCTTGGTCTTTTCGGTGGTGCGGACGCGCCAGTTGTTGCTGATATCGTCTAGAGTCTTGCTTGCGGAATAAGTCCGCTTCAACATGGTATCAGAAACCTTGTTCAGCGCGGTGACAAGCTCCATGACCTCCGAGTGGGGAAGAACAATGCGGCAAATGTTCTTTCTGGCGACACCATCGCGGCGGCGGAGTTTCTCCATGTGAATACGCTTCTCCGTTGGCTTAGTTTTCTAGAAGTCGTTAGTCAGTAAGATGGCCTTCAATGCGCTCTTCGTTGCAGTAACTCACCCTAAGAGTGGTCTCCAGTGCACCAGGGTCACTCTCCTCGAGGTACAGAACAACCTCCAAATCCAGTGGCCCAACGATCCGAAAGCCTCCCCTCAGCTGAATGAGAAGCTCTTCGCCGTTCTGGATGCTGGCGAGGTTGAAGACATCCGCGGTCTTGGAGAAGGGCTCGCCGTTGATGTCGAGAGGCCAGACTGGGTCGTGATATTGGAATGCAGCTTGGATAGATACAATCATGTCTTCCCAGGTCATTGAAGGGGTGATGAGAAAGTTGTACCAATTCTTGTTGAGATCGGGGTAGTACAGAGACAGCCTGCGTATAGGGTGTGTGCTTGCGGAAGACATTGTAGAGGCAACTGTATGTTTTTGTGGTTCGTGGATGTAGATACGGGCAGAGGGTTGGATAAGGAAGCAAGAAGTAGCACGCTGGAAGACAGATTATACGGAGTGCGAGATCTCTGATTCAGAGGTGAGCGTGACTCCAAAACAGCGAGTGAAGGTGAGAATACAATTGCAAACACAGATTTCTCTTGCTCACCACGACATTCTCCTTACCATACGACTTCCGTTCTCACCAATCGGTCCTCTTACTGTAGTAGAAATTGCTGAACACCTTGGTTAAAAGATGCTCCCCATACGTGCTCCCCTGATGTATCGGCTTCTTCCCACTCTCCTCCACACACTTCTCCAACGGCCGAACCACAGCATCGAAGTTCGGCTCATAGAAGAACGGCACACTAATCCTATACTGCTGCCCCCTATGAATGACTCTATGCATCGTACTCTTCCAAAGCCCATTCGTCCACCGCTCAATCATATCCCCAATGTTCACCACGAAAGCTCCTGGTATGGGATCGGCATTGAGCCAAGTCCCGTCTTTGAGCTGGACTTGGAGAGCGCCGGGCGTAGGATCCGTGAGGAGGAGCGTTACGCAGCCATAGTCTGTGTGGGCGCCGCAAGAGAATTGTTCGATATCGTTACCAGGCGTATGAGGGGTCGTCAGGGGAGGGTAACCGATCATGCGCATTACCCAGAAGGACTCGTCGCAGTTTCGCACAAAGACTTCTTCGTCTTCTGTGCTTTGCGTTGCGTTTGATTTAGGTGACCCAAGGTCTAGAGCTACGCCCATGGCGTGGACAAGGGCTTCGCCGACTTTCTTGACTTGCTCAATGTAGTCTGTGTATACAGGCTTGAGCTCTTTCGGCTGCTCAGGCCATAGATTGGTGCCCTGAAGACTCTTCACACTACCTGGTCCTCCGTCTCCGGGCTCTCGCTTCTCTGCTGGCCAGTCGCGGTACCAGTCGATGGCTTCTTGCATGTCTTGTAGGCCGCCCGTCACGTTTTCGCCGAGCCCCTGGTAACCCCGTGCGCCATCTCCTCCTTCTGGACTCCCAGCATCAAAGCGTTTGATTTTGTTCTTCTCTTCTAGTGGCAAGGCGAAGAAGTCGCGTGCAAGGCTGATGACTTCATCGAGCTTTGCAGTTGGTATGCCGTGTCCTGTAAGATAGAAGAAACCATAGTTCACGCAAGCGGCGCTAATGGCTTTAGCAGTCGTAGATCGTGCATCCTTCGAGGATGAAGGATCTAGGAAAGCTGAGATGTCGATTATTGGTAGACCGTCCTGTTGCGCGGCGACGATAGGCTTATCGTACCGGGATCCAGAATCTGGAGTGGGGTTGAGCTTCGTGGTGCTTCCTGATATGCCACCGTTTGACTGCCTGTCTCGCGCTGCATGAAGGGCCGCGTCCATGTCTGACATGGTGTCTTTCTGTAGACAAATAACTCTTTCCTAGTCTAGTCTGCTTCCTTTGACTCAAAGATTGCCGATCACACTATCTGGTTGAAACTTGGACGATATGCCGCTTTGATTGTTTGTGTGGAATATCCTGCGCAAAATATTAGAAGCGATGGAAAGATCATACAAGGACTGCACATGAATCCTGAGGATGGCGGAAGCGTGTATTGGAGTTGGGGAATGGGACGTCGAATGTTCGGATGGCGATACCCGATTCAGTCTAGGCGCGGCTATTCTAGGGCATCATGACAGACGGAAGTCTACATAGATGTCCTTTCACAAATGCAAAAATAATGTGTTCATCTTGGCTGTCATTTCCATTGTAGTGCTATATCACTCTATCCATTGACCAGCTGTCATGCATCGCGTTTTGATTAAATACTATAGATGCCCATATGATGCAACATCACCCAATACTAACTCACAAGGCCTTTACATGATGACCTCGTTGGACACGTCCTGTACAATGAATTAGCATAAGTCGATGAAGCGCAATTAAGTGGTCTTACCCTCTTCAGTTCCTTGTATGGCAAGCAAACACAGTTTTGCACACGGACTTCATCTGCCACGGCACAATCCTTGCCGAGAATGGTAATGCTTTGGACCTTGACGCCGTTCTTGATGACGCTGGTGGTGTGGCTAGTAACGGGGGTTGGTGTGCCCTCAACACGGGCCCAGGCACCAATCTTGCTGGACCAGCCAATGATGGTGTACAAAACACATGCATCGTGCTTGATCTCAGAGTCTTCGAGAACGATGGACTCCTTGACACGCGCACCAGCTCCAATGACGACACGAGGGCCAATAGAGACGTTGGGTCCGATCTTGGCAGTTGGGTCGATCTGGGCGGAGGGGTGAATGTAGACTGGAGGCAGAATGTTTGCGGAGGGGGCCGCGAGCTCCTCCGATCCTGCCTGGAATGCCTTCAGGAGGTACAGGGCGTTGGCTGGGACGGCCGAACCAGCGGTCTTGATCTGGCGCCAGAAGTCCTTGGTCTCAAGGACGAAGAACTGCCTGCTGTCGGCGATATCGGACAGCACATCCTGCTCCAAGCGAATGACAGCATTCTCCTTGTTATCGTCGTCGTCTTCGTTTTGGTAGAAGGAAGATTCGAGGTTCTCGGAGGAGGGGTAAGACAGCAGCCGTGGGCGCTCGGTCCGTCGCTTGATGGCGCTGCGAATGGCGGGGAAGATACACTCGGTCGCGAAGAGGGAGATTCCGCAGTTGATGAGGTTGGAGATGTGCGACTCGGGCTTCTCGACGTAGTGGAGTACGCGCTTTGTGTGCGCATCTGAGACAATGCAACCAAAGTTGGACGCGGCCTCGTTCGCGACCCTCGTACCCAGCATTACCGCCTCGGCATCCTTGTCGTTGAAGAGCTTGAGCATCTCCACCAGCGGGAAGGAAGAGCAGACATCTGCGTTCAAGACGAACAGCTTCTCTGGCTTGCCCTTCAATATGACGTCGCGGAAGTGGTAGAGACCTCCAGCCGTGCCCAATGCCTGGTATTCGCGGAGGTACTTGACGCTCAGGTGTGGCCAGCTGGTCGAGACGGCGTTGATGAAGGGCTGGAAGACGGATTCCTCATAGTAGCCGACGATAAAGACTTCCTTGATCTCGGGGACGTTGGTGATGGCGCGGAAGCAGTGCTCGATTATGGGGTGACCGGCGACGGGGAAGAGCGGCTGTGGTAGCATTAGCGGGGATGCGCTGGGGTACGGCAGTCCGAATTGTCGCGCACCTTGGGCAGTTCCATAGACAGAGGCCTAAACCGCGTGCCTCGAGAAGGGCCTCCGACCTAGTCTTGTAAGTATACATGGCAGCGTCTGCGTTGTGGGAAATATCTACCAGAATGACGGCCTTGGTAGAGCCTCCAGAGGGAGACTTGGGCCTCATGGAGAGCGAAGGTGGCTGCAGACTCATCTTGAAAAAGTCTCGGTTGTGTAGTAGCGGGTTGAAAACAAAAGATCGTGAGCGCGCCTCAAGATCAGAAGAAACGTGCAGTGAGAGCAATTGCGAATCTGGCCTTCTTCAGGAACCAGTTGGTGGACCCTGGAATTCCAGCCCACCGCTGGCGGTGAGAAGCCCTGGCGAATCGGCGAGTCGGCGCGTCGTCAGGTGCAGCTCGACTTCATCCCCTTTGTCACAGCTTGCGCCAGCTATTCTCGAATACGAGCAAGCTATGTCAGTCACGCATATACGGCCTCACAGTGCTAGCGTATTGTTTTCCAAAATATTCATATGGATTTGGTCAAGATTCACTGACACTACTCATACCGTCACTACTTTCCTACGCCAGTCGCCAGCTTCTTGTTCTTCTTCATCAGCACATTCAGCTTCTTTTCCAGCACATCGTGTTCTCTCCTCGCCGCGTGCATGGCTTGCTCCGCCTCTTCCATGGTCAGCACACTACCCCTTCCCCTCCTCGCATTGCCACCGTAGCCACCCATGCCAGCCGTTGTCTCGATTGCGTTCATCAGGCCCTGCATGTCTAGTCCGCCTCCACTACCGTTGCCTAACGTGATGTTGCCATTGCCGTCGAGGCCAAACTCTTGCGTAGACTGATAGCCGAGTCCAGCACCTACAAGTGCTTCGAGACCCTGGACAAAGACGCCGCCCAATCTATCGGCTGCCATCATTCCCATGCCGTCTATTTCTGTGCTTCCCACTGCTCCTCCTTCGACAACTGCTTTAGCTGCCTTTGCAAATCTGTTCGAGTTGACAGACATGTTCGCTGTCCCGGCACCAGGCGCACCACCAACAGCAGCCATCTCGGGACGTGGCTGGTTCGGTGGCGGGTTGTCTGTCTTGGGGAGGACGTACTGGTTGAGATAGGCGCCAGCGTCGGCGGGTGTTTGCTGTTGCTGTGGGGGAGGGACTTGCGGCATAGACGCATCTTGTACTTGTACGGGCGGCAGGGGAAGGTTTGTTGAATCAAGAAGCCCGGAAGAGTTGTCTAGTCGCGGCATCTGCTGCGCGCCGTTGGTATTCAGCTTTTTACCTGCCTCCTTGAGTGCAGTGGCGATTGCTGGAAGTACGTCATTCGAATGAGCTGAGTTTGTCATGTTGTGATTATGTGCGGTCTGCTTACGAGGGTGGAAGCGAGCATGGCCCTTGAGTTCTTCGATATGCCTTTCAAGCTCAAGTGCTTTCGTCTCGAGCTCCTCGGTCAGGCCCCAGAAGAACTTGCCGTTGGGTGTAATGAGAGTCCTAGAATCAGGTTTGCCGTCCTGGCTATTGAGGCGTACCGGCTTCTTTTTAGCGAGCGCATCAAGGTCGGTTTGGGAGAAATGCAGCTTCAGGTCAGGAGGTGCAGTCACGTTACCGTTTTGAGTAGAGCGAGAGGCATGAGTGAGCGACGAAGACAATGGTTTGAAAAACTCAAGAGTCGATACAAGGAGCTCGCCCGTGCGTTGCAAATCAGCCAAGATCGATTGAGCAGAATTCTCGCGCTTGTCCTTGGGCTGTTCGGGCTCGGGTTCTGGTTCGGGCGTTGCTGCTGCTGAGACCTTCGCTGAAGAATCCCTGCGTAATGTCGTCGGCGCTTGAGCAATGACTTCCTCGACCACAGCTGGCTTGGGCGAGGCTGGCTGACTCTTGAAAGCTGCCGCGATAGGTTTTGGTTTGCTTGTCGGCTTCTTCTCCTTTTTCTTGCGACCGATGATTGGAGCTTGCACAACCTCAACATCCGACTTGGTGTCCTCCAGCTGCTCTTCTTCAATCTGCTTCTTTCGTTCTTGTCTGTCCTTCTTGGCTTGAGATTTGGTCTTCTTCCTGACAGGTGCAGTCCCGACCTTGCCGCCAACAGGTGGTGGTGAGTTGGCTCTTGAGAACGATGTTGAAGTGACTGAAGCTGTGTCCGATATCATCTCGCTTGGTGTGCCTGGTAGATTAACAGAAGCGATACTCGCTTGTCTAGATCGAAGCTTGTCGACGGTTGATACCTGAGGCAGAGACGGCACTGGTGGCGCTGACAAAGGCGGTGGGATTTCTGCTTTGGGTGTCGCGATCACTCGCAGAGTCCTAGGCGCACCTGTACGCTTGATTGGCGATCCGGTGGCCACCGCGGCAGGACTCGGGGGTACGGAACCAGCGGATGGGGTCGGCATTGAACGATTGTTCTTCGATTGAGAGTCTATCTTGGCCGAGCCTGGGGCTGGGGAGCTTTCATCGACTGGCAGTTTGGTGGCAGCTGGAATATCAAGCTTGCCTGGAGGCTGCCGCTTGGTTGAAGCTGCAGGCGTACGTGCTGTCTCTTTCTGAGGCTCTTTCTTCGGGGTAGTTTGAGTTGCAGGCTGACTCTTCTTAGAAGCGCCCTTTGACTTTGGCGTCTCCTTGGCAGCTGTTTCCGACACCATCTTCTTCGCATCTGGTGTAGACTTTGGGGTCTGTACAGCATCTTCTTTGGCCGCCCTAGAGGCCTCTCTAGGTGTAGGTTCCTTGGGTGTTTGAGGGACAACGACAGCTTCTTTAGTCGCCGCTTTTGAAGGCGTCGAGGGCGAAGGCTTGGCCGCAGCGGTCGCTGGGGGAGCTGCTGTAGGTGTTGCCGGTACGATGACATCGCTCTTCTGCTTGCCCTTGGTCTTGCCAGGCGTTGCGTTAACAAGCGGCGTAGCAGGGACGACAGGCACGGCTGGTGTAATGTTCGAGGATGTAGTTCGGGACATTGGTCGAGACACAGGACGAGAGCGTGACTCTTCCAGGACCGCTTTGGGTATGGCTGGCGCTGTGAAGCCAGGCGGTATAGTGGGAGTCGATCGACGGGGCTGCTCATAAAAGTGGCCGCTCAGCGGAGTGCCCAGAATTGGTCGGATCGGCTCATTGTCGCTGTCGTTAACAAGTGCATCCACATTGATAGACGCTTGTTCATCTGCACTCAACGGCGCATCGTCTACGATAACTCGTTAGCCTTGAATGTCTACATCAGAAAAAGCAAGTTCAGCTGTGATGAGTACGGCGGCCGCCAGACGATGGTCAGGATGGTGTTGACAGAAGCTTAAGGTACATCAATTGGCAAAAGTTGACTCTCGAACATCTCCGTCACTTGATGGGGCAAGAAAATAGTAAACAGGCCATCTCTCTATTAGAAAGTAAGCATGCCGACTCAGCGGCAGGAGGGGTAGTTACGTACATGCGATGACCATGACGAAGACGACGAGAGAAGCCAACCTTTGCAGCGGCAGGACAGTGCAATCCACCCAATTATGACAGAAACTGAGAAAAGATGTGAAGGTATAGGTGCCGTAGAGACGTGCAACCCACTCATAACGCCGGGCATCTCAGTGTCGAAGCACCTGTGCCGATGCATTCGCCGTAAAACCGAAACGCCATGCAGCCATCGTTCGAATAAAGTACTAAGACAGTATGTCGAGCCAGAGGCCGACTAGTGTGCAGAAGGAAAAATGACTACCATCGTCCAGCGCCGCCGTAGTTGTTGTTGGAATAGAGAGAAGAGAAACCGCCTTGACCTTGGCCATACAAGCCCTGCCCCGCCATACCGCCTTGGTGCAACCTTGCCTGCAAGATACTTGGGTCCTGAACATCGGCAAGACCACCTCCTCCAGAGGAGGAAGTGTTCGCGTGCCTATGCTTCTTACCCTTTTTCTTGGATTTCTGCGAACCAGACTCCTGGTAAGCTCCAGGCGAAGGTCCATAAGGGAAGCTTAGGAGACCAGGGGCAGGTGCAGGTGTGGAGGTTGTGGGGTGTTGATTAAGGAAAGAAGGAAACATTGACTCACGCTTTCCAGCATCAGCTAGCCTAGCAGCACCATCCATGTTCCGGCTGCGGAGCAAGTCCTGATACATGGCATCATTGTTGTTCCTCGCCGTCGCACCAGCCCCGTAGGGTAGACCACCCGTCGCGAAACCGTGACCTTGACCGAACATGCCAGTCCCGCTGACAGGAGGTGTACCAGTAGGCTTCAGTCCGGGAGGAGGACCTTGCACGTTGGTGAAGAACTGCCCACCCAGCTGCTGGTGCTGAGACATGGGGTTGAATTGGTTGGCATTCTTCGGCATCATCGAGTTTTGTTGGCTCATGAGCTTCTGGTTCGCAACAGGTTGCACATTCGCAGAAGCAGAGGCACTGTCGTTGGCGAAACTAAAGCGTGACGTGTGTCTGGCATGGCTAGGAGCATTGTGCTGCTGAGGCTGAGCATTTTGCATGTTGCTGAGGATATTCGTGGACTGGGTGCCGGACTTGAAGTTGGAGAGCAACAACTGCTGTTGCTGCTGTGGCGTCAGACCTCTGTTGCTCAATCCAAGGTTGCTGAAGTCCTCGGCCAGAGGGGTATTCTGCCCAAAGAGGCTTCCACCGAAACCCTGTTGACCAGGTGGTGCAATCGCATGCTGGTTGAGATGGTTGGTGCTTGTCTCAGGGCCGTCTTCGGGCTCGCCTCCAAGTTGTAAGCTGCCACCAGCCGTCGCCTCGTTGTCTTCACGCTCAACTGCAGCAGGAGCTTGCTGAGAGGCTGCCTTTGCAATTGCTTCTGCCTCGGCCTCCCGCTGCAATGCCAATTCCTTCTCCTTCTTTTCCTTAATGGCACGACGCTTTGCACCGCCATTGGGGTCCAGGAGTTGAGGGAACTCGGTAACAGCTTTCAACTCTTCCTCAGATAGAACGGCACTGGAGAAGACGAACTTGAAATCTGGCGAGCAGATGACCTTTAGGAGATCGTGAATGCCGTTGTCGCGGGATTTGGCAGGGCGTGCGGCGGGTGCAGGCGCAGGCGGTGGAGTTGCAGGCTTCGATGCTTGCGGAGACTTGTCTTTCTCCTTTTCCTTTTCCTTCTCCTTCTCTTTCTGCTCTTTCTCCTTCTCCTTCTCCTTTTCTTTCTCCTTTTCTTTTTCTTTTTCCTTGTCCTTGCCCTTCTTCTTTGGTGCCTCCGCTGGCTTCGGTGCCTTCGATGCTTGTGCAGGGACAGCGTTCGTGATCATGGGACTGGCGTTGTTCGAAGCAACTGTTGAACGGCTTGCACGACGCTCCAGCACCGCTTTGCTGCCCCAGTTTGCCGTTGCGGGTAGGCCAGGTGCTTCGTGTATCGAGCTCGACGTGTCGTTGCTGTCTTGGCGATTCATCGGTGTCGCGGCAGCAACGGGTGGACCCTGGTGCGCAGGAGGTGCGGCTCGGGATGTCGACGACTGTGACGGTTGTTGCGTCTGGATCGAGTTCATCATGGAGAGATCCTGGCGAGTAAAGCTGTCGTTGTCCTCACCAGGTTCGTGCAAGAACATGCAGTTGCGGTTGTTGCAGGTCTCGCCGCGGAGGTACGCTGAACAGTACTTTGTTGTACCAAACTGTGCTCTGTAGAGACGTAAGCTTGTCACATGGCAAATATGCAGGGAAAGATATTCACGTACCTTAGTGTTCTCTCGCCGTTCTGGGAGCCGTCGACAGCATTGATGCACTTCTCCGCGTCTTCTTTTCGAGCGAATGTTACGTAGACGCCCACCGACTGCTGGTGCTGAGCGTTCTCCTTGGCCTTGCTTACGACGATCTTGAGGATCTTGCCGTACTGCCCAAAGTAGTCGTCACCGCGGAGGGTCTTGAGTAGTTCGTCTTCGCGTATGGTGGGCGTGAGACCAGTAACGTATACGAGGTTCTTCTGGACGACACGCAGCCCGGACAGGTGCTTGCGGCTGAGAGAGTCGGCTTCGGCCTTCTGCGCTTCCTTCTGCCGTATCTGCGCGTTCTTCTTGGCCTTTTGCGCTATGAGCTGCTTGTGCTGTGCCATCCTGCCCAGTGTCAGAAGTGTTATGCAGGGAAGATGTAAGGGACGACGCACTCTTCGGGGGAGATGGTCTTCCACTCGATCGTGGAGTCATCGTAGGGTCTGCGACATGCGGGGCACAGCCCGTTCATGGTGGTTTTGATGTTGTTGTAGCAGAACTGGCATATCTGGCACGTGAGTTAGCACGGGGGACTCGAGAAGGCTTCACCGAGTTTCGGCACAAAGGCGTACTTGGTAGCCGCATGGACAGGGCCGGAAATTCCTGTCCGAGAGGTCGAACTCCTCGACGCAGAGCGGGCAGCACTCCTCCTCGTCATCGTCGACGAACTGGTCCTGTTGCAGTCGGGACATGGTGTTGTGTGGTTGTGGAAAGTGCGTGGTCAAAGCCGAAGGGTGGCGCTGGATGTGATGATACGTGGGGTGAGATGGGAACTAGGTGGCATCCACAGGGGGTCAGGAAGGAAACCGCTGAAGCACAAATAAACGCCGGCCGGAGAGTCGCTGTCGCTGTAAGAGGGATCCACGGAAGGGTGATGGGGGTTAAGAGGCTGCACCTGCGCGATGGGACACCAGTTCCGCCAGACGCTACTTACATAATCTTGCATGTTGCGGGTTGAGCTGCGAACTTCACGACGTCGACGACATCACCACCCCGAGTCGCCTTTACCTGCTACATCGCGTAGCCTCACCACTCCCTCACTGCACACTATGGCTATGCGGCTAGCTGTAGGCCGGCCATTGGGCGCCGCCGTCCGCGCATCCACCTGCTCCCGCCATGCAGTGCGCACCTTTGCCTCGTCGGCTCTGCGGGCGAAGGAGGTCGCGGGCCCCGAATCCGACACGCCAAACATGAGGGTGCGCTATATCACACGTTGGAGCTGGAATATGGGCTTCTAACACGACTGCAGTTTGCCCCCCGTGACGAGGCCGTCAAGCTCAAGCGCGCCATCGTAAACCCGGCAGACCAGTACAAAGAGAAGGGCGAGTCTCTGCACAAGTATGGCCAGTACATCATGTCATGTCTGCCCAAATACGTCCAGCAGTAGGTCAGCCCAGACCCCAGGTCACGCACTATCTGATGACAGTCCAGATTCTCCGTGTGGAAAGACGAGTTGACCATCTACGTCCCTCCCACCGGCATCATCCCCACCTTCACCTTCCTGAAGTACCACACCGCGGCTGAGTACACACAAATCTCCGACATCACAGCCGTCGACTACCCCACCAAGGACCAGCGCTTTGAAGTCGTCTACAACATGCTCAGCATCCGCCACAACTCGCGCCTCAGAGTCAAGACATACGCGGACGAGGCCACCCCAGTCCCCAGTCTGTGCGATCTCTACGACGGTGCCAACTGGTACGAGCGCGAGGTCTACGATCTGTTTGGTGTCTTCTTCGTTGGACACCCAGACTTGAGGCGCATCATGACCGACTACGGTTTTGATGGACACCCACTGCGAAAGGATTTCCCCATGACTGGATACACTGAGATCCGATACGACGAGGAGAAGAAGAGAATCGTCGTGGAACCCCTGGAGATGACACAGGCTTTCAGGAACTTCCGTGGTGGCTCCTCAGCATGGGAGCAGGTCGGTCCTGGTGACGACCTCAAGCCCGAGAACGTGAGTCTCTCCACTTGCCACATTCATGACGCCGCATCTAACAGAAATAGTTCAAACTCCCAACACCAAAGCCAGAGCCTCCTAAAGAGGAAGAGAAGAAATAGAAAGTTTAGAGGATGTGGATTGTATATACCTGCGAATGAACGTACTTGTACAACATCCAACATTCCACCACATGCTAGACATCATCCCCCTTGCTCTGTGTTCTCAGTGCGCATATGTTGGCTTCGTGGTTAGATGTAGCGGGCTTGACGGCTAATATAGAAGGTCCGATAGATCATTTAGCAAAGACATCCTGTAATACACCGAGGCTCGATGGCTGCAATACGACGTATCCACGTACTTTGGGTCCCGATTTCTCATGCCAAGCAGATCTCGCAATCTGTCACCCAATCAGGTAAGCGCAGTTTAATGCACCTTCTGTCAGTCGTCACCAATTGGGTAAACTTCGGTACCACCACATGGAGTCTTGCATGATCAGCCGTAGTCGATGTGCAAGACGTACCACTGCGGCTATCCAGTGGAATCTAAAGCTTGCAGGTTTTGAGCCTTTCTCACCCGGAACAGTACCCCGCTTTCCCCGTCTGCATCACGAGATGACTGCACCCCAAGACAAAAGTGCCACAGATTAGTCTTGTTTGGTGCTCCGAGTGGGTATCGCGACCAAGGACCTTGAGCGCCTCACGATCGCCCATGCCTGAGTTAGACTGCTCCCGACTTCCCGCCAATAGCAAGTGATCTTTGTTCCAGTGGTATTCGCCTTCGTCATACGAGTCTATCATTTGAGTGTCTGAGCATCTGGGTATATAATACAGCCATGGTTCTTAGGCAACATGCATCTTGAAAATGAGACTTCACACTCTTCCCTTCTTTGTATCTACCGCCCTAGCTACCATGGCCAACACTACTACCACGACAATCGAGCCGTTCAGTCTCTCTGCTCCCCCAGGAACTGACATTTGGCGCAAGCCCCCGACTCATAACGCGTTCAATGCATCAACCTACCCAGCTCAGCTTCCGACCTACGACCTGAAGACATTCCAGCGAGCGAAGCTTGCCTTTGAGCTCCCGCCATCCGACCAGCTTCGCCAGTACGACCAAGCCGGTCTCTTGCTGCATGTTACCAAGCCAGGAGTTCCTGACAACGAGACTAAGTGGATCAAGACTGGTATCGAGTTTTACTATGGAAAGCCATACGTAGCGACCGTGGGTTGCGATGCTTGGGCCGACTGGTCGCTCGTTCCTATGCCCGACTTCAAGAACAGCAGTAGGCCTGGAGCTACCATTGAGGCGAGGAGGGAAAGAGATGACCTTGGAAAGAGTCTTTGGATTTACTGGATTGTCAAGGATGAGGCCGGAAAGGAGGTTGAAAGGCGCCCCTTGAGAGAGGTCACTTGGGTATTTGCAGAGGAGGAGGGCTGGAGTGTGGGTATCGCGGGATATGTATGTCGGCCAACCAAGGATGGTGGAGAGGAGTTGCTTGAGGCGGAATTCAAGGAGGGCGTGGAGATTGAGATCATCAACTGAGTAAGTGATGGACAATCACATGGGGTATCTGGAATGGTACGCAATGCTGTCAGTTGTGCTTTTGCCCAGGCTAATAGTGAGCAGATTGTTTACAAAGTCACCAACGTCTCTCTGGTCAGCGTTCATACAGAATTGAGGTCCTATATTCACACACACACACACACACAGGCTGCTTTCTATGTGTATATACAAAGCAGGTATTATTACACCAAGACTATGACTATGCCTAATAATATCGTCGTCTTGTAGATTGCAACTTCTAGTGGCATCAAGGCAGTCTATCAATCTGCCCTTTACCTATATTAGACACAAGGCGAGCGTAAGCGGCGAGTCACAGCTTTCCCTATTCATCCTGGAAACCACCACGACAGCTGACCTGAGGCTCTGACACATGACTGCAGATACCTCTCTAGGCTGCAGTCCTCTTGGGATCAACTACTTTATCTGCACTGGTCCGCTTTTGTCAACAGCAACAAATAATCAACACAGAAACAAGAGTCCAAGAACACTGCAACCATGGGTCAAGTGCAACTCTATTGTCCATCCAAAAAGAAGACTGTCGACAATTTCGTCTTCGGCGCATTCCAGAATCTCGACCAAGTTCTGCAAGGCGTGCGACTTGCGCTCGATATCAAGTACGCAGCTCTCTACACTGTCGAGGCGAGACCCATATACGAACCCAGTGCGCTCGAGGACGATCAACGCATATTGGTGGCAGCAAGTGCGGAAGAGACGATGTTGCCTGATGCGCCTCCTGGATGGGTTCTGTACCATGGCGAAGAGGGTGACGATGTCGACCCGGACACGGAAGGTTATGGTCAAGAGTGGGATGTGAGTATATATCGGGACTTACATGAGGGAGAAGTCGCTAATTGATATCAGACGCTGTCCGATCATGAAAAATATCTACACATCACCAGTCTCAACGAGCGGAAGCCCGAGACCCGCAACAAGATGCGCATCACGCGCCCATACAAGTCGCTTGAAGCAGAACTTCACTTCTTCGAATACAAAGGTTCATCAACCGTTGAGTTCACTGAGGATGATGCCCGTGTCGAGCGATACTGGGGCATCACTGTCAAGCAGTTCATCCCCTTCTCCATGAAAGCAGGGCCTAGCACAAACCTTAGCCAGAAGCTCACCTCCCCAACCGCATTTGCTATCATGATCTTGTCTAGCATCACACACGGTCAATCTCGACTAGCTCTAGAGCTACTAGAGGAGGCCATTGCGTTACGCACCCAATACGAGCAAGGCGACAACAAGGATCCCGTCTTGCAGACGCAGGACGTACTCAACGCGATTGCCATTGTGTATGAGCGGGCTGATCTTATCCCAGCCAACCTGACAAAGGTAAAGAGCGGAAAGTCGAAGGAGCGTGAGAAGCGAAAGGCTGCTAGGGAGAAGAAGAAGTCCGCTGGTCAGTCTAGCACTTCGGTGTAGGAGTAGACTGGCTGCTTCGAGGGTGCTTTCAATAACTAAAAGGGTTCCTTGGGTAAGCTGAGGTGAAGGCACGATTGGTAAGTGCAGAACTAGGGGTGCCAAGTCATATCGTGATGGCTACGTGCAAGGTTCTTAGTATGTATGGTTTCTGAGTAGTAGCTCCAATCCCACCACATTGCACACCGTCACCATGGAATTACCAGACCTCATCTGCCCAAACACCACATGTAGTCTCGAGGCGCGACTGTTACATCCAAGAAATGACCCATAGATTGCAGGACGAATGTCAGCATGCACGCACATCTGAAGGCCCTAGTAAGTTTGAGTTTGTCTATTGGATGTCTCAGTATATCACTACATCAGCAAACAATCACCACTGATATGTCTACTCTCCTCAGGATCTTCAGATGTTTTCAAGAATCACTTGTTCCGCTTCGCATCACTAACCGTCGACTTACCATGGAGACGTCTCCAGACAAACCAATCACTATGTCAGAACAGCAGCCCCTGCAACCCCGAGTAAAAAGCGTCTTAGACAAGGATATCACTAGTAAGTACCACATCAGAGAAGATAGAGCAGCACAATTCTAAGCAACAACTACTAAACAGCCGTCTGGTTCACATCCAATCTCACCAAAATCTCGCACAGCGATCGGGAGACGTACGTCCGTATGCTCCGCACTAAACTTGAGGAGAGCGTCAAAGAGAGAGATCCACTAGACCAACAAGCTGCTTTGATCATCTCCTTGGTAGAAGAGCCAGTCGAAGCTCTAAAACAACAAGATGAGCCAAACGAGGAGGAGTTGAAGCACGCGAAGAAGGTCGCGGATGACACGAAACGAAGAATTATGATTGACCGGTTGGTACACGATGCTAAGCATGAGGGTTTAGAGGCGCTGCTTAGCAAGGCTGAGTACACCATATGGGGACAAGTAGAATAGCAATTTTGAGGTAAGAGGCGATGGGGCGAGGTATATGAGATGAATGAGGGGCGTAGTGAGGAATTCTACAACGCAAGACTGGAAAACCCAAAAGGGCCTTGATAAAATGTATGTGAAAAATGCCGAATTAAAGTGTTACCTACATCTCCATTCTATAAGATTCGCCGATCTATGCTGCCCATGCACGTTCACGCCGCTTGAGCAGCTCTCAACCCCCCTCTTTGTGCCGTATTCCGGCTCCGCACCTCACTCTGCTTAACCTCCAAATGCGTCCCGGTCCTGTTCTTCTCCAGCGACACCAACTCTGGGGAGGCTACGTCAATGTAATCCTTAGCATCCTTCTCAATTACACCAGGAGTGGAGACATGTATACCCTCGACCAAGACCTTCTCGTCATCTGGAATCTCCAGAGTGGTTTCCTTGATCTCAGGTTTCTTTGTGCCAAAGGGAGGGTCGAAGCGTTTACGTAGGGTCTCGATCATCTTGCCGAACCAGAACCAGTTCAAGCCGTTGAGGATGAAGTTTGAGGCGAGGTAGGCGCTTATGATCCACAGAGGGACGGTTTGGTTGTCGGCGAACTGGAGGACATCGTTCTTGAAGGCTGCGTTGCTGAGGGTCGTGTTGTCTGACAGCTTTCCGACGTCTGGGTCTGAGCGTACAACTGCGCCGGCTGTGTAGGCGTGGTAGACATCAGTGAAGACGCGTATTGACTGGTACGATCCCCACACGATGCGGCAGGAGAAGAAGGTGCACAGCAGAACTATGCCGTTGACGAGCTGGATGGTAGTACCGGTCATGTTGAGTTTATCGCAGAACCAGTGGATGTTCAGGAAGGGCGAGGAGAGCTCGTAGAGGATGAAAGTACACGCGTAGTAGTTCACGAATGGACGCTGTCGCACGATTAGTATTCCACACAGCTCCCATGTGCTCCAAAGAGCACCGCTTTACACTTACGAAGCCCAGCGAGAAGACAGAGAGGGCACAGATAGCATGGAACAGCATGCCGATACCAAAGGCCTTCACATTCTGTACTGTGATTGCCAGGTCCCACAGGAAGTAGCCTCCCGCGAAAGCTTGAATTAAGCCAGATGCCCCCGTGTATCCATGCACGCGCTCCGTTGCGTCCATCTGGTTAAGCTCCCTGTCCGTCCACATAACCCATAACGCCATAGAGCAGATGAGCGTGCTCTGGACAAAAGACACGATATGTACATCCCAGTTCAGCTTGGTTCGCGCACTGAACTGCGCATATATCCTCGGGACGAGGAGGCGCGAGATAGCGGGGGCGAAGTAGCGGTAGGTGCAGTGGTAGAGGGTGAACGCTGCAATGACCTCGTGGAAGTGCAACGGTAGCGTCTTCAGCGAGAGCATTTCGGCGACAGGCTCTACATATTTGACCAGGCTCTCAGGCCTCGGGAAAGGAAACGGGTCGTGCATCGTCGCAGTCGAGCGTGGAGTGTAATAGTCGCGGTGGTGGAGGTGTGAGGTGTGAAGTCGGGGTGGTAAGGGTTGCACGCGGGCAGGAGCGATGGTCGGACCTGGCCTTTCCGAGGAAGCAGCGAAGTGGCTGACAGCGGGGGCAAGGCAAGAGCGTCTTTATAGTTAGGGAGATAAGAAGACCCAAGGCCGCAGCGGCACAATGATGCACGCCGCTCGAGGATGCCTGGTAAAGGTGCGGATGACGACGAAGCTTGGAACAATCCATGCCTCTAAGCCGAGATGCGATTAGCGAGCCGAGAGTTCATCACGCAGCACACCAGGCACACGACACTTTGTTATCCACCTTGACATGTTTGTACCATGTCGGAATACAGCCACGAGACCACGTCATGTTGTGATGGGTTTCATGTGTCTATGTACAGAGCACCGCCACAAGAGGCGTAATGCCGCGACGGCTAGGAACAAGCTCCACTTCCATGCATCGCCCCTCTTTCGCCCAACGCAGGAATATATAGTGAGCCTCTAGGGAGGCTTTCGAAACAATGAACGTACCCGGAAACTCACTAGAAAACATCAAGTCTGACGTTGTGAGCAAACCAGCAGTCCTTGCACATATCGTCCTTCAGCCTCTCAGCGTACGATTCCAGGAAGAGCGCTCCGACATACGATGTTCTCTCAATCTGGTCGAGAAGGGTGTAGAAGTCTTGCAGGCTTCTATAGCTGATGATGCGGTTGCTACGGCTGGAAGAAGTTGTGGCGTTGGCGGTAGAACGACTCTGTTGCATGGCAGAAATAGCAGCGTGAATGGGCAAGACAGTGGTCGTGGATGTCTTCAAGGAAGCGTCTTCATGCACAGGCTCTTTCTCGGAAGACAACGGCGGCGTGAGCAACCCAGAAGTGTGTCTCGGTCGTTCAGACACGCAGTCATGTGATGTCGTGCCGGGTGCTCTCATATGCTTTCCTGCTATCGTCTCAGACGAGAGACTACCTGTTGTTTCGCATGCTCCCCACGTCTTTTCGGCATACAGCTGCATCCCAAGCCACAACGACCACGATGCTTCTGTCAAGCTCTCTGTCGTAGACAGAAGTTCAAGGGCGAGTATCATCTCATGCTCATTGTAGTAAGGATGGAATTTGTTCATCTTACTGTACTTGCCCCCAGGTAGATGTACTGGGTCATTGACGATAGGCCATTAGATGCCGAGCTCGTTGTTGATCTTGAGGTTCAAGTTCGCGTTGAGTTCTTTGTCGTGAACTGACAGTAGATCATCCCCCCAGGTAAGCCGTTCGGCGACCAGAAATAGTTTGTGCATGTGAGCGGTCATTTCACGCTTACCTCCACAGACGGGACAGCTGGGAGCCGGTTTCGGCTGGATGTCACCACCATCACTATGATGGAGCTTGTACCAAGAATCGTACGGCATGAGACCAAGAGGATATGGTACCCAGTGACCGCTCTGTCCTACCTTGCTGAGAGGATGTGGCGGATGCAGAACAGCGGGTTTGTATGTTGTTGATGGGACGAACTTTGTCGGGGTGGGTGGATTCTTCGAATTCAACGCTGCCAGTACTGGTTCCTGGCTGGAAAGGATGGCATCTGTTTGCAGTGATTCCGAAGCTCCAGTAGACATTGCTTCGGGTTTGAATAAGGTGTCAAATACATCCAAACCAATGTCTCGCTGACTATGTGGTGCCATGTCTGCTATGTTTTGGCGCTGACTTATGCTGTAAGAATCCATGACTTGTTTATTTCTGTTTTCGGACGCAGTAGCTACAAAGTCTGCATCTGAGAGCTTGGAACTCTTGGATACTTTGCAGGTTTCCCATGTCTGATCAGCTGGACGTTTACGTGAACTGGAAGCCACGGCGAAATAGTAAGGTAATGGAGTTGTAGTTGACCGATAGGCACGAGAGGTACTCTGACTAATTCATAGGATCTCCTCTGGGGTGTGGAAGTTGGGAAAAGAATACTTGAGTCAATGTTCAGATATTTCCAGAGACTCGAATACTGTGGTTCCGCTATGGTTGCTTGCCGTGGACCATGGTTATCAATACCTCTCTTTGTAATGGTTGTAGATGAATAGTCGAAAGAGAGAAAGACGCTCTCGTGAATGCAACCTTCACTCTCTGATACGCAGTCACCGTCTGTTGCATAGCACGGGATCGCCATCGTACGCGTCCAAGTGCATTCACAGCGCGTAGTAGAGGAAGTGAGAGAATGCGGGGAGGTAGACGCGACTTTACGCGACGGAGACGTGCAGGGATCAAGGATGCTCAAAAGTTGGGACAGCGCGAAAGCGGGACAGAGGAAATGATTCGATCGCATCCCACATGTCACAACCATGAAAGTCATTCACCGGTCTCTTCGAGGCAATGCCACAAATTCAAGGCCGATTATACACAGCAGTCTGACGTCAGGTCAAACGAGATTGCCACTACGTCGAACGTACACTCGACCCGCATTCGCACCGAAGCCCACAATCGATATCAAGCACATCCGCCAGAACCCAGGACTGTATGAGCAAGATTGCATAGACCGCAACTATGCCGCACACAGCAAGTCCTCATGGCGTATCATAGAGCTGCACGAGCAATGGCTCGCGCTCCAGAAAAGCAGCCGAGACCTACGAGAACGCAACAACCGCATCCGAGCCAACCTGGCGAGGACGGCATCGCGCGCTAAAGATGCTGAGAGCAAACCAGTAGCTTTGAGGGAAGGAGTCATTGGCGAAGCAAAGGCGTTGAAGGCCGAGTTGAGCTCCATCGAAGCACAAGAGTCACAAATCCAGGAACAGATAGAGGGCCTGGCGCAGGACCTGCCTAACCTGAGCAGCACGTACACGCCAGTCGGCACTGAGGCTGACGTACTTGGCTATATAAACTCGCACCCCCAGAGCGAGTCTTCGAAACAAACTCGCAAGTCGCACGTTGATATCGGACAAGAACTGAGAATACTCGACTTCTCGGGCTCAGCGCAGACCTCGGGATGGGGCTGGTACTTTCTCGTGGGAGATGGTGCAATGCTGGAACAGGCACTCGTACAGTATGCACTGAGTGTTGCTAGAAAGAAAGGATGGAAGGCAGTTGCACCGCCCTCCCTGGTGTACTCGCACATTGCATCTGCGTGTGGGTTCCAGCCGCGGGATCAGAACGGAGAGCAGCAGATCTACGCTATCGAGCAATCGGAGAAGGACAAGGCAAAACCGCAGTTAGCGCTTGCCGGCACTGCGGAGATACCACTGGCTGGCATGAAGGCCAACCAGACTCTAGAGGAAGCGGATTTGCCCTTGAAGGCAGTCGGCGTGAGCAGATGCTACCGTGCTGAAGCCGGCGCACGAGGAGCCGACACAAAAGGCTTGTACCGTGTTCATGAGTTTACCAAGGTCGAGATGTTCGCTTGGACATCGCCGGATCACATGGGAGATGATCACTTTACCACGCCAACGGCACCAAGCGCAGAAGCAATTTTTGACGAGATGCTCTCAATCCAAAAGGAGATACTAGAGGCACTCGGACTGCACTGCCGCATCTTGGAGATGCCCACAACAGACCTCGGTGCCAGCGCAACAAGAAAGATTGATATCGAGGCTTTCTTCCCGTCTCGAGAGAAGGACCAAGGATGGGGTGAAGTGACGTCGTCGTCCATGTGCACCGACTACCAAAGCCGACGGCTGCAAACTCGCATGCGTGTCAAGGGGGGCAAGCTAGAGTTCCCATACACACTAAATGGAACTGCACTTGCTGTACCCAGAGTACTGGCAGCCATATTGGAGAACCACTGGAACGAACAAGACGGCGCGGTGACGATACCAGAGGTGCTGCGACCCTTCATGGGCGGGCAGGAGAAGATACAGGCATAGTGCCGACGAAGCAATGTACAATCATGTATTATGTATATGTATATGTATTAGACGATGATGTCAGGCGGTTGGTTGCACAACTAATGCGCGTCACGACGGTACTCGCGAGAGGACCAGTCAAGCTGTGGCCCGCAAATGTTTACCAGACGACGCTGCTCGCCCCCTGCATCAACCTTGAAAGGTTCGGATGATCAAATGCTTCGATCCCCTGTTTTGGCCGCGACATCCCAGCTGGTCGCCATCGAGGCTGACTCTGCGCTTGGCCCGGTTATGTGCGGCGATTGGCGCACAGCCTCCAGGCCGTTCAAGCAGCGTCGCAGCGTGCATGGGACCAGTTGCATGCGGATAGCGAGCATGTGGACAGTCGCCACACAGCCACTGTTGTCTACTACTGCACGGCTCCTGAAACATTTTCTCAACACTGCACATGTATCGCGAAACAGCACAGTGTCCCCTGTCGCGCTGAACCGGTTCTGGCCCAGGTCCACCTTTGGCGCCATCGCATTTGTGGTGGGGTGGTTTTGCGGGCCATTCTCGTCTACGGCCTGCGCACCCTCCAGCCTCAACCCAGCCAGCATCAACAACCAGCCAGCCTGCACCTAGAGCTGCACCGCGGCGTGCAAACAACGCAACACGCAGCCCTGTTGCTGTCGCCACACGCTCGCCCCCGCACTCCCCAGCCATTCTCGACTTGTCGCAATATTCGAGGGCACGCTTCGTCGTCGCAAACCACGCCTTCGGCCACCACTCCGTGCGTCACCCCGAGCACAACAACACCAGCGAAAGCGTGAACGTCGCGGCGCATGGTTTCCTACCCAGACTCGTCGAGCGCCGAGCGCTCACTGCCCATCCGGCGTCCGTCGTCGGTGGTGTCCCATTCCTCGCGCGCATCCACCGTCCGCAGACATCGCCAGCACCGGTCCAACGTTGGCAGCCCGTCGCTAGCCCCCCAGAATGAATTTCCCGTGTTTACGCATACCGGCGACGTCGAAATCGTCATCAACAACGGCCGGAAGCACATGCGCTATCTGTTGCACAAGTTGATTCTGACGCAATGCTCTGGCTTCTTTGAGGCTGGGACGAGTGACGAGTGGGCGACGGCCGGCGACGTGACCAATGCCGGTCCCAGCAACGGCACTGCCCTATCGAGGATACCATCAGGGTCACGGCCGGAGCAGAAGAGGAAATGGAGGTATGAGATGGATTGGGGCAGCGGCGAAGATGACTTGCCGATGCTGGTGCAGAAGGTGCGTTGTTTACACGTCCACGGGGTTAGACATACTAACGAGCGTACAGAAGAATCAGCCTACAATGTTTGGCGGCGAAACAAGTCCACCTCCGCAGCCGCCTAATGCGCGCAACAAGCCTGCACCACCACAGTCAGGCTTCTTCCGCAGCATGGCCAACTTCTCCACCCTCCACGTGCCAACAGCACCCGCTCCGGAGACCGACCCCGACGACGACATCTTCCGAGACTACGACAACTTATTCCGCATCTTCTACAACTACCCGCCCTCGCTCGATGCTGTCAATATCGCCAATGCCTATGTAGAGTGCAAATCGCTTCTGCAACTCGCCGACATGTACGACGCGCTTGGTGTCATCGGACCGCGCGTGGACCACCATCTGCTGCGCTTCCAGGGGCGACTGTGGAAACAGATAGCGAAATATCCACCCAGCTATCTTAAACTGGGCTACATGGCACGGAGTAAAGCCATCTTTGCCGAAGCCATGGTGCACGTCGTCGGACAATGGCCACAGGGCATCAACCAACTGCGCGGTCAAATCGCTGAGCCCGTCCTTGAGCTGATAGAAGACAAGGTTGACGAGATGGACGAGCTGAAGGCGAAGATTGAAGTCAAGCTCTTTCGCTTATCGCTCACAACTAGTCGCGGCGAGCGTGTCAGTCCATCGAGCAACTGGCTGGACTGGATAGCAGTCTCACTGTTCCGGCAATGGCTAGCGGAGAACACCACGCCACCCCCAGCTCCGATTCTCAAATCACCACGGCCTCAGAACTCGCGAGACGGAGCGCCGCTGCCAGCTCCACCCGTATTCAACACAGGTCGCATCTTCCGCTTACTCGGCCAGGCTGGCTCAACTTACCTCAATCACGACGAGTGCAAGCGCTTTCTGCGACTGAATCCGGATCACTACAACCGTGACAACCTCAAGCGATTCGAACGAAGAATTGACGAGATCAAGAACAAGGCCAAGGACGCAGTAAAGCCGCTGATGCGCAACTTCCTCGAGCTTGACCTACGAGAAGGCGGCCTGCCTTATTTGACGTGCACAAGAATCGATCCGCAAGACTTTCCGTGGGATGATATATAAGATTGGAGAGAAATTAAAGATGGGATTGGACCATCTGGCGCTTTTGATCTATTTGTTTTTGGCCGCGGGACTTTTGGCGCTACGATACCCTAGGATGTTTGCACCACCACACTGTTTTGCTGTTCCCATTTCCTCGAACGATTTGATGAGGTGAGAGATAGAGAAGGAGAGACCGTAATTTACGTAGAAGAAGGAAAGATTGAAAGTGGATGCTGGCCATGTGCTTTCTTCTTCTTCCCTTTATGGAGAGACGACAGATAATCGACGTTTTTACAACTTCCATGTGCATTGTGATGTTCCCTGCGCCTTGCATATGCTGGTGACGATATCAGTATCCGTGATCTTACCGAGGTCCAACCCCTTCTTTTCTCACAATAGCAGCAAACTGCTTTTTTCTGTCCCTGGCATCCAGAGATAGGAATCAGACTGCAGCCGGCATCCGAGGGATAGGGCTTGTACCGTCTGCCGTCATGATCGACGCCTCACCCGCGCCGCGCCGAAGTAGCGTGTGGGGGCTGGGACGAATACGGTGGGTACGCTGGGAGATAGGGCACAAGGAACGAAGACGTGTTACCTCACCTAGGGATGATATCGGTAGCTCGAAGTCTTGAAGCTATCGAAGTAGCTTTGTGATGAGGTCGGCGAGGTGGCACAGCTATCTACCTTGGTAGGCGATGTGTCAAATGTTGTGTGCACGTTTTGACAGTGTTGACAGCCCTGACAGCCCCATCGTCCTTCGATCCGATCCTGTTTGATCGGACACAGGGATGGTGATCTAACTCTCTTCCCACATCGCCGTGGAGACATCGTGGAGTGTTATGCAGGTACGATATCGGAACTGTAAGGCTCTGAAGCACTTTCTCAGTACTCGGTCAGGCCAGTCAACACTACTCCCAATAATCATAACGTTACAGAAAGGCCCAAACACCCTCTAGAGCGTCGACCTGTCGTTCAGATGAGTATTGCTTTCAACAACCGTTGCGTGGGATAGGACCAACAAGCAAACCCAACGTCTCCAGTAGCATAGCCGTGACCGGACCAAACTTCCAAAGCATACACGCAACCCATCTTTTCCATCGTTCCCATCTGCGCCGTCGGGCTGAAACTGTCCCAAGCAATTGCTTATGGTGGAGCAATATCTGAAAGCTTATCCGATCTACATCAACCCTCAATCAACCCTAGCAGCATGCTAACACTTACCCCGACGTTAATCATGTCCCCACGTCCAGCTTTCCTTTTCTGCTCCGCAGGGCACCACAGGTAGCCGAATAGAGCGGAACTACAGCCCGAACGGGGACTACATGCCTCCATTCAGATTAAGTAGTCCTGTTCAGTTGTCTCGGCGGATGTGGATCGTAACTAAGCCTCATGTCGATCATCAAGATAGGTAGACTGAGGCTGGCGAAGGACGACGTCGGATGGACGCCCGAGAGTGGATGATTGTGGATTTGGTGATGGAACGGAAAAGTATAGGGATGCATTAGGGATGTGATCGACGTTTAGGACGTGGGAGAACGATAGCAGTAGACTTTGACATGGGAGTAGCGAAAGGGGGAGGACGTACAGAGCCGGTATATCGTATCCCAAGGAAAGCAAAACAGCTCCACTGTGCCATGCTTCAGAGACATATAAGATACCTCTTTTTGCCCTTTACAACAGAATCATCATCGTAGTCACTTCATCCTCTAGAACCACATCTCCATTACAACACTACACTCCAATTCAACCACTCAATCACCCACAACCATCACCAAAATGCAGTTCACACTCGCCGCCTTCACTGCTCTCTTGAGCCTCACCTCCGCCGCTGCCGTCACAAAGCGCTACCCCGCCACTCTCGTCGAGCGCCAGAGCGGTATCTGCGGCAGTATCGCTACACCTCTTTGCTGCCAGACTGATGTCCTTGGTGTCGCCAACTTGGACTGCGCCAACGGTACTTTTTACTCCTATCTTAGCTTATGAAATGAACGAGCTGACAATTGTTATAGCTGGCGCTGGTATCAAGACTACCGAGGAGTTCAAGGCTGCTTGCGCCGAGGATGGTACCACCGCTCAGTGCTGCATCGCACCACTTGGTTCCGATGGACTGATTTGCACTCCTGCTTAGATTGTCCATGAAATACGAGCTTTACTGTTGAGACAGTTAGCCATGGAGAAGGATTTCTGGTGGATATATGAGATGAGTGATGAGATAGGATGGCGTCTGGTTGTCCTTGAGAGGGAGATTCGTGGATACATTTACCGTTCTCGTTGTTCCTGCCTCTCACTCCTTTGGGTGGAACATTTTGTACATATATTTCAGTGCTGGAAGACCGGTAGAGAAGGTGGTTGTATGATAGAACAAGAAAGTTGCTCTCCTGAAAAGCCTGTCTCTTCTTTAAAACTTTCCACGTCCGTCTGCAGCAGATTGAGACATCGCTCAATCCGCAGTTCCTGCTCAGATGTGTGAAAGCTTACACCCGTAAGTTGAAGTCTAAAGTTGCAAAAACATATTCAGATAGGAAACTTGATCTTCTCATCAGTCAATGAGACTCGTGATGGAAACACCCCAGGATAAGATATCATGTATTGCATGCTTCCTAGATGGCATCTAGACAACCACCATGCACGCCGTGATCCAATATCGCATACCCAGATACCCAGCCACGCTTATGCATTCATGAACGAAATTGCCTCCCTCCGTCTACCTCATTCAAACTCCAGACTGTCCCTGACGCACTTCCGCACCCTCTTCTTGAACTCCGGTGTGTTGTCTCGCCACAAGCTCGCGGCTTCGACGTTTGCTGGTGACTCATCGTTCGGACTGGACAGCATGGAGATGACGGAGAGGAGGATGGTCTCGGGCGTTTGAACGGGCGACCAGCGTTCAGCGGCGGATTCGTAACCGTACTTGTCTTCTTCTGGGGGGTGTAGGATCGAGATACATACTTCGCCGTTTTGGTAGACTTCGCGTTGTTAGCGAACTAGGTAATAGGATCATAGGACAAAGACTCACTGTTGGGGTGGAAGATGGGTGTCTCGAAGCGCATCTTTGGCGGTAGAAGAGGGTATTCGCTGGGAAAGGTGAGGCGCGCGCGGAAGAACCCTCCTAAGCATGCTGTCAGTACTGCCGCGGCACTCTGTTGGGACCATCGCTCAGTCAGTACCTCCGTAGAACTTTGTATCATCGTCGATCATCAGCATCACCTCCCACTCGAACACATTGCTGTCCACTAGACCGCAGCTTATGCCCGATATGCTCTTGTCGTTTTGCATTTGCTTAAGCTGGCGAGCCAGCAGCCCCGCTGCCGCAGATGACGATGCCATGGTATCTCTCTAAGTGTGTGTGTAGAAGTGGCGTCCGCAGTTGAACGGTATGCGCAGAGTGAACAGGTGGGGGATGCGACTGGGAGACGCTTATGACAGAGAGGCGCAGAGATTGCAGACGTTTTACAGCAATCCGGATACAGTTGTGCCTGCGTGAGAAAGTTTCGTGTGCGCCAGGTCAGTTGCGGAAAGAGGGTAGGTGGAGATTCCAGAGGCGCGTTCGGGCGTAGGACGTGGAGGCCTCTTAACGGCGGGTGTGGCGGGGCAATCTGCGGGCGATCGGCAGGGGCCTATGCGTTGACCGTTGTGAGTATTGGGCTGCTCAGTAAGTAATATAATCGCAGGAGTCAGACTGTATCGTCAGTCGCCCTAGCCGAAGGTGTGGTGCGTGACAGTATATCAAGAAGCAAGTCTGAGTGAGCCTCCAATCGTTGGGATGCATGTGGTGGTATGCGCCAAGTCGAATATCACATGGCAGTGGTCCCTTAGGATATCCAGGCCTTCCCTTTTGCGTTTGCTCTGCATCGAGAACGGGTACATGCCGGATTCCGGTCCTGGAGGCGCGTGAGAGAGCTGGATCTGGTGCTTGCAAGATCGTGGATGGAACTCAAAAGAGATGAGCAACGTGAGAATCTGGACCTCGGCTTGAAACTCGATAAGCCCTACAACGCCCTTACACCAAAGTAGCTTCGTAGTTGCAAGAAAGATTATTATTTGCTTGTAGGTATACTGATTCAAGATTAAATCTACTGGCCCAATGCCCTTCCGTCTCCGTCTGTCCAAACGCCCATGACGCCGTCGTACCATGACCGATGCGATGCCACCCCGAGGACCCGTATCTAGGGTATCATTGATCCAAAGGGATATAGATTGGATAAGGAGAGCCGAAAAGGCGACAAAACGTAAAATCATACAGATCGAGAAGCTTGGATCATCCGAAGATCCGGAGAAAGCCCCATAACCCGGCTCCGCAAAGCACGGGGATGGTGAGATTGTCGTCCCAACCAAAGACGTCAATCGCTTCGCTAGCACTGGCAATGACGCCAGACGCCAGGGACATGGCGCCCAGAGCCCAGTATCCAGTGAGGGAAGCTTGTTTCGGGGACAAGGCGAGAGTCTCCCGCACCTGCGGAGGGAGCGTCAGCGCGCCCTGGAACGCAAAAGCGTGTTCGCCGTGGTTGTATTCTGAGTAGAGAGGCCCTAACCAGCCCCACCATACGACAGCTGTGATGACGCCTGTTACGCAGGCCGCTATGGAGCCCGCAAGACTCTTGCCTTTTCTGACTCTGGGCGTAAGGTGGCCCCAGAGCCTGCCAAAAGTCGAGGCAGCGGTGTCACACCAACTCAACAGTAAGATGCTCATGACTGCAATGTCTTTGGGGCAAAAGCGCATTACAATCCACGCACCTAGGAGGTAGGAGATGACACCGTTGTATCCATCTACCTCCGACTCACGCATGAACGCACCCAGGCAGCGGATATAGAAACGATTCACTTGCCAGTAACGGTGGCGTATGACGTCGGTCAGGGCGATGGGTATTAGCATGGTCAGGAGGACGTTGTGTATCTGCGACGTTTGCGTGCCGATGCAGTAGAGAAAGATTGTGAGAAAGCCGATAGAGACGTGCAGGATCTTGCGGGGAATCTCGTGTCGGTGAATCTATCAACGTCAGTAGTGGGCCTTGTAGATACGGCGTGCGTACTCACGAATGACCGCCATTTCTGGTGGATGGGAATCAAGCCCAGAGGACTTGGGCTTCTGCTCATTTCCCTCCAGTAATTCTTGTTTGCTTGCGCTGGCGACAGGTGGCCGTTTGAGGTGTTGGCAGGCAGCGTGAGATCCTTCTTCATGCCTCCGTTCATCTGCCTTCGGCTCGTCAGGCCACTCATCCTCCGTCTCCCCACGCCTCCATCCAGCTTGGGACTCCGGCTCCTGGCGCGAGCCCTCTTGTCCGGATCTGAGCTGGACGAGTCCTCATCGATGGGCGGAGGTGACGTAATTCGTTGTTTGCGCGTCGACGAGCGCGTTACCGGGCCAAAGTAGCCATCTTTCGTGCTGCCCGCCTCCGAGGGGGTGGGTGACGGCGATATTACGCGCGGCGTGTTGGGTATCTGGTATTGGCGTGAAGATTCCATGGCAGCGCGCCAACAGGTGGGAAAGTAAGGTAAAGTAGGAGCCCGGATGACGCCGGAAAGTGTGGAGCGGGCCCTGGCACACAATAAGGCGATGTTTACAAGAAGAAACTGGTGGTCCGAGGGTTGCGAATATATGTAACGAGGCTGAGTTGGCGCGTCACAGCTAACATACGGGACGGCGGCACTTAAGGTGGCTTCGACATTGATGTCAGCATCAGGTGTGATCACAGACTCATAGCCCGCGGATTCGTCCGGGCAGCGCGCATCGTTTAGGGAGGCAGAAGATGCCACAGTGCGTGCAGGCGACAGCAGCGGTCGTCTTGATTATTATAGGCGGGTAAACAGGGAACGGATTGGGGGGTACGGCTAGGTAATCTTGCTGCATGGGACTGGGAAATTTGATCGCAAGCCTACGCATGTAGTTACGATCCGGTTCTCGCGAATGCGCCTATGATCAGCGTGGCTGCGGATCCGTCTTGGCGATGCGATCAGGTTCCAGTTGTAAGGGGGTGGAAGTGTGTTGTCATAGCAGAAAGGTGAGCTGGAATGCAGCGTATCTTGCCAACACAAGCTTTTGGCAGATGCATTCGAGACAGTGACAAGTGACGATCTCGCGTGTCATCAATCGTGTCTGCCAGTGGGCACGTGTGGCGCATGACTGTGGCGCGCATAATGTGGCTGTGCGCGGCTCCACTAAAATTTCAGAGTTCGCGCGACTTTTCCGTACGGCCGTCGCGACTTTCCAGCAGCTTCAGAAAACATTAACACAAGTGTTACGTGCATCATGGCACCCCAAACAAAGACAGATCGATCTTTTGGCGCCTTGACGCCTGCCTTGTCAGAATGGATACTCGAGGCTGTGGATTCCATGGGGTTTGTGAAAACTACGCCTGTACAACATGCTGCCATCCCCATGTTCATGAAGAACTCTGATGTTGTAGTCGAAGCCGTTACAGGAAGTGGAAAAACTCTAGCGTAAGATTCGCAGCACGAAATCCCATTTTGATCTAACAAGCTACTAGTTATCTGATACCCATTGTTGAGCGTCTGCTGCGGCTCGATGCGCCCATAAAGAAGCATCACGTAGGTGCCATTATCATCTCACCAACAAGAGAACTTGCAACACAAATTCACACTGTGCTCTCATCACTTCTGAGATTTCATGCGCCCTCCGCAGCCCTACTGGATCCCGAGGATGAAGACACCGATATGGAGGACGCCGATGCTCCACCAAAGCCGACCTTCCCACCAGGAACCCTCAGGGTCGTACCCCAGCTCCTTCTTGGAGGATCAGTAACGCCAGCTCAGGACCTCAGTAGATTTCTCAAGTCATCTACCAACGTACTCATCGGGACACCGGGACGTCTACTGGAACTCCTCTCCTCACCGCATGTACATTGCTCACAGTCATCCTTCGATGCTCTCGTGCTGGATGAGGCCGACCGTCTTCTAGATCTTGGCTTCAAGGACGACCTACAGAAGATCCTCTCCCGACTACCAAAGCAACGTCGAACCGGTCTCTTCAGTGCTAGTGTTTCCGAGGCTGTCGACCAGTTGATTCGTGTTGGTCTACGAAATCCTGTTCGTATTGCAGTCAAAGTCAAGGCGCGAGCTGCACCCAATAGTGCAACAGGAGAGATGGGCGCCATCGAAGACAAGAAAACACCAGCAAGTTTGCAAATGTCCTACCTCACCGTACCCGCCTCGCACAAGCTACCTGCAATTAAGAAAGTACTCTCATCCTTAGAACCACAGCCGCAAAAGTCCATCATGTATCTGGCGACATGCTTTTCGGTGGACTACTTCCAACATATCTTACCCGAAGTCCTCAAAGGGTACACCATCGTGCCTCTGCACGGCAAACTGCCGGACAAAGTCAGAAATCGCAACTTCATCAAATTCGTCGAGAGCGTCACACCGTCTATCCTTCTCACCACAGATGTCGCTGCACGTGGTCTTGATATCCCCTCGGTGGATCTTGTTCTTCAACTTGATGCCCCAAGCGATCCCAAGACTTTCATCCATCGTTGCGGTCGCGCAGGTCGTGCAGGCCGCAAGGGTTTGGCCATTACATTCCTTAGCCCAGGACGAGAAGAGGATTACATTGAGTTCCTCCGAGTTCGGCAGACCCCTGTATCGCCTTTCACCACGCCTGATGTTACAGTAACCGCGGAAGAAGCAGCAGCCATGAGCAACCGGATACGGAAGGTAGTCAAGTCCGACAGAGCACTATTCGACAAAGCACAGCGGGGGTTCGTTTCATGGGTCCGTGCCTATAGCAAGCACACCGCGAGTTCCATCTTCCGTATTCCAGACCTCGATTGGGCAGAGCATGGTAACGCGTGGGGTCTGCTCAAGCTACCCAGCATGCCGGAACTGAAAAAGTGGGAAGGAGACCGAAGTCTGGGGGTGGAGATGGATTTCAGCACCTATGCATACAAGGACAAAGTGCGGGAACAGCAACGACAGACTGAGCAGAGCGAATACGAGGCAAACAAGGCCGAGGGCAAGAAGCGATACGTCACAGAAGATAAGAAGGCCTCGGCGTGGACGCAGCAGAAGGACCAGAAGGCGCTCAAGGAGCTACGAAGAGAGAAGAAAGCAGCGAAGCGCGAGCATGATCGGGTGGCAGCGTTGACGGAAGACGAAAAGAAGGAGGAGCAAAGAGTGAAGGGTATGATTGAGCAGGTGAGGAAGAAGGTAGCAGCGAAAGAAGCACAAGAGGCGGAAGATGTGTTTGAAGGGTTTAGCGATTGATCACGGTATATACCTGGAGTTTAAGGAACCTAATGTGTCGGTTTTCTGGGTATTCAGGCGCCTGGCTCTTATATTATTGCAAGAATTATCGAGTCGGACTTCTCAGTAGTCGATAGACATCACTTTGCAAGCCTTATCTACTCATCCTCTGAGAGGTTGAAATGCACCAGTGATCATGACCATTTGAAGCTCAGATCTTGCGACTTTCTTTCTAAACCCCACCCAGCCGCTGAGTAAGGTCGTCCACATTATGTCACGTCTTCTCCTTTCTCGTGCCTTCTGGTCTTCGGCTCATGCTCCAGGTCTCTTTCCGCGCCCTCTCTTTCACCTTGTTTTCTTCAGCTAGGTAATCTTTAGCTTTTGGACTCACCGCCTTCTCGAAGAGCGTACTAATGACATGAACGATATCTTCCTCCTGCAGCAATGGGTCTTTAGTCCCTCCGTCTCCCGGTTCAGCCAGACGCGCCTTGACGGCCTCAATGATGTAGGCGCGCACCTTACGTGCTGAACCATGGGTAAAAGACGAAAGGACGGTGAGGAGACTGAGGACTTTGGGAGACATGTCTTTGGAGTCGTCGGGCATCATGGAAGCTCGCAGGAAAACCTCCCACTTCCAGTTCCAATTGTAGAAGATTGCCGTACCGACATCGTGTTGGGTACACATCTGTTCAGAGTCACTGGTAAGGATTTCTTGTACTTCCTTTTGGACGGTGGCGTATGGGCGCGTGATGCGGATGGTGTTGGTTTGAACGAAGCCACCGGGGTTTGCACCAGCACTGGAAACACACGTGATGTGGGCGCACCTTTGTTGATCGGTAAGGTCCTTACTTGCGGTTAGCTATTGGTACTTCTTTTTCCTTTCAGATGTTCCGTACCTCCCATGCCAGTCCAACGCCATCAGTCATCCAGTCTACGTTTGCGCTGTCCTCGCCGTTGTACATGATGCAGTTCCATGGCTTGTAATATTTCATGGTCTCGTCTCGACTGATAGCGACTTGTACAATCTGTCCCGATACGCAATTGCGAAGGTTATCGATTGGTTTGGCGCGGATGTCGTAGACCGCAGCGTAGTTGGTTCTGAATATCGAACGAATATCGTAGAGGAGATTGAAGTGCTTGTCGGGATTCTGGATTATGAAATCCTTCTTAGTCTTTTCGGTCGAAGGGCAGTGAAGAGTGACTTTGATTGCCATGAAAGCGTTGGTGTCATTACACATTTGGTTTGGATGATGAGCGCCAAGTGGTTGGAGGAAGGATAAAAGGACAGTAAATTGGAAAGAGAGATAAAGAACAAGAGGACAAGTCACAGGAACTGAAGCACTTGTGATAGGTTTTCCGGCTTGTGGGCGAGTGGCTCTTGAGCGTTTGCGGTGCGCGACATTGGACGCAGCGATACGTCACGACTATATCGCGAGCGCTCTCAGACCGACGAGACTTCACTGCTGGCGGGCCGTAGAAATCTAGCAGTCGCTTTCTGATTTTATCCCCTTAGTTTCAAGATAGTTCAAAGTCCACTGAATTGCCTGGAATTCCTCAACGTAATCCAATAGAGTATATTCTACTCCCGCACGCAGGTGTTTAGCGCCTAACAGCACTACTGGTGGAATCATATAACACGACTATGTTTGAACGTGTGTTTGATCTTGGGAGGCTGGCCTTTATTGAGGAGTGCGTGATGAAAGAGCACATGATGTCAGGTGCTGTCCTGTGCGGAAATATTTCTTGTTGACTGTTTTGGAGTCCTTAAACGACCTGTCTGCAGCTCAATGTGCACAGAGCCATTAGTGAGACTATGTTTCACGGACACATGCAGGGTCAAGTCACGAAACTGGCTATAGCCAATTCCTGGACCAAGTCCGTCTGCGCAAACCACACAACACGTGCCACTACCCTAATGAGCCTTCGGCTTTCCGTGAGTGATGGCAGTGCGCCTATTGTAGACTCGTCCAAACACTTTGGTTGTGACTCGAAGTGATTTGATGACTCCAGAGCTCACGAGATATCTAGAATCGCAGCCACTGAAAGTCATCATGAGCAAGCACCAAATTGTGTCCCTCGCCCCAAATTTGCCCTTCAGTTGCGAATCGCAGTGATCCAATCTGAATTAACGGAAAGAGCTGGTCGCAGCGACTTGCATCAAACGCTTTAAAGTTGTTCGACGTAGTCTGCAGGGTGTTGCGCATGGTGTTATGCAATTTGCGAGCCTCTATCTGGTCGACGCGAAGCCTCCGTGATAAGGTGATGGGGTTATGACCATTTCCTCCGAGCGCAACCACTTTTGTTGGGGTACGCAAATTGAGTATCATGCGTTCGGTGTACAGAACACTGAAGTGAGGGTTGCCTTGAAACAGCAGATTCGCGAGCGTTTTCAGGAAGATGGCGATGTAGTCGAAGAGTTGCTTGGCAAAACAAGTAGGGGAATGTTCTAACAGATGAGCCAGCTCATGTTCATGGGGTACGAAGGACTCGCGAGGCCCGTCTCGGAGAGGCTCACGAGTGCGCAAATCGACATTGATGAGAAGTTGGTTGAAGGTAGGCGAAAGCGCCGCAAATTGAACCCAGCTCAAGGAGAAGTACGGCCGACCATGCGAAAATGTAATGTCGAATTCATAGTTTAGGCGTTTTGCGGCGACCAAATGTTGAATTGCCTGCTTAAACTCTCCATGGATCTGGCGACATACGCGCAGTAAGCCGCGATAGCACCGAAGCGGTAGATCGTTCCTCACATAATGCTCTGACACCACCATAACCCCACGGAAAGATCGCCCTAGCTCTTCACCAAGTAATATCTCGTATACATGGTTTCGAAGTTCAAGGGGTAGATCCAAAAAGCCTGGCATGTCGCTGGGTGCCAAATGTGCTGATGCGCCTGTCGAAGATCAGGGTCCAGCAGCACACGGAAGTTCGGAAGCGAGACCGAAGGATCGCGAGTGCGGTACGCTGCTGAAGTCGCTGCTTGCGGAACCAAAATGTGCGTGAGCAGAGGCGTGAGAAGGAAGCTGACGTAACCAGGAGCAGTGAGATATGGTTTGGAAATCAGATGAAGTGAGATTTGTGGGTTTTCGACGCGGTTCAGCGTGTGAAACCGATCGGTCCGTGCTGCCCACGTGATTGAATCTGGGCTCATTGATTTGCGACGGCGCCGCGACACCGTCGTCATCGGCGAACCGTTGCGCTACTGCAAATAGCATCTCGCAGCAGCTTCATTGTTGTGCCACATCCGATACGTCGTCGCGTACATGGATGACTACGAGCTGGATCGCATTGCATCGGACAACCCTGCTCTGACTGCGCCTGCAGCACAGCGGGCTCCCATACGACGCCTCAAGTCTCAAGGCCAAACGACGTCGAAATCCCAATCTACTGGTTCTCAAGCCACGCCCACACCTCTAGAGCTGACCAAGTACGATGTATGTGTTCGATGAAACGGTACCAGAATCCTGCGCTGAACAAACGTAGGTCGGGTGGCGGAGGATCGTCCGAAACTTTTCGCCGTCATGGTTCTCCGTGACTATGGGCACGGGGATAGTATCTCTACTTCTCGTGGCTATACCGTTCAAAGCAGACTGGCTCTATTGGCTTGCCGTGATCTTCTTCGGTCTCAATACTATCTTGTTCGCATCCGCCTTCTCGGTCTCGGTCTTCCGATATACTGTCTACCCTGAGATATGGTCCGTTATGATTGCGGACAGCGTCAATTCGCTCTTTCTTGGAACCATCCCGATGGGGTTTGCTACCCTCATCTCAGCTTGGTGCTCATTATGTATTCCATACTGGGGGCCTTGGGCCACCACCTTTGCTTGGGTTTGCTGGATGATCGATTCTGTAGTCGCTGTGTCTGTCACGATATCGCTCACCATTCTGCTGATATCTGCATCCGACCGACAGGCTTTGGATCGTATTACTGCAGCTCAACTACTACCCATCGCCGCGTCTATCGTTGCGGCCGGTACTGGTGCCAGAGTCGCAGAGCACCTGCCCAACCCGCAACATGCTCTTGGTACAATCATCGCATCATATGTCATGTGGGGCATGTCTACGCCACTGGCTATGACTGTCTTAGTCATGTACTATACACGTCTGGCTTTGCATAAACTACCACCACGGGAGATTGTTGTATCGTCTTTTCTACCGCTGGGTCCGTTGGGTATGGGCGGTTATTCGATTACATATCTTGGTATGGTGAGCCGACGAGTATTTCCAGAAACGGAGTTCTTCTCAGATATTCCTGTGGCAGGTGATATCTTCTTCGTTATCGGGATTTTTCTAGCACTCATAATGTGGGCGTTTGGGCTGACTTGGCTCTGCTTTGCCTTGGCATCTATCTACAAGTCACGCCCGTTCCCGTTCAACATGGGCTGGTGGGGGTTCACCTTTCCTCTTGGTGTCATGGCGCTTAGTACGATGGAACTTGGAAACATCTTTCCAAGTCTGTTTTTCAGGGTTTTGGGCACGATCTTTGCTGTTGCCGTCATTCTACTATGGTGCGTGGTAGCTGTTGGGACGGCACGAGGTGCATGGAGCGGCCGTCTATTCAACGCGCCATGCCTCAAAAACTTACCCAAAAAAGATTCTTTAGGACACGATGAAGCCGAGAAAGAGAAGGGGCCAGTGCAAACATGACCATGTCTTTCTATGGTGGCAATATTCTGTTTCAGGGTGAAGACAACAAACGGGTACGAGGAAAATGATCATATATCGCGTTGCATTTCGTCGTAATAGTTTATTTGCTGTGCAGCCCTCCTGGAGCAAAGCACCAAGCCTCCTGCTCTTCGTCCTACGGCTACGCAACCCCCGAAGCCCTCCGATACGCTATCGCGAACACTGTGCTAGGCCACTCAGGCGCTTGCAGCTGTGCATTGATCTACCACTGATTAGCTTCAACTCCAAAATTCGGCACTGTTTAACTAACCTTTCTGTGCCTGGCACTCCTGAGTGGAAAAGTTTCCATTTCCACCATTGGCCAAGTTCGCACAGCCGTTGAACTGTTGGTCGCAAGACCGCTGCAGAGCACCTGAAAGGTTGACAAAGGTGTCGCCCTTCACACTGAAGGGGCGGTTCGCGATACCGGAATCGAGTACAGGTGTGGCTGCGACACCACCGAGAGCGCCGGTGAAGGTTTGTGCATTGTTCTGGCGGACCCAGACAGCGCGTGCGTTGGTAAGAGCGGCGATGCCGAGAACAAGAAGGGTGCTGGTGAACTTCATTTTGGCAGAATGGATTGCACGGTATAGACTGTCGAAAAAATTGGGTATCTTAATATTGTATTGAACGAATGGGGCGGCCGAGCGCTGGAGAAGAGAATGACACGAAGTGAATGTAAGTTGAATGAGTGTTAGCTTGATGATGGAGTTCTATCAAAAGCCTCTCATTATATATATTTTCACAGCATCTACATCTGTATCTTCAACGCGGCTCGCAAAATGAGTAGGCAGAGCTGCAATGCCGATGTGTTCATGTTCCATGGTCGCGCCTCAGGCACCTGAAACCCTGCAAGTCTTGGAACCGACACACCAAATGCTTCATTGCCTTATAACCGGCGACGCGATAAAACAACTGCACCACTTGAGTTACTGCTGGAGACGATAATGTTTACAGCTCAAGCTTGACAGGCGGTGACAGCTGCTTGCAGCCATCGTCCTGGATTTCGGTAGCCGCGTGGACGTGGCGTCATTTGTCTCGCGTTGCTTCGTATGGTGATCCTTTCTGCGTCGTTATCATATGTGATACGCTATAGTGTTCGAGAATGTCATTGACCACGTCGGAAACATCGGTTCGAGCTGTATAGGCGATAACAGAGGCATGCAGGCGCCGTGCGGATTGTCGCGGGACCTGACGCACCAGTTGAGCTTCGTGCAACGCTATGGTACATATCCATCCTTCCGATCATTACAACTGTGACAATTGTTGGATTCCTTCACTGTCTTACGATCTCAGATGTACCATCGCTTTCTGTCTAACCTTCCCACACTTCCCATATCGGACCTTGCAAACGCTATCGCGCCTACCGCCTCATCTGGGCAAACATCCCCTATTCGTACGGGATAGTCGCGCAACAACGCTGTTCTTTCCAATCCACTCAGCGTAGTTCCACCTGTAGGGGTCGGGAAATAAGGGTTCAACAGCGTCAGCGAAGATGCGTAACCGATGATATCCGGTACGAGCGTGATATATTTAAGAACAAGTCCCGAATAGGCCGCAGCTAGCAGTACAATGGAGCAAACCAGTAGCGCTGTGAGCCATTTCCAGTTCGTTTTGTAGATGGGTTTTGTTTTCTGCAATACGTCGGCATCGGTCGCGACGAATTTCACGCTAGAGACCGAGTCGGTGGTCTGCGTAGTGTTCAACCAGGCAGTCTCCATTACAGATGCTGGCAAATTTCCACCGAGCGCTCGCGTGCCATAAGTAGATTGCCAGAATGTGTTGTACAGGATGGTCAATCGCTCGCCAAAAGCCTGTGGTGATAATTTGTAAAGTTCGACGTTAACAAAGCCTAGACCGATGAAGTTGGATGGATCACCTATCCATTTCTCCATGGTCGTCGAGCCTTTATGATACCTTGGCGTTTCTGTCTTGTAGAAGTCAAGGCTAGGCATTACTCCAAGTAGGGTCGAGGTGAATCTCCGGATAACAATGTCGTAACCAATTGGATAGCCTTCATCGAGCAATCCCAACTTTCTCATCTTGTAGACGGCACAAGATGTCCCGTTGCAGCGCACTCCAGCTTCATACTTCTCGAACGAAAGCTCACAGTTGGCTATTGAGAATTTGTCTTCTCTATCTTGGGCGACAGATTCACTCCGAATCGGACAGGGGTAGCCATAACACCACGGGGTGGGACAGTCTGTTGCGTTGCTCCTGCAAGGCGGCTGTGTATCGTTGTACATCTGGAGTTGCCATGAGAAATCATCAGTGAAATCCGCCGGTTTGTCTGTTGGCCCTTCGTTGCTCAGGCACTTCAAATCCCATTGTCGAGCTTCTATGTTGAAAGAGGTGAAGCCAACAGATGGTGGTCCAACAACCGGAATACCAATCAGAGAAGCGTAAGTAACATTGGCGGCGGTAGAGTTGGGGACCAACTTCCACTCATCAGGCGTGCTGTTCTCGATAGTACGATAGAGCGGAAGCTTGACGTTCCCCCATAGGTCCATGGGTGTACTCTGGTATCTGGTGCTGCTGAGTATAGCTGCGAGCGTAATGGGCGTGTAGGTGTTACGGCCAAGTTCTGTGAAAAGAGTAGGTATAAAGTCAGTGGGTGTCTCATACCGTGTTCGTATATGTACACTTACCGGCATAAGAGGTACCACTCATCATAGAATCCATGATCGTCATAGGACTCATGTAGCGTATTTGGCTAGTAAAATGAATGTCTCCAACTTCTTGGTTCAGTAGCCGAAGCGCGGACTGTCCACCCACTGGCGAAAGAAGCCAAATCAAGACAGATGCTAGCCCAACCATAGACCAAGACCTCAGGCAAATCTGACGCTCGAGTGCGGAGAAGACGGACTGGCAGCCAATCAGTTGTTCAAGACGGCCAAGAGTTGTGCCTCGCTGAGCCAGCCAAAGTCCAAGGTGTCGAAAGAACCTTCCCATCAAAGCCGCAAAGATAAGAGGGAATATGGTCGGCGAAAGAAGTAGGGTTTGTTCCAGCTTATGACCATAGTCTGACACTTCTTTTCCGTTCAGCCTAACAGCGATCAAAGCGAGTGCTATACAGTATTAGCACTTATTTCATGTGACTACTCCCAGTTCGTAGTAGGGAATGATGACATGCCAAGACTGGTGGAACTCACCTAAAAACATAATGGGCGTCGATGCCAGAACCACATCAAATACCATGATCAGTACTTTCAGCGGTGTGATCGTCGCTACTTTCTGTGAACGCGATGGCCATTTCTGTACTCGTGTTTCGTGAGATGTGTCCTTGTTGTCTTTCACACCGTCTTCCCCATCGTGATCTCGTGAATCATCCAAGCTGTTGCTATACGACCCAGCATCATATTGGATGCTCAACGCGTCCTCCACCGACACACGCGGACCTTTAATGTTGTGTCCAACAGGTTCGTACGCCATGACGTTCAGAGTTGCGGTAAGATGTAGTGGGCAGAGCTCTGAGAATGATAGGAACGGCGGATCGAGAAGGAATGCGTTCAAGAAGTCCCCCAGTACCTAAGTAACTTGGTACTCAGGTACCAAGAATGCAGGACGGGGCGTAAGATATGCAACCATGCCTCCCTTGCGTCCGACATGGTGTAGCCTGCGGTGGGCACGGCGTTTCGCCGAAGGATGAGAACCCTGCTTGGCTGGAGCAGACGCGGTAAACGGCTGGCTAGGCATACTTTCTCGAACCTGGAGCATTGTGACATGTACGCGCCCGGACTGAGCTAACCGTGACGCGCCATGCCGCTGTGTGGTGGACCGACTTGATTTTCGCCACTAAGCCGCTAGCGTCATCCGGAGATAGTTTAACGCAAGGATCATGATATCTGCACTTGCAGAACGGCGGACATTGAACACTTGTATGCATTCCCCACAAACTCCAACCGTACCATCGGCACCACAAGACTCGACTACAAGTGATCTGTATCTGTGGTACACATCTCCATAGTTTGAGCAGATCTAGCGCGTGCGATGTTGCCAATATCGCGTATTGGTCAACCCGCGCGATGAGGATCACCGCTTTTCTTTGGTCAGCTGGAACTGGAACCCATATTCCACGGCGCACGGATAGAAAACAGGTTAGAGAAATGATGGGCCTGTCAAAGAGACAATGGCCAATCTTTTTGGTGCCTTCCCCGCCTGGCAACTGGTTGCTATGACATCGTTGTACTAACTCCTTCTCAGCACATCTCGCTCGCAGTTTGCAAAGATTTTAAAGGCGTCAAATGGTCAGAACTCGATCCTAAAAAGAAGGAAGATATCTTCCAAGAAATCAAGGATGCCATGCGAAAGAGCAAGCTTCCGGCAGTAGATGACCAGGGAATCGAGTGGCGCGTATCATCAGTCCTGCCCTCGCTACGGCACATGCAGCGCTGTATGCACATCTACAGTGTTCAATATAGCTTGTTGCTGATTCAAATACAGTTGCAGATCGTTTCAAAGATTGGCAGAATATGGCTGGGACAAAATTCCCCCATGTGAGTATGATGCTGTGAATATGCTTAATAAAGTCGAGCGCTGTCCTGGTTCTGACAAAATCTCTAGAGAGTATTTCGCGAGGCGATTGATGCAAAATTTCGAGGGATCCATGCGAAAAGAGAAGACCTCCGCTGCTGGACGCAGATTCCCGAAGAAATACGACTTGAACTTGCCGCAGAAAGTAACAGGCGACTTGTTCAGCTTGGGCTTCCTGCGATGGATGAAGAGGTCGTGTTGGAAAAATTAAGAAAGTGCATGAACCATTGGATGAAGGATCAAACTAAGTTCATGCCTCGGTAGTGTAATCGCAATTTTTCCAAAGAGCTGTTGCTAGTAGGCTTGACTGGTTCAAACAAGAGCAGCCAAGGACAGACTTACGACTAGCTTCAGAACGGCTACTGTGTATCTCAGGGAACGGTTCACATTGTATTACCTGTAGCACAACAGCGTAAAGCCATCTCGACCTCTCTCCGACCATATATCCTGGGTATCGATACTCTCCACTCCTGCTGTCATCCTTCAGAACCGAATCGCAACGCAGAGCGCGTCCTGGACGACCAACCCTACGCAAGTGAGGTCAGAGGCGGCGACTCCCTCCAGACGATGACCTTCCCTTCTCCCTTGCTCACCGCATCCAACCAACCCCTGAACTCTTTCAGATCAACTCGATATCCCTCAATAAGTGGTATGCTTCCCGCCTTTTCCAATTTCACAACCGTTCTCTTCAGCGTCTGCGCACCCTCCTGTGGCAGGATGCTCGATTCCTCTACTTCCGTTGAACCTGCACTGCTCGAGACAGAGCAAATCTCACGATGGAGATGCTCCTGGCCACGGCTCGGGCTGATGAGGTTCTGTAGAGAGGCCAAGCCTCTTAGCGGCTGCTCAGGTGGTGCAGGCGTCGCAGGTGGTTTGCTGAGAATAGGTTCATGGTTGTCGGGAAAGACGGTGTGGAGACGAGTCGATGTGTCGGTAACAGCGGAAAGGTGCCACGCGAGCATGACGTGCGGCGCAGTTTCCTCTTCTGAAATCGCATGTTCTTTGATAAGAACATACGCCCATCGTCCTTCTCCACTATCCGCAAGATCTATCTGATCCCAGTATACTCCCAATGTTCTTTTTCGCTCTCCATGTTTGGATTCGGTGCCCAATCTCCGTTTCATAGCCTGCGACTTTAAAGGGTGTTCTTGCGCCTGCGCGTTGAAAGTGACAACTTCCTCCTTGCTGCGGAAGACATCAACCTCTGCATAGCCAATTTCAGCCATATCGCCTGGGCCCAGGAACCGGATCTCCTTGTGTGGAATGAAGCTAGTGTCGTAGAAACCGACAGAGATAAGGCGGTTGTAGGCTGGTGGAGTAATGCGGCGTGGAAAAGCGGCATGGATGGGGAAGGTCTTCGGGTCCGGAAGGCGCCGGTAGAAGGACTGCATTGCGTGCGACCAGGTCAGGAGGATGGTGAGTAGGGCGGGGGTATAGCCCGGGAAATCGACTTCCCACAAAGCTGAGGATGATGCGGGTAAAGTTGGCAGACCGGTAGCCTTCTTATTATCTGAGTGGATGTCTTTGACGTCTGGTCGGAACAACTCGTCTGCTGCTTGAGGTATCAAGTGCTTCTGGGACAGCGCGAGTTTAGTTGGTGACGGGGATGGGGCGACAATGTAAGGTACGCTAGATGTAGGTGGTTGACGGAACAAGTTCTCAAAACATGCGCTGTCTCGCGAGGATCTAGCTGCTGGAGTAGGTTGACATGGTACCATATGTTGCTGTGAAATGCTCTTGCTCTCGTCCCAAGACTGTGCACCGACGCGAGGAGAAGGGAAGAGAGGCTTGATACGAGATATACCCTTATGACTGGAGAGACTTTCTGACCTAGTGTTGTAGTTGTACGCATGTCTTGAACCGCTTGCCTCGATGTCTTCGCTACCCACGTTGGGATTTGCATTAGAGTACGCTGGCACATGCTGTTCTTCAAATACATCCATTTGCTTCTTGAAAGCGGCGAGCGAAGGTGTATCGTACGACGTGCGCACAGGCTGAGATCCATTTGATGACATTGAATTGGCTGCAGGGCCTTGAGACGTCATGCGAGGTGGTGAAGAGCCAGAAGCTTGTTGGCCAGACTGAGTTGAAGTCCATGTAGCCTTGACCGGATCCTAGTGCTCTTTTCTTATTTCCGGCAGGCGTTCTTGCATACTTGCAGCCTGGCTGAGCACATCCAACCCCATGCTTTGCACCCTGTGGTCCAAGCCATACTCTTTCATCCCGACAACAAACTCTTGCTCTAGGACTTTCGGCATCGCAGGCGGAGTAACGAAAGGGACTGGCTCTGCTGTTCCTACAAAGCGCTTTAACCTCTTTCCTGCCTCGATAGCGCGAGTGATACCAATGCCGCGAATGGTTCTGCTCTTCTCAGGTGTCTCAGGCTGGCGATTGTCGTGGATATTCGGGAAGTTTTGCTGATAATTCGGAAAAGGTGTACAGGGCTCGAAATCAAACCTTGTGTACCGTACGGGGTCCATAGTAGGTGTTGTGTTGGGGGTGCTGTATCGCTGGCGGCCTTTCTGTCAGTAGCTTCCAACGTAAGTGTGAAGTTGCTCAATGAGAATATTGACGAAGACGTGGAGCTGGGCGTATGGAGCTCATAAAAATTGATTGGAGTCTGGAGGTCAGCATTGTCGGTCGGTTGCGGGCTCGTTTCCTTACTCTTGGCGTCGTCCTCGGGGCGGTCGGCCATAGTGAAGGTGAAAGTAAGAAGGATATAGCGCAGCTTTCTACCTAAATTCCTCCATACAACTCGGTAGAATATGTTTTTGAAAGTGACTGCTAGACTTCAATATTGTAAGGTATTGAGTATGGGTAACGGTAAGTGAGGAAACCGTTCTGCAGATGAACAAGAGCTCAAGCAATATTGTCAAATGCAAGATGACTGATCAATGAATCTGGTACGAGAGAGAGAGAGAGTAAAGAAGAGATCCAACGCGAAGCAGGGAAAAGATCCAATTACCATTACGACTCCCCCGAAGGTGTCTAACTATACTATCAAACGTGGTATCATGTCGTCTTATCCAAAGCCCCATATATCCCGCTATTTCGTCTCAAGGAGAAAGAACTACTCCGTGGTGGAGAAGACATACTCAGCCTCGAGCGTGTAAGCTGGGCTAGCGGGGCCGAAAATCTGCTTGTCTTCACGCATCCATTCAGGGTGGTTGATAGCGTCGATCCAATCCTGGACCTCCATGACAATGCAGCCGTACTTGGGGACCAATCCACTACCTCCCTCAGCGCCTTGAGTAGACTTGATGGGAATGGTACCTGTAACGTTGTCAATAGTTGTCAAAGCATTCCAAAGGATCTAACATACCATCTTGGCCGGGGCAGCTGTACATCTGGAAAGCCTCTTGGTCGGAGTAAATGTCGAGCTTGATACCAGACCACTCACTAGACAAGGAAGCGACAGGTCCAGAGTTGCGCCAGTCCAGAGTCTCAGCTTGGTTGCGGTTGACAAGGTAGCAGTTATCGTAACCAGTGCAGTTGAAGCCGCAGTTGCCAAGAAGCTCGGGCGCAGTCAGGTTGGCGCCGATCTGCTTGGGAGCCGACCAGAAGTCGTTGACTGAGTATTGCTCGTTAGGAAGGATAGTGCCGGTAGGGATGAGAATATTATCCACATCCATACGTTGGCCAGAGTAGGGGATGTGGAAAGTGTGGTTTAGCGCGGTCTCATCATCAGGGTTGCCAAATCCATCCAAATTCCAGTAAGTCTATTCTGATTAGCCTCGCCTTGATGTTTCAAAATACTAGTCTACTTACGTGGGAAGTCAGCATGATGGGTGTCTTCTTGGTGGTAGCAAGAGCCACAATCTTGATGTTCCAGGTGTATGGGGTCATGGTGTAGGTGACGTAGCTCACGACCTCACCAGGGAAGCCTTCCTTGCCGTCGGGATCGACAATAGAAAAGGTGATGGACTCTTGGGTCTGCGACACAACGGTGAAGTTGCGGTAGTCCCATCCATCTGGTCCACCGTGAAGAGTGTCGTTGTTGTTGTTCTCATTGGGCAAGATGTGGAAGGCCTCGCCGTCAATGGAAAAGGTAGAGTTTCGAATACGATTGGCGTATCGACCGGGCACACCACCAAAATGGGGATGAACCTCACCCTCGTATGCAGTCGCGTTGTCGAAGCCGAGAACGATATCGCGCTCAACACCATCCTTGCCCTTAACGAACAGATTGGAGATGGACGCGCCATATGGGATAAAGTGACCACGGATACCCTCAGACGAGATCGTGTACTTGCCGTCCTTGTCAGATCCAAGAGACGAGCTGTTCTGCGCAAAGGCAGCCGCAGCAAACAGAGGGAGTACAGTTGAGAACCGCATCGTGACTTGCCAAGCTCGAGTGAGTTGAGAAGTGGAGGTGATGTGATGTGGTGTGGAGAAGAGTATGGGGTTGAAGGGCGGAGAGTGATTAAATACTACAGGGACAGACCATCGGCGCAATTACCGTTCCACGATCCTGTGACTAGGATGGTATCCCGCATACTCACTTCTCCAGCCTCCGGGTTTATGGTGCTAACGGGGTCGCACTGGGGAAAAGGGCGGGTCGCCGCTTGATGGTAGCGAACGTGCGCTTCCCCGCAAAGGCCTCCATGGGTGTCAATTCCCCAGGAACACGGCTATGACGAAAGCGGCCCGCACAAGCTTGCAGAAGCTGCACACCAGTCCCTTTCGTGCCATGAAGCGCAAAGATCAGCTGTCGCACGATACTGCCGCTTTCAATTGCATTCGCTCTTCATTCATCTGTCGTACCGTGAGGCATCCAGCTCCCTTGCAAGCTCGAGGCCTCGGTCGTCATAGCTCTAAAATCGCGACTAAACAATCTCACTCGACAAGGATCAGTAGAGCAAAAGGCACCGGCAGAAATCACCATTCGCGGAAAATCGCGGAAAAAACTAAACGCGCCGCTTTGATAGGCAAAGGTCATGGATATAGCTTGGTTGTTGATGTGGAGAGCGGCTGGTGTTGCCCTTGCGAATGAGCTTACCCGTTGAGGCGGAAGCTTGACCACGCCACAGGTCGTATATGCACGCTCGGGATGGTATACTGGATACAGGAATTATGCCGCCATCGTTCTTTGTAGCAACTTGCGGATATTGTGTTTCTATCTAAGCTTCAGGGTACAATACACAGCTGGCAGGCCTTGAAATAGGCCACGCCATGTCGTTCTTTTAACAGTTGTCATCCGATTAGATGGCCCGAGCTCTCTTTCGTCGTACTCCGCATACCTAGTTCCACACTTGAACCTGCTTACATCTTATATTCATAGAATCGTCGCACCTATCACCTGCTCATCTGCGTCCGCACATCAAAAAGGTTCTAGGTCGCCTTTCCTACAACTGACAGCCTTCCTCGTCTGGACCAGGCCAGGAAGGTGATCGGAGAGTCGCGTGGCATCGGTTGGCACCAGCGTACACCAAATCGCGGTCATTTTCCCAGTGTGAATCAGAAAAAGAATGCGTAGGCAGAGTGTATGGGTACAGCTCGTTGAGACCCGGCAAAGCCATGTTTACTGGCACTTGAGTACCTTGGAGGCCGAGTCCATAGCTAGTATACGGCTGTTGTCGGTCGTGAGCAAAAGGCTCGACAACGTGATCGTCACAAGCACTTTGCCAGTTGGTAATATACTGCTTGTTGTGTTCGGCTGCTGCTGCTTGAGCGTCGAGATGAGAGACAACCGAGTCGATACGTCCTTGCGGTCGTGGCGCGTCAATTTCGGAGGCGACATTGACAGCAGTGAGCAGGTTGTCCAAACTTGTTCGAGTGGGAAGCTGGTGAGAACGGTAAGAGCTTAGGCCTTCGAAACAGGACTGGTTCTCCTGGTATTGAGGAGAGGTATCGGCAACGGTTCGAGAAAAGTCTTTCGATTCAGGTACCATCGAAGGCGCCATCGGAGCCTCATATGCTGACACCTTCTTCTTAGATGCAGCTGAGGGAGCCTGTTGTAACGGACGTGACGGAATCATACCCCCCTTACAGCTCGGGTGTTCGTTCCAGCTTACGCTCGGCTTGTTGTTCTTCGCCCAGCAGCCGGTAGTTGTTTCCAGGTTGTCAAGCTTGTTACCCCAGTGATGCTTCTTGACCCGAGATCTGCTGGAAAAGCCCTTGCCACAGAGACTATGGATGTAGGGTCCACGTCCATGTGATGATTTGTTTTCGTCCATGACCCTCTTCTTCGGCTTGGGTAGAACAAATGGTTGGTCGACGGTTGTGGTTGATGTTGAAGTAGGACTAGCAGTCGGGGTAACATCTTCACTGATATCCTCCCTTACATTAACTTGAACTCTTGAGCTTTCACGATTACGCTTTTTCAACGGTGGTGGCATATAATCGATGGCCTTTCCAATGGGTACAGCAACCGGAACTCCGAGCACGGAAGGGCTGGTGGTCGCCACTTGTCGCCCCTCTGGCGACGAGTTGGGAAACAGGTGAGTTTCGCGAGAAAGAGATGGAGAGTCGAAGTGGTTGCTGGCGAGAGGCTGCGCATGGTCGGGCATTGGACTACTGGCGACAGGAGACCAAGGCTGACTGTAAGAGGCTTTGAATTCTGTGCGGATGTTATCGAAAGGCTCAGATACTCATGATAGCATCGGTTCTCACCCTTAGGCTGGTCTATATCCTCCCAGTTGTACGGAGAACGATTTCGCTGCGGTACAATCTCTACACCATGTTGCTGCCTTTCAGGGATCTTGTCCTCTTCATGGCTTCGCATATGAGGACCAGAACTGGCAGATTCAGTCAAAACAGGGGAGGTGAATACGTTCGGGTGACAGAATTGGCCGGGGGTCTGGTGCATCGACGAAGGTAGTGGCAATCCACAACCACCGTGAACTCCAGAACCGAACACTCCGGCAGAATAGGTAGATGGATAGTTTTGGCTTGCCTCGTACCACAACGGAGAAATTGGAGGCAGACGCATCTGGGACTGGTGAGCTGGCTGTAGGAATTGCGGGCTGGGGCTTCCTTGGCTGAAGGGCTGATGCGAGCCGAAGTCGAAGTCGCCCATTCCCCAGTCTGCATCCTTATGGAAGAGGATGTTCAAGAGATCTTGCTTGAGGTCTTCTTGGTCTCCGAGCGCGAGCCTGATTGCAACGAGTGTGTCCTTTTTTGACAGGCTTCCTTCTCGAAATGTGCCGAGAATATTCAGGATACTCATTACTTCCGATGACTCCTCCCCGAATCGCAGCTCCAATGGTCAGTATCAATCATATTATGAGATATCCAGTCTTCCACATGGCTCGGGTGGGTTGTTCGAGGAACGACTTACTTTGAGGTTGTCTAAGAATGTGTAGACAACTTGCCTCATAGTAGGCTGCTGACGCCGCTCCACATGTTCCCATTTCTCGTTGGCCGTCATGGAGTACGCCATTCCGGTCGAATGTAGTGGTTGTTGTGTATCTTGAAGCATCTTGTCGCAGTCGAGAGCTTCCATGACTTTGGCTTAGACAGTGGCGCGAGCACGTATCTCGAACAATAACCCGATCGCAACACCGACGTCGATGTGATATGGTTGAGGAAGAGATGGAGACGACGAGCCTCGTGACACAGGCGCTCGGTTCTCAAATAACCGAACCTATCGAGCCTATTCTGGTGAAGTGACGATGAAACACACGTGAGCACGCGTCCTCCGCTCTTCGGTCTCGCAGAAGCGGCAACGTAATCTCAGCGTTTGTATGGTATGTGGATACTCGCAGCCAGAGGATTTGACGAGTTGTTTGTACGTGGTGTCACAAGCACGGTCTAGGCCCCATTCGGACAACTGGTGATGCGTCTGAGGGAAGTCGCCATGAGGGCAACAGAACAACAACACCAAACTCTCGTCACAATCAGCATATCTGGGGTGACTAAATCGCACTACATATACGATACTGATCCAAAACGTTCCTGTCGAGTGACAATCGCCTGTATTGGGGTATCCGGTTATGTCATGGTATTCTGACCTCTAGCGCCACCTGCAGTGGCTCGTACTGAATCATTGAATGGTCGCTGAAGCTCCGCTAAGTTCGTGTATCCTTCGAAGCGATCAAGCGGCCTCTAAAGACCGTTTGGCGGGAATGGCCGGCATCATAAACCACCTCTACCACGCTTTTCCTGCAATGCCAACCGCCGTCCATTCGGTCGAACAATACAAAGTCGGCAGGCTGACCAGGCTCTAGGGCAAGAGACGTGGAATCGCAGCCTATAGCGGCTTTTGCCCGAGCCGATACGGTTTCCTGCATGAGTTAGAGTGGTCGTCGAGACGGAGCTGAACGGCCACTTACATATAGGAGTTCGGCATCTTTCTTTGTTCCAGCCTGGTACAACCCGACACCCAGAGATGCGATAGTCTAGACCATAGTGTCAGTAACACCTCTTAGTGATTGTGGGTGTGACATGTCTTACCAGAGGATCGCAATTCCCGTACGGCGTGAAGGCGTTGCCCACGTTGTTGACAGCAATCGCAGCATTGAATCCGTACTCGTTGATGAGTTCAACGACTGGCAAGGTTCCACGCACGTTCTCTGGCGTCCGCATCATGAAAAGATCGGAAGTCGGCAGACCCACGAAAGAAATGGGCAGATCGCCTACTTCTTGTCTCAGATGCGTCCACTCGTCATTCCGAAACCTTGTCAATCTTGTGCAATGGCCTAACGTGATCTGTTTGCTCCCCGCTTTCTTGCACCATTCTAGCTCTTTGATAGTGTTCAAGGCATCCCAGACCAGAGGCTTTTTGTCTTCCTCCAGAAAGTAGTCAAGATGGAGATCGAGATGCTTTTGGTGCTTTAGGGCTAACTGCGTGATCCATTTAACATTGTCTAGAGACTTTTCCTCGTCATCTTCAACATATGGCGTGCTTCCAAGCACATCTACTTGCACCAACGAGGCAGAGTTGGTCATTAGCTTTCTTACCTCCTCGCCCCCGTCCTGGCCAGAAAAGAGCGGGAGCTGGGCGAACGCGCATATCTGCACCTCACACCGATCCTTGAAGATCTCTCTCAATTTGAGACCCGCATCCAAGCACTTCATCTTTACCACCCCGTCCACTTCCACAAAGGCTCGCATAACGGTTACACCATGTTGGATGCTCTCTTCAATGAGGCGTGTGCCCCTTCTCAGGAGGTCATCCTCCTCAAACCTTGACTTTGCCTCGCCTGTCATCTCCATAGCCTCCTTGAAATCGCCGCTCTCAATCTGCAGGTCGCCGAATTTAGGATCTTGAAGGAGAAAGCATTTGTCGAGATGGATGTGAGCGTGGCAGAGCGACGGCGCTATGAGACGGTTGCCTCCATCCAGTGTGTCCTCGTGGCCATCCTGGCAGTCACTATGGTTGTCTACTGAGGCTATTTTCCCATCTTTGATGGCGATATCCCAGAGTGTCGACGGCGGCTTGTTTGGCAGACGGACGTTGGTTATCTTCTCGAGTGTCTTGGTTGACATCCTGTCCTGCATGCTTTCCTTCTCTTCACTAGACTAGAGGCGTAGATGCTCAGGGTTGATGGGCCGCGGGCTAACAAAGGACAGATTGGAGAAAAAGAAAGGAAGGAGAAGAACCAGGAACACCGATAATGACGCTTAGACAAAGCGAGGAAATGCTAGATCGCTTCACTGCACGAGCGTCAACAGATGCCAAGAGCGATGCTGGAGCAGTGAATGGGAGTAAACTCTAATAGCAGCAGAGAACAGGTATTAAAGGCTATCAATATGCATCACACGAGTACACCAGATGTTGATGAGGCCGGAAATAGATGCAAAAGCTTGTGCAGTCGAGAGATGGGTGGGGGTGGTGCCCCGCATGGCTATAGGGGGAGCTAACTCTGTATCCGTGCATGTTGTACGTACCTAAACCTTGACGCGTCTCCAAAGAAGTTACCATCCTATCCACCTTCCATCTCCACTGACGCGCTTTCATCGCGAATTTCGCTGCCGTTCATTTTTGCACCCCTTCCAACATGCAGCCGAACTATCAGGCACGGGGATATAATTATCCGCAACAGCACAATGCAGCTACACCTTCCCGACGACCAGGTAAGTACCCATTGCCAAACACAGCTGCCACAACACGTCCTCCTGCACCGACCGCCTGCGCATACTCCCCGTAAAAGACGATGATTAGTAGGAACGACCTCGCTCACTTGTTTCGCAACCCAGGCCCCATTGTCCACCCTCCGCACCCGGCTGCGCAACCGCAGTACAACACCGCCAACATGCAGGCTTCGCAGCGCGCCGAAGCCGAGCGCCGCGAGAAGATGCGTCGCATCGCAAAGAACCCGACCGACAAGAACATCCCCGAGGGCGTCGAGGACGTGTGCATTGGCGATGCCGTAGCGCGCTACAAGGAATTGCGCGAGGTCGAGCGCACGCTGGATGCGACTATGATGCGCAAGAAGCTGGATGTCATGGACTCGAAGCACCATTCGCGCGCATCGCGCTATGGCACCATGCGCATATGGATATCAAACACCGCCGAAAACCAGCCTTGGCAGAGCAGCGGCATCGACGCGGATGCCTTCGATTTTGAGAGCGAGAACAACGCGACGTACCGTGTGAAGATCCAAGGACGCTTGCTCGACGAAGAGGGCGATGAGGGTCTCGAGGATGACGAGGAAGATGAGAAGGACGCCGATGCGATGTATGTCTGCTCAGCTTTTCCAACGCGGTAACGCTAGCTCGAGAGCCTGCCGATCGCAAATATATCTCAGTAGGGAACTAACTGGTATCTAGGGACGAAGATGGAGCAGAGAAAAAGCCAGCCGCAAAACCCAAGCTGTTTTCGCACTACTTCACATCCATCAACATCGATTTCGACCGCGCCAAGAGCTTACAACCTGACAACTTTACGCAAATCGAGTGGAAACGACCCGAGAATCCTACTGCGAAGGAGGCCAACTTTAGCGAACTCGAATTTGAGCGCAAGGGCGACGAGAACATCAACATCACGATCAACCTGCAGCGGTACCAAAATCCCGAGGTCTTCCGCCTGAGCAAACCTCTCGCCGAGCTGCTCGACACCGATGAGGAGGACCGCGCCGGTGTTCTCATGGGCATCTGGGAATACGCAAGGTCACAACATCTGCAACAAGAAGACGATGAGCGCAAGTTTGCGTGTGACGCCAGGCTGAAAGCTCTCTTCGGTGGCCAAGACCATTTCTTCTTCCCAAACCTGCCCCAACTCATCAAGCAACACCTCACGACTCTCCCACCTATTCAGCTACAGTATACCATTCGCGTGGACAAGGACTACATCTCGCCCGCTGCCGATTCGGGAAAGACCGCTTCCGAGCCGACCGTATACGACGTTCAGGTAGCACTCGAAGACCCGATGCAGCCACTATTCCAAGATATTCTGCGCCGGCCAGATAGCATACAGACCCTTCAAGAGATCCAGAAGATCGACGAGCAGCTTGTGCTGTTGATGGGAGCGATCGGCCAATCAAAGGCAAAGCACGCCTTCTTCACCAGCATGTCCAAGGACCCTGTGGCCTTCTTCAAGCGCTGGTTGTCTAGCCAGAAGCGAGACCTGGAGGTGCTACTTGGTGAGGCTACGCGAGGCGGTGGAGAAGATGTATCTGGCGAGGAATGGCGACGAGGAGGAGCTGATGGTGTATGGGGCAGCGAGGTTGCCAAGGAGAGCGTGGCCTTGTGGCTGGCCAGGTCCAATATCAAGCCTCATTAGGAAGAGCTGCTTGGTTGATTTCCTTGCTAGGTTGTAGGAGTTTACGCTCATGTTCAGAGGAGCCGGGCGAAAAGACGGCGTTCGTATTCGATACCCAAAGATCAGTTTCTTCAGCTTCAATGACGATGCCGTGAAAACGTTCTGTGGGGTGTTTAGATTGTGATAGATGACTATGGCGTGGGGATCATGATAATGCGCATACATACACCAGCCATGAAGCCGGCGAAACTTCATCGATCTTACCTACTCATTCTGCTCAAGGATTTCGTGTAATGAGAGCGTCTCATCGTTGGAGGTAGCATCTGTGTCAGCTCTATAGGGTGGGTCAGCTTCATCCGGAAGCAGCTAGTCGATATCGTCATCCTTCTTCACTGATCTTGCATCAGGTAACTGTAACGCAAAATGACCGAATAATCTCTCTCTAGGCCATAGTACCAACACTGTATCGGTTCGACACGGCTCAGATTTCTACTACTTGTCTATTCGCCTGCTGCGCACAGATGTGTTGACGGCCTCTCTAAGTGTCGTCCCCAATGCGCGGTTCAGCTTAGTTGAAGATAGCGAAGCCTAGAGGGTACCATGTACGACAGCAATTATTGACAGTGCTCCCGAAGTAGATGGGAAACATATGCCACGCCTTGATACCAGGTTTAACTGCAGCAAGCTTGAAGCACGGCAATATACGGTTTGTCCAATGGCGAGCCTCAACGAGATCGGTATGCCTCCAGCTTTTCTCAGCCTCATCCGGAGTCGCATGCAGACCGTTTCAACACCAATCCATTCACATCGCGTAACATTCCATCTTATGGTAGCTCTCAGGCAGGTCAGGGTGATGTATAGGTCCGCATCGCTATGCCTCCAACGCTCCTTGACCTTCATATAAGCGCGATATCTTTGTAAGATCTAAAGGAAATCTTCGGCCTAAGTAACCTGCCATCAACATCAAGACACCATGGTTGTTCTGCCAAACATACTCTATGCGCCGAACGCTCTGCGGCCACGCACCGCCACTGGGAACGGTCTCGGTGGTGGTGCAATTGCTGGAATTGTCCTCGGGTCTTTGTGTGGTCTACTCGTCTATACGCCCACAATACCTGCCAACACTTCACTAAAGATCGACAAGACCAATACTGTTGATCCTTGGGAAGTGGAATATCAACCCAACCCAGTTATATTTCCTCATTTACCAGCCTCAGTTGGGAATATGCGATATCAGGACGAAGAAGAAGATGCACTTTTCACCACAAATCTGACAAGCCCACCAAGACTTGAAAGCATGATCGAAGTGTGCAGCACAAGTTCTGATCATTCTGAAAGCCCGTTATCGATGTGTGCGCCGTCCACGATACCTGAATCCGAGGGTACTCCGTCGCCAATACGGCGTATCAACACAGAATTTTCTGAGATTTCGGTACCTATTTTAGAGTCTAGTACATCGGATCTACCAGTAGATGATACCTCGCCTGTCACAGCAGCAACAGAAGTACCTCCGCACTACGAAAGTAAGAGCCCATGCCTGGACCGACATGGGACTGTCGAAATTATCAATTTTGCTGCAGCCATATCGTCGGATCGGTCGCCAGGTGATTCTGACACTAGTATCACGGTCCTGTCGTCACCGAGGTCCCTCACGATAGCGAACAGTAATAAAACGACCTCATCTTCGCAGACAACATCACGCACCTCACCTGCTAGCAATTTATCTGCATCAAAAGCCACTATATTGTCTTCAAAATCGATCGAAGCGGATACCAATCTGGTGTATCCATGTCCTAGCTGCCACCTCAGATTCCGAACACCAGGCCTGAGAAGGTATGTCGCCTTGAACCATGAAACAGTGTTCTGTTTTTGAGCACATTTGCTTACGTGAACTCTTGCAGAAACCATCAAAATCGTAAACATAATCCCCGATATACCTGCCGGATATGCAACTCACAGTTTGGGCTCCGTGCGGACCTTCGACGTCACGAAAACAGTGTCCATCGAGGTGATCTTCACGACTTTCCTACAAAAGTGTTCCAATGCCCGAACATTGGCTGCTCGGATCCACAAAAGACGTACGCCCGGAAAGATAACTTTACGAGACATGTAAATCGTTGCGAGAGGGCTATTGCCAAAGCGAAGTCACTACATGATGCAGCCATGGAAAAGCGCGAGGGCAACTACAGACACTGGAAAATGCCGAGCCAGACCCGGGAACATGATCCAGATGTGGCAATGTGAGGCAGACCGGATGCTTTTGGAGGACTCTTGTTCGAACCAATGAATGGCTCAATACTCTACGATGGCCAGGTTGAAGCATACATGCATCGCGCTGGTTGCCCTTCGCAGGACTTTACGGAGAAATTGTGCGTCTCCGGAATCGTACCATAGGGCAACTTTTCACAGCGGCGACATACATGCATCATATCTCTCGCTTTGTGCCAATGAGCGAGATGATGTAGAGCATCTTCCCTGATTCAAGAGGGAGAAGTGCATTTGCATGATGCACAAGACAGAGTCCCTCGAGTTTCCGCCATCTGCACGTGTGATTGGCTCCAATCTATCAGCATGAGTATGCCTCACTCAGCCTCGCAGTCACCCGTACATCTCATAATTATAGCATCTCTTGCTTGTATCTCGCCCAAAATAACTTTTCTATTGCTACCATACCCTCACAGTCAATATGGCCCCCATCACCTTCGCTGTCCGCTCCACAATATTGCATACTGCGCCTTCTCTTAACAAACGAGCCTCATCTGCGACCAATAGTCCGGCTGTCTTG